GGGGGGGGGGGGGTCATGCTGAAAAGCATTTGAATTATTGTTTGATTATTGTATATTCATGATTTCAGTCCTTTGATGTAAGTGGTTTGCAACTTGCTTTAGCTGAGCGTCAGTCAGAGATGCCAGCACAGAGTAAATCTGGCCTGCCTTGTGTGGTTCCTGACCCTGATACCAAGCCAATAAGGTAAGAACTGGACACAGATACAGCATGATTTTAGCCTAGGTGATCAAAATAATTCATGTCGAAGTTTTTTTTTTTTTTTTTTTAGGGAAATCATAAACTGTAATTGATATATATTTTGAATATTGTTGTATTTAATGTTTAATTGACAAATACAAACAATATTGCAAAATTGCATTTTTTTAATATATCAATATTGAATAATGAGACTTAGTAACAGGAGAGTTGAATATTTTATTGCTATCAAATCTACCAACAAAACACACAATCTAGATGAAAAGAGTTCCGTATAATTGTGATTTTGGGACATTGAAATAGCTTCAATATTCCTTTATACTGCAGTAATTTAAGCAGTCTATGTATATTTATATCTTATTACCAGTGAATCATGGAGTCACTTACATCTGTTCAGTAAAACAATTATTTACAGAATCTCTTGCAACAGATTGGATCGAGTATATATCTTAATTTCACAACAATGCAAACAATTTATTTTTGATTGTTGGGAAATATACAAGTACAAACTTTACTGCTTATTCTACAATGCACTTTGATTGATATTTTGTACCCAGTAAAATATTCCAAATGGTATGGAGGATGAAATTAAATGTAAGCATGTTATAAAATTTAAAAATCATAAAACAAAAAAACATATTTGAACAGGCTTAAAATATGTAAGGTTCTTCTTTCAAATGCTTAACTATGAAATAAGTTATCACGCTGCCTTGGAGAAAATAATGACCTGCATGCTGTATGTCTTATATAAGAAATATTTGTATTGGACTTCATAACTTACTTATGCACTAAAAGCACAACATAATTAATATACTATTTGTGTGTCTGAAACTTCTTGTTTTCTACCATCTGCACTTCATTCATAATAATTAGCTAATATTCTAAAAGCATAACAAAAAGACTAGTATTTCTATGACTATCATAATGTTTTTATGGCTTATGGCAGATACCCTTTGTAATATTTTCCCATATTGTATCTACAAGCAATAATTACTTTATGTAGAATAATAATTGAAGAAAATATTGTTTGGCAAAATAATTTTAGAGATCATTTTGTTCCTCATCAATATTGTAGTCCATCACATGGATTTTTGCAGCAATACAAAAACCAGAGATAATGTACAGCATATGGAATGTGCTGAGTTGTGATATGTTGAACATCCTTGTGTGATAAGAGACATCTCTAGATAATTGTAAGAAAATCGTACAGTCCCAATTATTCCTGAGGTGTAGCCTTTACGATGAGAATTGCAATATTCCATTATTATGCAAAGAGTAGAGCTCTGTGAGCAAGAAAAATTTATATCATTGAGGGAGTTTTGCAAAACTCCAAAGTATGCAGTTAGTACCCTAGCTAAGCTTGCCCCCATTGCCTTGTATACCATCCTTGAGTAGTACTGCCAAAACCCTGAAAGTTTATCTGATAATATCTAGTGAAATATCAATGGGGGTCCTTGGTAAACAGTACTGCCCTGAAACAGTCTCTGATAAAATCTATTAAAGTATGAACAGGGTCTTTGGTAAATTCTCATCCTTCACAACCCATGTATGATTTTTCTTTCACAAAAGATTCTAGTTCACAGTTTATGCCCATGTAGCTTTCTAAGGTGTGGGAATTGTATGGGAAATGTTAAAACCTTGCCCTGAAGTCTTTAGTCCAGTGTATTCTGCAGGAAACATCTTTGCATCATACTGAGGTCTCATAGACAACCAGTGAAGATGGTCTCTCCGAATTAGTGCAATTTCTACAGTTCTGCCTCAGCTGGCAGTTTGAGAACAGTTCGTTGTTGTCCCCTAATTGGATATTTTGGCAGGAGTCCATCCTTGCGATGTAGTTCCCATGGTAGTGATGGTGGTCATTGTGGTAGAGGCTCAGGTTGATGGTGTACACTGAGCCTGGATATAGTCAAATTTTTAAAAATTAAAAGTTTTTGTTGCAGATGTTATTTAAGGTTGTCATTGCTGTTTGTTTATTATATATATTTAAAAGAAAACACTGCAATCCATATTGATGTATAACATACTGGTATTCTATTGTTTAGATATAAAAAAAAAAACAGAAAAAAACATGTGAATATGATTTTAACATCTTTCAATTAAAACAGCATGAAAAACATGGAATTTTAGATAGATGTCACATATTGTCATGAAGGCCACTTCTTACCTGACACAGAGATATCATCCACCATAGTGGAGTGGTAGCCACTCTCTGATGTAGAAGCCTGTTGGTTATAGGGGTGTCTGGCAGGGAAAGGACTACACAGCAGGGACCAGGGCAAGTTGATGAAGAACCCGGACTCTGTCTGTGTGTCTATAGAGCGAGAACACACATTGGTTCCTAAAAGGATAATAAGCACCTCAATTAGGTCAGAATTGCCTCATCTGCTAGGAATTCTTCTGTCAAATAATTTTATTTAATCACTAATTAATATTAGCAGAAATAAGCACTTGTTAAAAGTGAAAAAAGGAGAAATATTGCAAAGGAATTTTAGATATATGGTAGAGAATTTATTCTCCAAAAAAGTACTTTTACTAAGTTTAACATTTTGTAATAAAATTTGACTGTGTTATTAATCGTGCAAATGAATTAAAAAGCAAGACTTAAAATTTCATCTTTTGAATCATTAAACTGCTCTCATTTATTCCAAGTGCAAATCTGTATATAACTTCCCCAGTAAACTACCCTGGATGTACACCTGTAGGCATGCCCAGACATGCCCCCCTTTGTAGCAATTATAGAAACATGGACTTCATAAGTGTTTTGATTTGGTGACCTTATAATTATAAAACAATTTAACACACAGGATGCTCAGGTAATATACTATAATCTGCTAGCGTCAGCACATTGCACCACACAAACAATGACCCTGGAGGAGAAATGGGGAAGCCCCCACTGAGCAACAGGATATGATCTAATTCCCTAGGAATGTTCTACCTGACCTGACCACAACCCACCTGAGCTATGATAGATACCCCTAGTGTAAGAATGCTCATCCCCAGGTGAATGAAATCTCCAAGCTGTAAGCTACATACCTGTTGCATCATTTGCTAACATATTCTCCACTGGCAGTGAGGTTTGGCTGTAGGCGTGGGCACCTGTTAGAGCTGTCGTTGATTCAGTGCCGTTAGCCTGGGACTGAGTCACCAAGATGCTTTCCTTACAGCCCATTGTTTGATTGGGTCAGGATTTAGGTGTGACTGGTGATAATATTTCCTCTCTGCCTCACATCTTCATTGCAATACTGTCCTATAGTTCTATGTACACTAGTAGTAGTATTTTGAGGTCACTTTAGCCATTTCTCCCCTCCTTGGCCATTCAAAGTGCCGCCAGCATGTGCATCAACAACCTCAGCGTGTGCTAAGTGTGGTGTATATGTGGTGTATACAGGTAGCCGTGGCTATTTTTAGAAAGTGATATCATTGATAAGCATAACAATACTAATGCTAAGATAAATACAGCTTCTGTTGCTAAGAGACTGTGGCCTATATTAACCAATACCTGTAGTGTTAATGGCCTGCTCTTGCTGTCTTATCATTTTGAGTAAATTTGATGTGAGAAAATGGAATTCTGCCTGAAATACTTGATTTATCACTTAGTGTCATCCAAGTGTGTATATAAGAGAAGTTCAAGCTCATCTTGACATGACTAAGTACACGTGGCTTGACTTTTGCCACAACTCTCTTTATTTATCTATTTAATTGTTTATTTATTTAAGTAAAAATGTGAACATTTTATTTATTTATTTATTTATTTATTTATTTATTTATTTTAATGCAAGTGTTCTCTATATATTCTGGTCCCCTGCATCTATCCATGTCTAACTCAGTACTGTCACCATCAGTTTGCACTTCTTCACCCCATGACTGCCAAATTATATGTCTGCTTACTTGAAATTTACTAGGAGATTTTGCATAGTCAAAGGAATCTCAATTTTCAAAGCCAAGGTTGTGTTGTGCATGGGTTTCTGTTTGATTTGTCCTATACCTTCAAAACCATATATTTGTAAGAGATGAATTTAGCCAGGGGGTTTGGGTGAAATGCTGGTCTGAGGGGTTAAATTAGCTCAAAAGTTTCACTTTGTCTTACTGAAAGAAATTTCAACTCTTACCCCTTAAACTAACACTAAGGTATAAAATATATTAATGTGTTTTAAAGCAAAAGACTGTTTACCCACTGTCATTTTCTTGTGATTTTTTTTTTTTTTCATATAACAATATGGTTTGTTTCCAAGACCTTTTAACATTGTTTACGAGATAGTTGAAATATTTGTTAGGTATTTCTGTAAAATATTAAAAGGTTGAATCTTTATGTTTCAAAACAATTTTAAGATTAATATTGATATCATTTATCATTAAATTAAAAAAACAAAACAGCCAAAACGGAAGTTTCAATGTTTATTTTCTATGAAACTGGATTTAATGTTCTATAATAATACACTTTGCTTCTTCAACTTGATTTCTCCATAAATTACTTACAATTGACACAAAATGTGCTAAAAATCAAAAGAATGTCTAAATTGCAGCTCTTACCTCTACATATAAAAATGCAAACCTACCTAAAACCTGATTCACAATTATTTGTTTTAACAAAGAAGGTAAAAAACTGGAAGTCACACTATCCAACAGCCAAATTTGATGTCAACTACCTATGTAAATGCTGTTATCTTTCATGTCAGATAAATCAGAGAGATAAACAAATTCTTTACACTGGTTCTTATTGTTAAGGACAAAATTTTGTCATCTATCTAAGAAGAATTTTCTGTTTAAGTACACTGATGTTAAATATACATGTACGGGGTAATGGATGGTTGGAAGAATTATAGTTTGTCAGTTCATATCCACTGTTAGAAAATCTTATATAAAAGTGCACTTCTACTACATTTTACATTTATTTACATATCCATTGTCACAAATGTCTACAGTTCCTCGTTTCTTCAAGAAGTGCCATAACTATGTTATTATGGTGAGGTATTAGTATTCATCTTGCTCAGTATATTGCCAAATATAGTTTCTCTCCTTCTGTTTTGTAAGTATCCACCATAAAAGGCTGAGGTACTTGTATCCACCCTGCACAGTATACCGTAGTGCCTCATGTTATTTCTATCCTTGGTTTGAAAGTATCCACCACAATATTAATTGACTGCCACTTTAGGTAGCTGGATTCCTGGGAGTTCACCAGAATCTGAAAATATTACAGTCATACTTTATTTTATGTATAAATGTTGTTGGGAGTTTCTGGATGGTTTCTGGTACATTAAGTTGTTAAGGTCTGAAATCTAGATTTTTTTCTTCAAAATTTTCTAGTGAAAAAACAAACATAAAAGGTTGCTAATCCAAATGCAAAGTAAAAACAGACATTTAAAAAATGAATTTAGATTAGATTTACCTTCAGTAAATACAATAAAGATATGGTACTTCACAGACAGGTCCATAAATATTTATGATGAAGGTGGTTTTATTTTGTTTTATTTATTTTTTTTTTTTTAAATCAAGTAGAAAAGTAGTTGCTGGTAAACATTCAAAGTAGACATGAAAATCAAATAACATCTATTTATCGCATATTTTGTGCAATAAAACTTCACCCTTAGCAAATACAATAAAAATATTATACTTTACAGAAAGGTCCCTTAAACATTTATAAGGAAGACAAGATAATTTTATTTTCAAATAAATCAGGTGGAAGAGAGTAGCTACCTGAACTTGCTTGGTTCAGCATGAAGGGGTGGTGTTCTTTCACCCTGAACGGCCGCAGTAGCATCCTGTTATTTGGAGCCAGGGGTGGCTTGGATGTGATCATTGGGTTGCTTACAAGAGATATTTGACTCCCCTCACGGCTAAAGCCGTTCTCTGAGCTTACATCACTCTCAATGTCTTTCAGCCTGTCTGTATGGGTTGCAATACTGCACATGCTCCAGCGACTCTCGGGTGTTGCGCGGCCCTGAACTGGCGTGGAAGGAGGGAGGTGTAAGTCACTGATGTCACTGTCTGTAGTGTTTGTATTAAAACGGTCTGTATGCTGGTGATATTTACTGGCTTGATATAACGTGGACCGATCTTGCATCAGACCTGGAGCAGGACTCACTGCAGGCAGCCTGCAAATTTCATTCACAAATCCAATCCGAGCATTTCTCTGCTCACGAATTTTCTTTCTCAGTTTACGCGCCTCACTCAGTTTGAGGCAGTCGATTTCCTCGCGTTCCTCGGATGTCCCACAGTACCCATGTATACCCTTCTGTCTCTGCATTTTGGGCCTCTGCAGCTGTGCAGGATTTGAAGCCACTCCTTCAGAGACATCAATCCTGTGTACCTGGGTGTTCAACCTGATCCTGTCTTGTATGGAGAGCACCTGGTGGCCTGATGCACCCGCTCCCATTGTCTTATATTTCCTAGTAAACTTTAAGTACAAATTAAATTCCCATTCCTTGCCTGTCGTGATTGTTTCCTAGAAATCTTCAAGCACTAGGCACACTTGCCTCTACTTGAAGCTACACGGAATACATGAATGACAAGGGCAGACGGCTGATGCAAAAATCTTAATCAGCCCATCAAGAAATACCATTTATTTTTCCAGGTTCAGTCAATGAAATCAATACAATTTTAAAGAAAGGGTGCATTGTATTGTCAAGCCCTGTTAAATTGACCATTGGTCCTAATCAATTGTAATTTGTATAAGTAATTAGTTGGGTTATGGATTCACAGTAGGGGAGCATATGACAGAGGGCAGCTAATTATGTCTTTGTGGACGTAACATGGCCTTCTGTACTTCAAACATTGTGTATAATTAACTCATTCATTGTTCTTCTCAGTTTGTCATGTTGTTTTCTGTTTTTCGACATTCCTTGTTGAGATAATGTACACTTACTACATGTATGTCCCCCACTGCTGTGATGTATGTTTTTGTTTGTTTTATCAGTAAATGTCACTAGACGCAGGGCAAATACTTTGCTCTGATAATGATTGACATGAATTAACCAATATTTAGTCTGCTTGGCTTTTTTATAAAGCATGCATAAGTTACTGTGATATTGGAAATCTATTCACTGATGAAGTAGTAATAGAAAAACAGTTACTCAATTACGTGGTTTAACACAGCTACGTAGTGAATTGTAAAAAAATGCAACTTTGTTGTATGACAAAAAAAATAGAAAATTGAACTTGATTGATAATTGAATTGGTTAATGTACTGAATTCCTTATATGTGATTGCATGTTGATGTTGTAAAGATTGCACAATGATAAATCATGAAGTGACGATAAACAATAAATAATTTATCAACATTTTTGCACTATTAGGAAAGGAGGTTGTAGAAAAAATCACTTATGCAAGGCACAATTGATATGTTGGTTAATGAGGCTAACCATTTCTAATGGGGAGGAAATCGGTTATTCTATTTTGCACTTTGAACATTTCTTCTTCCCCCCCCCCCCCCCCCCCAAAAAAAAAAAGGAAAAAAAATTTTAAAAAAGAAAAAGAATGCTAAAATTAGCTTCTATGCACATAAATATTACATGTTTAAAAAATAATTTCATCTTCTGGCCTTGTTTACAGAGTCCTCATCTTGCAGGTTATATCATCCTGATGTGAACACCCAAATGATTCCCTTAGGTTCAATTTGCTGCATTCCACTAATTATTTAATTTATTAATTTCTTGTAGCTTTGAGCAGTTTGGCAAGCCAGGTGCTATCAATCCAGATGTTCAGAGGCAGACCATAGAGGCCCTGCTGACCCCAAACAAACCTCCATCAGAGAGCTGCATGAAGCCAGAATTTATAAGACTTGCCCCTCCATTACATATAGCAGAGGATGAGGTGAGTATGAAATAATTACAGTATTCTATACTGAAACAGATATGCTTATGCAGAGTGGGATGATGTTAAAGGTTCTCTGTCATAAAAATTGCTGTTCTCTGGTTTCTTTTTGAAAAATTTACACTTTCCCACTCGGTGCCTCTACATCAGTCTCTAAAATGAAAACTGCTGAGTCATCCTTAATGGACAAGAAAAGTAAAGAATTTATTAAAAGACATTATTGAGATGTTGAAATAAATTGGCTTTTAACATGTGTCACAAAGATCAATATTTATGTACTTTTCCCACTCCTTCACCATATGTTACTTTATTGTACAATAAAGTGAACAGGTAAACCTTGTTAATAACAAGGTCTATTTTACAAATTTATAATTTTTTTTCTTATATTCCGTAGCTGCTCTGGATGAATCCAACAGAAGTAGAACACCGCCCATCTTGGGATGCCACCATGTGTGTCACCAACTCGGCAGGCGCGGAGGTCCGTAGACTCATGGCCAAAGCCTTCAAGGGACCACTGCTGTTACAGCAGCAACAACAGTTACTGGGAGAGCTGGAAAAAGACCCCAAGCTGGTGTATCATATAGGTCTTACACCTGTGAAGGTTTGGTATTTTTACTTACTCAGAATGAACTTCTTGCTATATTCAGTATGAAGGTGGATCTGTTTATGAATTTCTTTCACTAAGGTCAATTTGTTTCATTAAAAAAAACAGTAAATTATAAGTATCTTGATGAAGTGTCTTATTTTTGCATACATTTTAAAGCAATGACTCATAGTAAGATTACCCATGTAAACAAAATAGAAGGTATTTATTGAACATATTATAATTTCCAGCTCCCAGACCTGGTGGAGAACAACCCATTGGTTGCTATTGAAGTGTTACTCAAATTAATGCAGTCCAATCAAATTACTGAGTAAGTGCATATTTGCCTTGGTGTGAGGTTTATTTTACAGTGTGTCTTTACACCCGTAGAAAACAAGTCATTTTTTTTTTTTTTTTTTTTTTTGCAATCAAATTAATTTTTAAATGTTATTTATTGTTTTTTATTTCTATATTAACTAAAAGAATTTAAAACTTGATGCATTCAAAATGTTTCATCCAGTATTTAAGGTGATTTTGCCATGTTTCAGGTACTTCTCTGTGTTAGTAAACATGGAAATGTCTCTGCATTCAATGGAGGTGGTTAACAGGCTCACTACAGTAAGGATTTTAACACTCAGTTTTGTATACATTTAGATATGATATTAAGTATTTGTGATAAATGAGACAGATTATTCAAGGCACTTTTCATTATTTTTTTCATTACTTTTTCAGTAATGAGTACAGGTTGACGTTTAAAGATTTAAAGCATAATGGATCACATATTGTTTTTGGAATGGATTCTTTGAAATCTCAAGTACTGAAAAGACTTAATGTGAATGTCTAAGATCTGGTGGTTCATTCACCTTTACAATTTGCTCATTTCAATGCAGGCTGTTGATCAACATCAGAGTTCATTCACCTTCACATTTTGTTTATATCATTGCAGGCTGTTGACCTACCATCAGAGTTCATTCACCTGTACATTTCCAACTGTATAGCCACATGTGAGACCATCAAGGACAGGTACATGCAGAACAGACTAGTGCGACTGGTCTGTGTATTTCTGCAGTCACTCATCAGGAATAAAATTATAGATGTCAAGGTTAGTATATTTGTTTTTGGTAGCAAGTAGCATAGTCTATTCAGAATGAAAAGTAAATCCCCATGACAAATTTTAAAGATTAATAAATATAAATGTGATGTTAAATCACTGTAATATTGGTGGCCATCTGTAATTGCTACATGTTTCAAATTTCAAAGTTTCAAATTTTAAGAAGTGTTATTAATTGGTCTTCGTTTTGAGAAGCTAAGTAAGTATTCTCATATTTTTGTTTGTTTTGTAGGACATATTCATTGAAGTACAAGCATTTTGTATAGAGCACAGTCGGATCCGTGAAGCAGCTGGACTTTTCCGATTATTAAAAACATTGGACAATGGTGAACAGCCTCCACCTCCTGGACCAACCAAGTGACTTTACACCCTTCACAAGTTCCTACCAGAATGTTAAGAGAGAGTTCTGTATCAGATTCCATGGCTCCAAACATATGTAGCCTATCTTGTCATTGGCCATATTTGTAAACTCCAAAGTACTATGTAAGAGGTTTTTCATGGTCTCTTGATAGGATGATGAAATAAAATTCTTCTGTACTTAGAGACTAAACTAACGTCAGTCAAACACGTTTTGGTCCACCTCCAAAATTGTGAAATGGTACATACATCATCCGCTGACTGACTTACAGATAAAAAGCATAAGGCCAGTGTGGAGATGTGTACTGTTGACACGGGCCCAGATGTGAACCATTGCTCTGGAGGATTCCTTTCACTACGTTGTACAGGATACGGATGCAATGAACCATCTCTGTTGAACAGTTGAAGGAAAGTGGGGAAAATATGGCTCATTTGTCAGTTTTCTTCAGCTGATATTTTTCCAGGAAATAGTCATTTGTTATCTTCAATACCAACTCTTATGGAGCATATCCATACACGATAGCCAATTTTGGAAACAAAATGAGTAAATTCAGTAAAACATTTTTAAAACCATGAAGTTATTGTGTTAGTTACCGAAATGAGAAATCAAGTGACACTTAATTGTCAGTTTAATATTCATGAACCCATTAACTGAAATCTTCATAATTGGTGAAGTGAACCTCTGAACTAAGAGCTACTTAGGAATTTGTCAACATGGATAATTTTTAATCACCTCATTCACAAACACTCCTTGCGATAGGTCAATCCAGTCTACAGAACACACTTCAGGAAAGAGCATACACTTCAATTAGCACCAATACTCAGTTCTGATAAAAGATGAAACAACTTTTCTGAAGAAAGTATCAATTTTATTGAAATTTCAAGTGGAAACCACCTTGATTTAATCTTTCCATAGGTTTTTTCATTTAAGAGAGATCGGACAGCCGATTTTAAGTGAAAAGTTAATTTTATTGAATTCTCCACTATGACAGTCAATACAGCAACAACATTTCTTGATGAGCTTGTTCACTTAAACCACCAATTTCAGGTGAGAAAATTGGTTAATACTTAAACTTGGTGTATTGCACATTTTTGAGTAAGCGACACTGGTTTTTTTCTTACAAATGGTTTATAATAAGGTTGACCACTAGTCCAGTTTATTCTAAATCTTGTAGGTTGATGGTAGAGCTGGTAAAGATGACACAAGGTTGGGTGTGGTCACTGGTTGACGCATCCTGCAGCACCCCATCAGACAGGTCTCCACTCAGGGGGGAGTGGGCCTCCCCTGGGGGGTAGATCTCAGGGTTTGGAGGGTCGTCCTGCAATAGAAACAGAACATTGTTAGCCATCAACATTAGTTTCAATGAATGAACATCTTTAATATCTACCATGACATTTCAATTGCCCTTTCACTAAATCCTTATGAAATGTAAAAATCTCCCAGACCACAAGCTTTAAGAAGTTTCATGCAAGAGCAAAATCAACTTTCTGATATCATTTTACATTGAACGCGGATTTCACATCACATAACAGATACCAAAGTTAACTGTCAAACACATACCTGCAAAAGTTGTGTCTGGACATATGTGGTCCCAGTCTCTGGGTCTTTGAAGGTGATTGCATGAGACGTGAGGATCTCGTGAGGGGCGATGGTAGGACCACTAGAGGGCGGCACCAGGTCTGTGGACTTGGGAGCAAGATCTGAAATGGGGAATACATACAACATTTAGAAAGAGCATTATGGATACCATTTGAAACTTTAACAGTCGCAATTTCTTACACTCATGAAAGTTGTCAAAGTAATAGAATAGAAGATAACACCAATCTTAGTTGGAGTGTTTAAAAAACATGAAACGAATAATATTATTCAGCCTAAGGTCCTCTTCATACTTGCCTTGTAAATGCAGCTCATCAAACCCAATGCTGGCTTTCTCCCTCAAGAGTTGTCGACGTCTCTTGGCCCTATCACTCAGGATGTGGTTGCTCATGTAATCTGTGCGTGCCGAGCCACTGTAGTTCTCCTGCAATAGTCTTGTAGCGCCCTCTGCTGAGGAATCTGGGAAAAAACAGGTTTACATGAACTTTTTGTTACACTTCAACAGACCACAAAAACTCTGAGTCTTATTTTAACAGTTTTACTATGCTCTTTTTAATGTATAGAGATGAAAGGGAAATCATGAAAAGTTGAAAACCGAAATCTATGCATAAAAATCTGGAAATGACCGTAAACATTGTAACATTTGGAAAAACTGAAAAAGTCAAGAGCCAAAGCTTAAAGGATTATACAAACAAGGCACTGAGAGAATAGACAGCCATTCTTCTCTAACCTGTAGCTATAGCTATCTTGGCTGTGGGAGAGGAGGAGGTGGCCGCCGTGGTGGTAATCAGGCTGTCTGTGCTGGATGTGTGGCTATCAGTCACTATGAGCTGTGTTACCACATTATTACCCACATGATGAGTGATCACATCATTTGGAAACTGGACCGCCGTCACAATGGACTGGTCACCTGCAGAAATGCATTCACTCAATATACTTTTGTCAAAATAAATTATGAACCAGGTTTTTCATGGTCTCTACAGAGGATGGTAGCATAGAATTTTTATTTACTTTGGCCAATTAAATAACATCAGTCAAATGTGAAATGTCATGTTTTACTAAAGTTATTTGGTCTCTAAGTAAAAAATATTTACGCACTTAACCTTGTATGCTTACACAACAATACCCAACCTGGCCTGATTAGTACTAGCCTTATTAACTTTCATCATTTGTGTTTAATCTCATTCAAATTCTTCCTGTTTAAAAGCAATATGTAGTACTCTCAGCTTTTTAACTACATACAGTACCTGTGGCAATAAAATCAGCAGGGTTTAGCAAGGTTCCATCTGGTGATGTCAGAATTACACTATTAGGATGGATAGTTACACCTGAAAAACAATGGATTTTAATGTAGCAGATTAGTTCTCTTTCTTCGATGTCTACATCTAAATCTACTACAAAGTACTTGGACAACTTATGACCTTTCCAATACAATATAAATATTTCAAACATTATTTCACACCTTGGGACCATCTTTTCTTAAAAAAACTAACACAAACCCAAGGGAAGTAGATTTACTAACAGTCTACTGTAATACTATACTAATCTCACCTGAACTGGTCACGACCTGTGACTGTGAGTAACCATCCAAGGAATTGTCCTGAAGTTCCTCGGCTAGAATTGGCACAATGTCAAACCCACTCCCGTCTGATTAGGGAAAATATATATGTATACTTCATCTAGACATTTCATCTTCAAAGTACATGCTTATAATTTGATGTCATCTTTTTACATTTTTATTTATTCATTTTTGTCAAGTTATTCAAACCTATCTGTAAATGTGCATATTTGAGAAGAAGTACATTTAACATGAAGAAATTACTATTTTGTGCTACTTTGCATGAAGTCATCAATGTTGAACTTAATTTACATAAAGAAAATTTTTCCATCATCTACACTGCCTCAGACAAACATCCCATAATGCACCCTGTTCACATCCCATAATGCACCGTTCCCTACCTGTGACGTCATGGGTGTAGTGTTTGGCAATATGGTTCCTCAAACTGATCTTGGTGATGTATTTCTTATCACAACCCTCCAGGGGGCAGTAGAAGATCACCTTCTTCTGGGGTTGGTTGTGTTTTTTAACGTGTACTCTAAGACTACACTTGGCACGGAAAGTGGCTGAGCACCCTAAAAACATATCACAAGCATTATATATACATATCAATTTTATTTCAAAACCTAGTAGCTGCAAGATTTATCTTCCACAAAAGTAAAATGAACAGGCTGTATCAGTACAAAAGCATCAAAACTGGTACAGATTTCACCCTTATTTTTCAAAAACACGATAATTTTTTTTTAATTATCTAATAGTAAAAAAAAAAGCATGACATGAAACCGTAAGGTCCGTACTAGTTGTGGCACATTTCAATGCTATAATCAGCTTAAACAGTTATCTGAATGTACCACTCACCTTCCACTGGACATCTAAACGGCCTGTCACCAGAGTGAGACAACACATGTTGTTATATTAACAGTTAGTTATCACTATGTACCACTCACCTTCCACTGGACATCTAAATGGCCTGTCACCAGAGTGAGACAACACATGTTGTTTTAAGTGTTCAGCTCTCAGGAAGGCTTTGTTACAGTTAGGATCTGGACATTTCCACTTTCTGTCCTGGGTGTGTTTCTGCTGGTGTCTGGTTAACTTACTGGAGGAGGTGAACGCCCAGCCACAACCCTACAAATATATTCCATAGGCACATACATAAAAAAAACACATTTTTCATAAAAAAAGAAAAAAAAAAGTTTTTTCATAAATATCTAAGATACATGCAAGATGACTTCATATAAATTAAAAAGTTTCCAAAAAAGATTCCAAAAAATAAAAGAAAATTTTACAAAATATACAGAAGTAAATAAAGCCGCCCAATTCAATTTGTCACTGTTAAAAATGCATATGGCATAATTTCATAGGAGCAATTAAATAAAAATATTTGTTCCATACAAGCCAGACCATAACTTACATCAACAGGACACACATACGGCTTCTCCCCTGTGTGCATTCTCTCATGCTGCTTTAGCCTGCAGAGTTTGTCAAAAACTCTGCCACAGCCTTCAAAATGGCAAGTGAGATCTCTGTCTTGTAGATGAACCCTTTTGTGAGACCCCATACAGCTCAGGGAAAAGAAGGTTTTATTGCATCCTTCATAAGGGCACCTGAAATGGGGTCAACATTCACAATGATCAAAATCTTGACCAGAGAGTTAGCCCTGACAGGGTAAGATATTAATAGTAGCTACTTCCTTATCACGGTTAACTACAAAGGAGATATGTAGGTCTATTTATGATGAAGTACTTTCACTTTCAGATTAATTGCCAGACTCAAAATGATATCCCATTTCCTACAAAAGAGAAAAATGGAAAAATTCTGTAGAGGAAAATAGAACCACTCTTAAATATATATTTTTAAAAACAATAAGTTCTCCTTACTTATACTTCTTCCCTTGATCCTTGTGGCTCTTCATGAGATGAGCGTCCAGCTTTCTCCTGGTATCAAAACATGCCTCACACCCCATCTCTGGGCAGACGTGGGAGTTGGGGCGCTTGTGGAGATCTATGTGAGTTCGTAGGTTGTAAATGGTTGAGAATTTTTTACCACAGCCTTCAATGTCACACTGGAAATATTAACAGCACTCACTGGTCAATAAATAGGACTCTTCAGAAACAGCTGATCGATTAGAAATACACCAACATACTGACATTTTTTTTTCAATATGCAACATTTCTTTAGTTTCCAAATCTTCAGCTTGTTAACTCTTTCTGTTATTAAATAAATTGAGTGAGGTTTTATTTCAGTTTATATTACACGAATTTTCCAAGACACTGATTTAATCACGGATGTGTAATCAACTTTTCAAGACTACCAACAAAATAGGAGCTACATACCACATAGTTCTTCTGCCCAAGATGAGACTCCATGTGTCGTTTTAGTTTATAAGCTGTAGTGAAGGCCCACTCACAACCATTCTCTTGGCACTGATGGGGGAGAAAAGGAAGCAACTTTTGATTTATAATATTCATTTTTCAAAACATAACTCAGATAAAGCATACAGGTATTTCTAAAAGACAACAAAAAAAATTTCACTTCTTAAGTATTCACGATGTTTACCTTAAACGGTCTTTCACCAGTGTGTTTCATCATATGAATTTTGAGCTTCACTGGTTTTTTAAATACTTTGTCACATCCTTCATATGGACATTTACACTTCCCCGCTGCCATCTGTGAGGTTGATGTATCACTGTCACTGACATTCTAAAATGTGACAAAAACAAAAATAAATTAGGTCATTCAAACTAGCAAATAAGGAAATAATTACAATATGTTCCAAACCTTAAAGATGACCGTTTCATAAATCATTTATAAATTTTCTTTTCTTTCATTCTTTTTTTTTTACTACTACCTTTTTAGTTACTATGAATGATTCCTTACATCTCTGATTAAACTGCTATCCAAGGTAATTCCATTTGTGTTAAAAGAAGCACCATCTAAAGGAATTGCCACCATACCTAGAATACCAAACATTATGAAGTCATATATTATGTATTCGAAACAGATTTTTTATCTGCTTGCAGTTTGAAAATTTAAGACACTGGTGCAAATTCTTTATATCAAATGTACAATTCTAAATATCAACAACCATTAAATGCTTTAAATGCATTAAAAACACTTTGACTTCACAAGACAGAAAGAAATCATCAAACATTGAGAACACTCATAAGAGATAGTGCTAATAAAGAGAAGATATGACTATTTGTTACTAGTAAATTGAGGGAGACCTAAATTTAATTTAAACAAAAATATCTAGAAAGATTTTTGGAAAGTATTTTAACAAATAAATCAGATGAAGATATTGAGTTCTAAGTATCAAAAACATGATCACTATCAGCTTCACCAAGTACTTATTACAAACAATTTGACCTATGTGCCTTAAACATTCTAAATATCATGTTATCTTTTGTTACACTAAACTGATTTATAAACAAGTGAGTTTCCACAAAGACTGCTATTACTTTTTTGACAGTACTCTCTATGTAGTCAAGTTTATGTAACATTTAATTAATGTCTGATCATCCTACAGTCAGACAGCTATCATTACCATCTTTAAGGTTTGCCACTGCTATGGTCCCGGCTCCTGGTCCTTGCGTAGTAGCATGTGCCCCCAGCTGCTCCAGTGCACTGGTAGCTTGAGTTAAATCTGCAGTGTTCAACTGGTATACCTGTAGCCCCTGAGGAGTCTGGAGTACTATATGGGTTGTATTTGAGCTTTTATCTGTGGATATGGATATAGAGGCCAATGAGAGAGGATTTGTGCTGGTGCCGTTTTCTGATGATTCTGTTTGTGTTTGGACAGGTTCCACCTGGGAATGTCCCTCTGCAGCAAGATCCCCATTAGGCAAGGACAGTTTAGCATCTCTTGGTCCCACAGATTCCTCAAATTCCAGTCCTCTTTCTGGCATAGCTTCTAACTCTTGTGGTGTCATGAGCGTGTTACTACGATCCTCTGATAAATTTCCAAATGAGAATTCTTGAATTCCTTGTGAACCGTGTTCCAATAAGGAATTTATTGATATTGCAGAGTCGTTACTCCCAGCTAAAGATAATGTAGACTGTGATGACCCAGGAGTTAAAGATTTAGTCATATCTGGTTTAACAGAGACTATTGATGATATGCCATCGGATGAATTGAGAATAAAACTACTGGAAGATGTCTGTTGTAAAGAACTTTCATTGGGGATAATGTTATTAGAACTGACAAGATCCTGAATACCTGTCGTTCCGAGTGACAGTGATATGTTTCTAGTAGATTCTGTGCCTGCTGCCTGACCCGAAGACGATGACAATGCAGCAACTCCTGCTGTCATATTAATTGAACATACAGCACTGCTAGCGTTCGTTTTTAGCCATCCATCGACGTGGTCGTTCAATGGCGTTTCTAAATCGCTTAAATTGGAAGGACTGTCATACGTGCCTTCGTGTGTTTTGTTATTTTTCATGGAGGCCAAGGAACCATCCTCAAGACCAGAAACAACTCCCTGACCGCCATCTTGAAATTTTGCCAGTTCATCCTCCTCCTTGCTGTCAATGAATTGTATGTTTTCGTCATCCAAAAACGACGATATACCGCTGTCTTGTTGAAAATAAGCCGGCTCATGCCCTGTCCCATGGGCGCCGCCATGTTTCTCGAGTTTCAGTCCCCCTTTTCGAAGCATTTTGGTCCCCGCGCAAGGACTACCATGCGGGGTTACCTCAACACAGTCCAAAGAATATTGTATGACGTGATTGGCTTAACTCGGTCAGCTGACCAGTCCAGCGCACCTGTCGCAATACGCCGCTTTTACGAAGGCACACCTACTGCAATAATTGCAATTTGTTCAGTCGTATGGGAAAGTGTCTAACCTGTAACCATTTGGTAGCACATTCTTTGGCCGAATATTTTCGGTTACTTATGACAAAGTTGATTATATGACACACGTGATTTCCAATGTAAATTCATACAATTGTCATCTAGCTTTTAAGGGAAAATTATTTACGATCACATATCTTCTTAAAAGCAAAAAAGTGACTGGTGTAACGACACCGAGGTTCGTGTAACCATTTAGTTATAATGGATATAATTCTATTCGGTTGAACGAATGGAATTATTTTCTCCTAGGGGGCGACACTGTATATATTGTGTTAGTTGTGATACTGGTAAGAATTGTGGGTAAGTTACGACAGTTGTTCATTCGACCAGTTAGCGCAGACCAGTTGACACGTAAATTTTTATTTTTCAAATTTTGTTTATGGTTTTGTTGTTTTAATTCGATTAGTACATGTGATTCATTTTGTTTTAGAACTACATTGGTTATTGCTGCAATGGCTATTTTTATTCAATGTTTAATATGACCCATTAGAGCCTGCGTCATCAAAACAAACGGCAGCCATTCTGGAGGGAGACCGGAATCGTCTGCTGCGCATGAACAAGCCATGTCTGTAGTTCAGTTTTCGTTTTCTGTATTTTCTTTGATATTTAACCGAGCAAAATGATGAATTACTGCAGGTTATTTGATCGAGAGAAGATAACTAACTTTACAAGCGTTCACAGGCTGCCTGCAGTGGTAACAATCCATGGTGAAGGAACTAAAACCATAAACGGAGGAGAGACGGCGAGGTGGCTTTGAATCAAGACTCTTCGGAAAAGTAAAGGATAAAACTAATTTATTTTAAAGCAAAGAATGAAGAGCCAGCGGTGCAGATTTTACCATAAAAGAAAAAACAGTAGAAAACCAAAGACCTAGGTGTGTACATTTGGGGCGCACGTACACTACATATATATTTAGTGCCCAAAAAGTTTGGGTGGAGAGTGTGTTAATTTGTTAAAACGTGTGGAAATACCCAGGCAGGGTTTCGACTTTTATAATGAAGACTCACCTATTGCCTTGGGTGTAATTTGTTATCATTTACGGTGCTCTCTAGATTTTATCGGCTGTCACCTACCTCTTTAATACCTGGTTAGCATTATTGCCAATTAGTGTCAAGGCTATATTTGTACTGTACACAGCTGAGCTGGGCCAATTAAGTCAATTACCTGTATGAGGTGCATTTGGAAGTTAGTGGCTTAATTTTCGATTTGGTGTAGTGATAAGAGTAATTTTATTTTGCAAGTAAATTCTACCTCAGGTGTAATTGACATATAACCTCATGAAATGAATTTGCACTTTCCTCTGTAAAAATGTTAAATTCTGCTCCTTTCAACAGTAATGTTGTAAGTTACAATACGAATAAAAATCACTATTGTCATCTTTCTATTAATTTACATTTAGGAAATTGACTGGCATTTCCCATAAATACATAAATGTGAAAAATGCCTTGCTTCTGTGAATGACTGAATAATAATAAAATCCTAATATGTTGCTTATATGAATGGTTGCATGGTGAATAATAAACTCACTCAAACAACAGTCTTGTTACATGTACTTTCTAATGAACCAATATGAAGAACAAGAATGCTGAAATAATTTCTGACAGCTTCACGATGTAGAGATAAGTCATAACTGACAGCAATATTTCATGTCATACTTTATGACAATCCTGCATACATTCTTCCTTGAGTCCACAAGGGTTTATCCTGATGATCAGCTCAAATTTCTCCTTATATCTATCCTTTATGAAAAAAGTTGCTTCTATGTAATGTTAAACTTATGATTACACATTAAACTCTCTCAAACTATAACTGTTATTACCCAATGAACAAGAAAAATGAAGTACAAGATAACTGAACTATCTTCTGACAACACGATGTTGGATAAGTAGCATTTGGTAGGATTTCATGTTTTTAGACTGTCTTGAGTTCATATTGGTCGATCCTGCTGAGCAGCTGAAGCTTCAGCTTGTATATATCCTTTTCCCTTTGGTGTACTTGATCGCGATATGAAGTTTATTTTATTTTATTTGGTTCACCTATATTACCGCTACTATTCCCTGTCGTTCATTCCCTCCAGCATGGCCGCGGGACTAGTGTTACGGAGCAAATATGACGTCACTGTAATGGGTTAATAGTGTATGTTGTGTTAGATTGTACATGTACACTGTAGGCGTACAGTGTGCATGGGTGCGTGTTTGGAGGTGCGATTTATGTTTATTAATATATAAATTTAATGATTGATTTATATGAGCTGTTTGGGAGGTAGTTTTGCACTTGTGTAGTGGAGAGATGAGCTCGAAAGAGGTGTTTGGGAGGTGGTCTCTGGTGATTTCCTATGTATGGGAGAAATGAGATCGGCAGTGCTTGGGTTGTGATATTCTGTTAAATCCCTATGTAAGGGAAAGATGAGCTCGGGAGAGCTGTTGGGATGTTATATCCTTATGATTCCTTAAAAATGGATAGGTGAGCTTGGAAGAGCTGTTTGGATGTGATATCCTGGTGATTCCCTATGTAATGGAAAGTNTCGATATACCGCTGTCTTGTTGAAAATAAGCCGGCTCATGCCCTGTCCCATGGGCGCCGCCATGTTTCTCGAGTTTCAGTCCCCCTTTTCGAAGCATTTTGGTCCCCGCGCAAGGACTACCATGCGGGGTTACCTCAACACAGTCCAAAGAATATTGTATGACGTGATTGGCTTAACTCGGTCAGCTGACCAGTCCAGCGCACCTGTCGCAATACGTCGCTTTTACGAAGGCACACCTACTGCAATAATTGCAATTTGTTCAGTCGTATGGGAAAGTGTCTTACCTGTAACCATTTGGTAGCACATTCTTTGGCCGAATATTTTCGGTTACTTATGACAAAGTTGATTATATGACACACGTGATTTCCAATGTAAATTCATACAATTGTCATCTAGCTTTTAAGGGAAAATTATTTACGATCACATATCTTCTTAAAAGCAAAAAAGTGACTGGTGTAACGACACCGAGGTTCGTGTAACCATTTAGTTATAATGGATAGGGTTTGTCCGACCTTAGCGGGTCAAAATCTAGGTCGAGGCTTACCTGTACAAATGAATAGGCAGCAGCCTCGTTATCATGGGAGGGGGGGAGGGTCTCCGTCACGTCATACTGGTGCAACAGGTAAGGTAATCCACGGAGTAAAAGTCGGGGTGCCATTCGACCGATTCTGGATTCAACTGGCTCAATACGTAGGGCTTCAGCTCATGGCGGTTAAGTATCCCTTCTTTAAATTTTTAAAAATGTTTTATTAAACGTCAAACTGACGTCCCAGCACTTTCATTTAACAAACCTAGCACAGTGCTGTATCCAAAGGACCATTTTAGCAAAAACTTTATATTTTTTGCATGTTAGCGTGTTGCAAGTTCAACAATCACACAAAAAGCATCTCAATAGGGATATATCTACTGCAAAAACTTTTTTGCTTGACAGCATGACGTTTGTCACCCCCCTCCCCCTCCCTGTGGGATATCCTGCCAATGTTGGCCAGAGAATAAAATATAAAGCAAATAAAATTCAAAACGAAAGTAAAGGAATCCATCAAAAACACAGGGTTGGGCAAACTGGAACAGTGAAGATCTAATAACAGTACACCAATTCTTCATTTACAGTTCCTTAGTATCTTTTTTTTATTCATTAATGTTTATATTTTACAAGATGTTCAGAATTTTGCGAATCCCTTCTTTCCTGCTGCTCTACTCTTCACCTTCAGGACATTGAAACGCACAGTTTTACTCAAAGGACGACACTCTCCGACAGTTACCACATCACCTAGCGTCACGTCCCTGGAACAGAAATCCAACAATATACAGACAATTCTACACGTTGATGACAATATTTTAAAAACAATTTTCAATGTTTATTATTGTAGCTTTATAACAGATAACTGATAAACGAGCAAATGTAGAAAAGGCAACTACGCAAATAACTGCTGAAAGACTTGTTCAAATTTGCATTTGAGAAAAACAAACTGCATTTTAACCACTGACAATGTTAATATTGAAAGTCAACAGCACAAATCATATCAAAGATTATGGGAAATGTTTTCAACATACATGAATTTTAATTTGTACAATAAAAATATTACCTGAAGCAGGGACTTAGATGCACAGACATGTTCCTGTGCCTTTTCTCAAATCTGTTGTATTTCCTCACATAATGAAGGTAGTCCCTACGGATGACGATGGTGCGCTGCATTTTCATCTTCAATACCACTCCAGACAATATACGCCCTCGGATCTGTACATTGCCTGTGAATGGGCATTTCTTGTCTATGTAATGGCCCTCTGAGGCCTGAAACATAGAATAACATGATACTTTACATAGGGTTATCAAATTTAATCTATACAGATTTTTCTGACTTAAATTTACTGCATCAGCAACATGCCATCAGGCATTTTCATCAGTGATATTATGAAGACCATCGTGATTAAAAACATCACTTGCAGCATATTGAGATACTCCGGCCTGGGGCCAGATGTTTATAAGTGATTAGGAAAAGCTCAATATCCCAGGGGGAGAGATTAAAGGACAATGCCTTAAGATCATTCTTAAAGGTATCCTTTCTTGGATCTTCCTGCCAAATCAAATTTTCTCAAATGAAATCAGTTTCCCCTTAATCACAATTCATTGCTGAACTCAGCCCTACACTTAGATCAAATGTTTACATCATTTCTAATTTAATAACTTAGTTCTAAATGACCAACCAGTCTTCCAGTCAATTTGACCAGCAAGTCTTCCTGTACATTTCTGAAGGCAATTTTATGAAGGTTTTATAGTCTTTAAGGTCTAAATTGGGCATGATAAGTACCTTTGAGAGTTATGTCCTAAACCAATACCTGTGAAACAACTTTAATTTGTTAATCATGTTATGAAACTCATATCTAAGCCGTATGTCAAGTAAATCACAAGACAACCTACCTCTCTGGGTGTCTTAAATCCCAAACCCACATTCTTCACATATCTCAACTTTTTGGTACCCTTCCCTGACAGGAGGGACCTCTTCTTGTTCAAGAAGACAGTTGGCTGCTTTTGAAACGAACGTTCAGTCTGAAATTAATGGAAACAATTGGTGACATCTTGCAATTGACTCATGAGAAAGACAGCAAATTACTGATAGTTTCATTTAGAATTGTTACTGAGATCAATGTAATTTATCATTTACCATTACTATCCGTTTAGGAGTCTTATTATACTAGTGTCACAGGATTTAGTTGCTTTTGTGCCCATTCCACATGGGGGGGGCTCGTTCTAAAAGAGGGTCCGAGTGTTTGCATATGAGAGAGAGAGAGAGAGAGAGAGAGAGAGAGAGAGAAAGAATGGTGATAATGATAAAAAAATGCTGAAAGACAATCAGCAGGTAATAGCCATTTAATTTCCTTAATTCGAGTTAAAACTTTATTTGAGGACACAAAATATAATGAAAGAAAGAACAAGCAAAAGATGAAGGGAAATAGGAATGGGCCATAGACTTTTGAGGGAAATATATTTTTACCCAGATTTCGGCATAGAGTAGCACTTTTCTAGAACATTCCCCTTAGTATCATGTTTACCGTTTTAAAATATTGAGGTTAACAGGCTACGACATGCCTTTGAAATACCGAAATTTGTATTCACATGTGTACTAACCTGGTCCGCCATATTGGCCAGCCACTGTAGAAAGAGACCGGAACAGGTTTGACTTTCACAAAATCAGGGAGTGCGAAGACATTGTTTAGCGGAAGTGGCTGCTCTCCAACCACGGACCTCGTTACAGTACAATAACTTATTCGGAACCGAGGTGTCTGCATCGAGATGGCACTGTTACCCAAAATTGTGTCTGTGGGAGGTTCAAGATCATGGGTAAATATCTTCCTTGTTCTTTTGTCATATCTGATGCCATTACTTTGAATACTGCTGTGACAGACTACGCTGTAGCTGCATATGCGGCTTTATGCCATAGCGCCTGTGTCACCTTCTACTCAGTAGGGTAGTCTACTACTGTTCTTGAACTGAACTTGAAAAAGTTGAATCATGATGATCTTCTGCGGTACTTTTGATTGAGGCAAACTTGTTTGTCAAATTGACATCACAATTTAGTAATTCCGTTTTATCTGCCCATTTATTTCAGCTGTTACTGTGCAGAACACCGTGTTTTCAGGCAAGAAGTATGACAAGCGGGAAGGATACTGACAAAAAAGGTGAGTTGGGCACTGCATACCAGCAGACACTGAAATTTAGTCATGCCTCTTACATACACACACACGCACACACAAAACTTCATTTAATGATGGAAATGTAATAGTACAGCAATCTCCAATTTTGTCAAAGTTAACTTTACTCATTAAATGATTTTATGTATTTTAGCATGTAATTACAGTAGTTTTGACATAAAGCAAACAAGCATAAGATATCCCACATTGAACTCAAATTTATCATAATTTCCAGAGGTAAATGGTATTTTTCTCATCAAACCAACCTTTGAACCTTCTTTCCTGACACACACCATAACTCTGTATAACTAGCAATCTGAAGAAATTATGTGTTTCAAAACATTACACTTACACAATAATAATTTGTTGTGTTTATCATAATTATTATCTTGTCAAATTAAAGTAAAATTTTGAATAATATTTTATGACAGGTCCACAGCAGACGAAGGCTCCAGAACCAAAGTCTCCACCAAAAGAGGACAGCAGTGGAAATACATACAAAGTTAAAGAATACTACACCAATAACACATATTCTTTTTACAAAATGGAACATGACATGGAGAAACAACGTATTGGACAACCTAGTTCACTAAAATGACAAGTTTAAAAAGAAACTTATTTACACAGACAGAAACATTTATTGTGCAGATGCACAAGTAGATGGCATTTGCGTGGCATGTCATGCTTATCTGGGCTGTTGGTTTACTGCAGTTGTTTGTAGTAAAGACGGAACGTTTTGTTGTTGAATAAAATTTTTATTAAGTTTTCGACTTCTATCCAATTGGACAGTGCGACTGTTTACATATATTTATTAAAACATTCTTTCAATTAGCTCAGAATTACACTCAATTTATAAAAAATATATTCCTGATAAAACAACTTTATAAAAACTTAATGGACTATGACTCAAAATAAAATGGCAAACTTACTTTGTTTCATGAAACCTTTCCAAGAATAAATTGTAAGCAGGGGATCATTAAAATTTTTCTTTTACAAAAATGCAGCAGCTTGCATATAAAAATAAATTTTAAAAATCTCAGTAGTTTCTGCACTGTTTGGATAATAACACTTGAATGCAGGACAATTATTTTTATGTGAAAATAAAAGTTGTCCATAGTCTACAAATCTGCATATAACAACTGTGAAACGAGACATTGTTGATAGTTCAATATTCCTATATACAAATATAAACATTCAAAGTGTCAACACAGTTCATAAATTAAAATCAAAAGGCTGAAATGCTGTTCTCAATTCCTTTGCCATGTTGGTTTCCTCCTCTTTGCTATACTTGCAATTCCTCCAATCCACCCTGTCAAGCATATTCAGCAGCTCTGGGCTTGCAAGAGCCTCTCTGAAAAAATGCCAATTACCATAACCTGAATGAAAACTAGCAACAAAAACTACTAAGAGACTCAAAAATAGTTATGAGTTCAATTTAATGTAGACCCTTTGTCAGCACATGTATCATGATCCTTTTTCTTCCACCGACTGGAGTGATTAGTCTGACTCACTTAAAGCCTCTATTCAAACACTGTAGCAGGCCCGTAGTCAGCAATTTCAAAGGGGAGTTATCTTATACCATGAAATATTTGTATACATAGATCAAATTTTACCCAGAGCAGACCTCTCCCCAATTAAAAGGGTGGATTGTTTGACTGCCCTCCCACTACTTGCCTGTGAAGCAACTTCTTATGTTATGTATACTGATGGAAAAAAATGTCAACATACCTGCCAAACTGAAGTGGAAAGTTCTTTGAGATTCTGTGAAGCAGCTTGTCACCTGTTGGAAGTTCTGCATAAAAGTAAGGAGCACCAACAGGAACTATCTGAAAATATTGATTACATTCTTTTAAACATTTTTTGAAAATTTGACTTTAAATGTATGCAATATTTTAATGGCAGACTCTCATGAACAATCCCCATTTCATTTTAAAACTCACCTGTTTCAGATCAGAAAGCTTTGGAATTTCATGGAGCTCTAACTTTTGAAATGATGCACACTCATCAAAAACTTGTTTCACATCTTGTACATGATCTCTTTCAATTGGACAGGCCTGAAAATGTGAAAATATTACACAAAAAAATCTATTACTGTAAACAAAAGTTACTTCTGTAATTTCAGGCTATCAAATATATATTATATTTATATTTTGATGTTTTTCAATTTTTGATTTCACACCCATGCACTTTAGATCTGTCTTATGTTTAAAATGTAAACATAAAATTTATTTTACACCTACCTGAATCTGCAGATGCTGAGTACGAAAATTCCTTTCAAAAAACACTGCTGCTTTTCCTAAACTCTTATAGAATTTTTTCAAAGCTGATTTGAATGTGAAGAAAGGTTAAGAAGATAAAAGGTACATATTTGAACCCCACCCCTCTTCTACAAACACACCTGCAGTAATACCCCTTTTGAAACATGTCAAACAAATATTCTTAAAACAGCCAAAAATCATGCAAAATATGAAATATTTTATCCTTGGACTGAACAAACTAGTTACCAACACAATCTATTCCAATGCTTATAATAATTTTAAATTAAGAAATACTGGTACTTCTGTAAGGGAAAGGATATTGTTCTATTTCACTCCTCACATCATCTGGTAATGACACTGTTGACTGGTAGTGACCAATGGGTAAAATCAGGACATGTTCTGGAACCAGTGGACCCTTGGCCAGGGCCAAATATACCTGTAAGAAAATACACAGAAATCAATTCAAAATACCCTTACTAAAGATAAGTCAGGCTCAAACTTATAATTCTAAATCAACCACACTATGAAAGCATGCAGCAGTTTACCTGAGTTCCAATACTGATCACCAGGTGCTTCTCCACTTCTGGACTTCCAAGACAGAACCAACAAGGCCCTGTTGGTTGAGCTAGAAAAATTAAAACAGGAGTTGTAAAATTTGGTTAACAATCAAAAATATCTTAGAAATAAATTAAATGTGAGAGCAATAATGTTAAGTTTAATCAAACTATAACTGGACCAAGAATGCTTCTACCAAGATGTATTCTCTACTATAAGGTCATAAGGTCTTATAACATAATTTTTTTCACTTTATTCTAAACCTTTTCAGAATCATGGGTTGCTGACAGATACTTGTTATGTTTCTTTTAAGTGATGTGTTAAAACAGGTGATTTTAAAAATCCAAGGTTATTATAGACCCTTAACCTCTACATACGTGGTTTTCTCTGTTGTTTTTTCTCTGGTGGTCCTTTTGTCTTGTCCCCTGGCCTTTTCTTCCCTTGGCCACCACTCATATCATAAAAGAACTGAGTACTTGATTCTTCCTGTAATATCCAAGAGAAGAAACATACTAATTCAGCAGTAAACTTGGGGTCATTCTGCAGTATTTTTCATTCCAAAAAATTCCTGCCCCCTCCCCCTATTAAAATACACTAAAATACACATACATCTTTTACAGAACTGATATTCTCAATTAAGTTAGACAGTGATATTTCTCACTGCCATCAAAATAATTTATTTAAAAAGTAATTCCACAGTCAGGGTAAAAGATATTGTGTAAATGTCCTTAAAAAGATGGATTTTTATATAATTATGCAAAAGATATGGTTTTAACAGACTACAATATAAAAAAAATCCACCTGTGCCTTAGGTTTGGCCTGTACTGGTATATTTTTATACGGGCACTCTGTCACATCCTCCGGTTGCTTCACCAGCTCCTCAGAGTTCATTTTATTCAGAGGTACAATATTCATTGCATATAACCACTGAAAAAATCAAAACCTTCAATAAAACCTGCTTTCTTTCCTTAAAAATTTGAAATTAAAAATATTAGAGTGGACAGTGTTATGGTATAATTAACTGTAAAGTGTTGTCTTGAAGAAAACTGTCACTTTATTTTTTTTTCTAAAACATGTATATGTTTAATAAAAAACATTCTTACTTTTTTCTTTTCTTTGTTTCCCACTTTGGCAAGAGCAAGAAACCGTGTTACATGTTTTGCGCTCTCTGCTAAAACTTTGTGATTTCTGAAATATGCAAACATCCCAACAGTAAGTCATGCCATTGTGTGAAATTCAAGTAAAAATGAACACAAAACAATTTCAATTTTTATTTCTTTTGAAATCCATATGAATGAATAAGTAGATCAAATGTTTCTTACCTGTATGGCTGTCTTTCATAAAATGTCCCCTCTAGGCCAGAGAAATGATACCTGGGTTTGAGATCCACTGCTAATTGTGCAATAAAGGAAGAACCAGTTGTATTGCTGTCAACTTCTTCCTACAGACACCAAGAGGACAATTTTTATATCTCTGTATATATGTCAATATAACTCAACATAATAACTGTAGGATGAATTGATAGCACAAAGAAGCTACACATAAATAGTTATTAACAAAACTGTGTCAAAATGTTATTTCTTCTCTGACTTCTTACGGTAGTCTTTGAACACAAATTCCACTTACTGCTTTAGATCCATACTTTTCCACACCCCTGGGCCATTGAGATGTTAATAAAATATCCACACCTTTGTAATTTGAAGAATCTGTTTGAAGGGGTACCCTGATAGAATTCAAATCTTCACTTGAAAAATGGGAGGCATCGCTTTCATCTCCCTCCTTTCCACAGAGATAGGCTATCTGTAAACCTGAGCTGCCACTGAAGACACCCTTCTTCCCTGGAAAAATTGTTTTATAAGATCACAGTTCCAGTAATCATGTGAAAAAGTATGAAAAAATAACAAAAAACTAAAACAAAAGGAAATAACTTACCTAAATATGTAATGTTATCACAGAGTTCAGTACCATTAACATCTTTAAAATGATCTCCATGATGTTCCTTGCTAGGTCCAAGAATAAATGTGGATATTGGTGCTGAAAAAAAAAAAACAGGGATTCACACAGACTTGTCAATCTAACATATGAACACAAACAACGTTTCTTTGTTTATATGTAAAATGCAACTCAGGCAAGTTATTTTTTATAAAATAGTCTATCAGAACAGTGCATCATTAATATTATGCTACCGTACGTGCATCTTACCCAAAGATGCCAAGTGCTTCTTGACCTGAACTAAAAAACAAATCTGATAGGAAAGACTAACCTTTGAGGTTACCCTTAAGATATTGCTGAAATTCTTCATCAGAATCACCAAAGAAATCTCCAACACACAACAGCATCTAAAACATGAAAATCAATGTGCAAGTAAGTTTTTTTCTAAAGGTTCTAGATATACAATATACAATAGGTAACATGAAAATTCATGTGTTTGCAATCCTATATACGTTTCCTGGTATGTACAGATGTGCAACAATACATGTGTGTGTGTGTGTGTGTGTGTGTGTGTGTGTGTGTGTGCAGGAGTGTCAATGCATGAATTTCCTTGATATAAGAGGTTTAATTTTATTAAATTGAAAGTGGCATTTGCAACAAGATTAACATATTTGTGTACAGAAAAATTCATAGAATATTTGTTTTGTTCAAGCAAAAACTCTTGCTTATTCATAACTTTATTAAATGACAGAATATCAATCATAATTGAACACAATGTGTGGAGTTCACTTACATCAAATGGCCCACCTTTCTTCTGTATGGTATTTATCCTATTATACAGCTGTGTTAACTTTCCTTCTACATCCCCACTAACTAAACTGGTAATGTGAAAATTAATGAAAAGAGATTTAAAAAAAGCATTATAACATCTAACCTTTCTAACATATTGAACATTTAAATTGTTAAAAAATTTAACTACAAAATTTTCATTGAATAAAGCATCAAAGAAAAATTGTGTTTTACATTATTTTAATTTTCAATAACCACAATATTTGACTGTGAAATTTCGAACGCGGAATTGGGTATAACGTAGTAACTGTTACCGTTAAGGTTATAACTTATTCTGTGGAGTTTTTTCAGAAGCTGTATTTCCAATCAACTTGAGAGTAACGTGAAAGAGCGGTATTCAGATTTATCACTTAGAGTGAAAGCAGCGGCGTCCCATAACGTTTATAATGTTACAAATACCAGATATAACTTACATCTTTAATGGCGTAGTCGACATTTTTCTTTGATCCTTCAGTAAAACCGGCAGACTGTACAAACGTGACAATATTACAGGAAAGTTTACAAAAACATGTGTCTCGTCTTGTTGAAAATGACAACCGCTGTTTGCTGATGTTACCTTTCTATTTACTGATGTTAGTTGTGACTTACGTTAAATTTATATCATATATTTTTTATTGTATAGCTCATCAAAATATTTTTGAATATTCAAAACCATCACAACTACCCACGTTTAGCCACGTTTATCCATTAACATTATTAAAATTTGGCTTGTCCTGAATATAATAGGACAGATGCTTTATCGAAGAACATGGCATTCCCTTTTCCTCTCTTCTGCTTCTGTAGTTTTACGAAATAAGGTTTTAGATTTATTTAAACGTATCTTTAAAATACAACCAGGGGTGTCACGGTGAGTATTATATAACTTTTTGGAAAGAGTGTTACTATACAATGACGTGTCACCATCACTTTTTGCGACGATCCAAATTTAAAAACATTAGAGGATGCAATGGAAACACTCCACAGGNTATTCCATAACACGAAATTCACGGAATCCCCAAATTGCCCGAAATCCGTGCGTTAGGATCTTTCATTTTAATCATCATTTTCACAATTTTACGAACCGCACGCTGGGTGGAGGGGGTTAATGCCCTCTATACACTAAAAAAAGATTATCCAAATTGCTGTTTTAGGTCATCATTTTTAGCTTTTCAGCTTGTACAATGTACATGCACTCTCTGAAGGAAGGGGGTGGGCTTCTGGAAAAAAAACTATTTTTTGTTTAAAATGGATAACCCCTTAGTACTCCTATTGGCAATTTTTGAATATGCACGTTAGTGTGCTACATGTAGTACAGCCATAGCCAACTACAGGAATGTAAGACAGAAAACTGAGGCAACCTGAAGATGATGGAAGTCACAGACATCATAACAGTGAAGTTGTTAAAGCTAATGGAAAAGAACAATACAGAATCATTGCCATTGATATGCACAGACACCTTGTATTTATACTATAGGGCATGGTCAGTACCACATGTCCATTACTGCTGGTTTCTCAGACTTTGAAACTGTTTGATGGAAAAAAAGCACTTGAACTTTAAAGATGTGTTTCATTTAACATGAAACATATATGGCTTGGGTTTAATGATATACATCATTTATTGTAGGGATGAAAGTACAGCTATAAAACCGAAGGAACACTTGTAGTGGAGTCTTGGGGAGAGAAGTACTAGTGCTATGATACAAGATATCCTGAGAGTTGCAGTTGTGCCACAGATGAAAAGATTCACACAGGAGATAAACCATATAAATGTCAGGGCATTGGTAGACAGTAAAGTGAATGAAGCCAAAGATTCTCTTTAGAAAGACTCACAGAGATGAAAAGCCACTCAAATGACAGTTCTTTGAAAAGAGATATGGTTACAATTGTCATTGTATATGGCATGAAATGACTCCCACTGGAGAAAAACCCTTTAAATGCCAGTACTGTGAAAAGGCATTCATTACAAAATCTTTATGTACACAACATAACAGGATTCACACTGTAGAAAGACAATTTAAATGTCAGTTATGTGAAAAGACATTTATAACAAAATCTTTGTGTAAAAAACATGAAATAACTCACACTGGTGAAAAACCATTTCATTGTCAGTACTGCGAAAAAACATTTATTACAAAATCTTTATGTAAACGACATGAGAGAATTCACACTGGAGAAAGACCATTCAAATGTCAGTACTGTGAAGAGAGATTCATTACAAAATATGCCTGTATGCGACATGAGAGGACTCACACTGGAGAAAAGCCGTTTGTATGCCAGTACTGTGAAAAGACATTCATTACAAAGTCTGTATGTAAAAAACATGAAATAACTCACACTGGAGAAAAACCATTTACTTGCCAGTACTGTGTAAAAACTTTTATAACAAAATATACACGTATACAGCATGAGAGGACACACACTGGAGAAAGACCTTTTAAATGTCAGTTTTGTGAAAAGGCTTACATAATAAGATATGACTGTAAACAGCATGAGAGGACTCACAGTAGAGAAAAACCATTTAAATGTCAGTACTGTGAAGAAAGATTCTCTGCTAAAAAAGCATGTAAAGGACATGAAATGACTCACACTGGAGAAAAACCATTTAAATGCCAGTATTGTGAAAAGAAGTTCATTACAAAATATGCTTGTAAACAGCATGAGAGGATTCACACTGGAGAGAGACCATTTGAATGTCAGTTCTGTGAAAAGAAGTTCATTGCAAAATATGCATGTAAGCAACATGAAATCACTCACACGGAAGAAAAAACGTTTAAGTGTCGATACTGTGAAAAAAGGTTTCATAGGAAAGAAGGATGTAAACAACATGAAAAAACTCACACCACAGAAAACCCATTTAAGTGTCAGTACTGTGACAAGAGGTATCCTACCAAGTTTATTTGTAATCAACATGAGGCGTTTCATAGCAGTGATAACCCACTCAAATGGAATAGTGTCCCTGGGGTAAATGGGGACAGTAGTACTGCACAAAGAATAATAGAAAATCATAGAGGATTAAAACAAAACAATCCTGTCTTGTCTAAAACAGAGAGTGGGGTGTTGCTTATTTCAGTGAAAAAGGAATTTCTGGATGTAACTGCAGCACAAGAGGCAAATGAAAAACCAAATGAATTGTGTACAGAGACATGGGCCATACAAAACTCTGTGAAAACCGAGGATAATATGGCTGCTCTGGAAGTGCTACCCGAGATATATCCTGTTGCTATGTTTAGAAATGTTTTTGCAGGTGATAATAGATAATGCATAAAGCAGTATCATTAAAGGGATAATAACTCTTCGTTTTGGCCAAAAAAGTGCTACCTGGGATATATCCTGTTGCTATGTTTAGAAATGTTTTTGCAGGTGATAATAGATAATGCATAAAGCAGTATCATTAAAGGGATAATAATCTTCGTTTTGGCCAAAAAATGAATTTTCCTGGAGTAAACAATAATTTTTCCATACTTACCAATGGTTAATGAATCCATTTTTACATTCAAAGTTTGTCCCTGTTTTTTTTTTTTTTTTTTTTTTTTTTTTTTTTTTTGTTAAAATCTCTTAAGAGATTATAACAGAGTATAGCCATTTATGGAGGTCACGTGGTCTAAAGACAAGCTCAGATATCAGAATAATAGCCATAACTACTGTTTTTGTGGTAAAATAAATTTTATTCATATGAGTTGTTCACATTGTTTTCATTGTGAAATATAGATCTGATACAAAGAGTAATTATCCCTTTAAGGTCTACCCTTTAACTTTGATTATGAATGCGGTATCTTTTACAAGGCAGCAAAGCTGTCAAATGTACAGACAGAAAAAAACAAATTAAAGATGCAGAAAATAGATCATTTTGTCAATTTTAATAAATAATGCTTATAATAGCACAGTCAATCAACAATGAATTTTAATCATGCAAAACAGCTAACATGGTCAAAAACAGGAACGGATCCAGAGATATTTTCTGACAGTATTTCAAGTTATCTTTGTTGATCCATCTTCCATTTTTGATGGTCTTCCAACAGAAAAAAGTAGATACTCATCAATGTTAACTTTAAAATCTGACCGTTTTCAGAAGACGGTCTCAATCTGCCCTTGCAATAACATTACAGTTTCAGGACCATGAGAGTTCAAATTCACATAATGAAAATCCCAATATTTGAAAAATGATGACAGTGCATAAAATAGTATTACATAATATTTAAAGACATAAATATCAATATAACTGCTTATGCGGAAATACAGAAAATGTGCAGAGCTTCAGGTGGATTGGAGTTAAAAGTCATATATTAAAAATGCCAGTGTTTCAAAAAAAAATTAAAAAGAAAACAAACTAGAAAAGCACTCTGAGAGCCTCTGATTATTGATTGATTATTGACCTGGATCACCACCAAAAACTAATCACTTCTAAGTTAACCCATTTCTGACCTACCCTGAAAAATTCATTAAAATCGGTCCATAACTTTTTGAGTTATGTTGATGATTGATTTTTGATTATTGATTGATTATTGATCCGGATCACCACCAAAAACTAACCATCTGTCCCTTGGCCCACTTCTGGCAGTTCCTGAAAATTTCATCAAAATCGGTCTTTAACTTTATGAGTTATGTTGATGACAGACAAACAAACAGGGGTGAAAACATAACCTCCTTGGCGGAGGTAAAAATAGTCCGATCAAGCTGATTTTCGAACTTGACCTGCGTATTATGAATATTCATCGGTTCTGTAAGTTTAAAGTCAAAAGGTAAAACGGTTTTCAACTATCGTGTTTTCGGTGTTGCATGCATGCTGAAACAAGGGGAAAAAAAGCATTAAACTTCCATGAAAATGTCCCGATCAGCCTGATTTTCGAACTTGACCTGCGTATTATGAATATTCATTAGTTCTGTAAGTTTCAAGCCAAAAAGTAGAACGATTTTTACCTATCGTGTTATCGGTGAAAGTGCACGGAGACGACGGCGACGACAGATGCAGGTGACAGCTATATGTACAGGTATTATCCCGCATTATCTGTGCCCCCGACCCCCTCTCTAAATCCGCCATTGTAATAATATGATAATAAAAAATTGAATACAACTTTGAATTCATTCAGTTTTATTTTTGGACTCTTTAGCATGTGAAATGCACCTCTATATTGGGTTTGGGTGTCTAGCTTTTTCCATATTTGTACTCGACCTGCACATGAACAATGTAGACCTACTTTTCCTTATTAGGAAGTTAACCTCTGGTAGCTTGATGATATAAAATCAATGACACAGTCTCTATACCAAATATGGATAAAGAAAACGCAGTAGTACCAAACACAGCATTTGATAACCGATTTGATTACCAAAAAAGGTGCCGAATTATTATTGATTCGTAACGTTACATGCTGGTTGATTCATGCAGGGATATTTTTGAGCACACCTGTGACAGATTTCCTTTTAAAGAGACTTGTATTTGTGGAGGGAATGCGTATAAATAGTCCTGAAATACATCGCTAATAGTTATATTGGACCGAAAAGCGCATAGAGAGAGAGAGAGAGAAAACGTTCAATAAATAAAACTACGCCTGCAAGTTTATACCAATAGTCAAAATGGTAAGGTGTTAGATTCTCATGTTATTTAACTTAAAAGTAATGTTAAGTTAACGTTTATTGCTTTAAAACATACTTAGGTAGCAAGGAGCTCTTTTTTGTGTTAATGAACAAATCATTCCAAGGCTTCAGGGAGCGGTTATTGGGCTGCCTATGTAAGTGATAGTTATGGACAGATAAGTAAATCGTAATTGTGAAGCTTTCTTCTTACTACCGTCCTCGTGGCCTCAATGTTTCAATTAGTTTATGGACTGTTTGATTCTTCAACCATGCCTTGAATTTTTCAGTCTTCTGGAGTTCAAGTACTAGAGGAATGCCTGACAGCCTATAATGACATCAAAATGAATAAAAAATATGTCTATGTCATCTTTAAAATCGTAGACCATAATGGCAAGGCGCTCTCCGCGATTGGTGTAGATCGTACTAGATGCAGTACTGGCCAAAAAGATCAGGAAGAACAAGGTTTGTTGAAACTGCTAATTAGCTTTTAAAATATTACCAAAAAATACCCCTTTACTGTTTTTAAAGTGTATGTATTGGAAAACATACGTGGGGTTCAGGGCCCGAAAAGTTTTTGGTATTTTGGGTGTCAGGACCTGACAGCGCTGAGTGTAGAGCATTTTGTACAGTGTATGTACTCGTAGTCTCTGACAATGGTAAAACTTGAATATTAATTCTGAATATATTCTTAGTCATTAACAATAAAAAACATTTCCATAACTTTATTGTTCAATTGATTCCCAATTCCATATGTTAAAATTGTATTGCAGATAAGGCCTATCAAGAATTCCTTGATTACTTAAGAGATACAGAAGAAAAAAGAGAGTGCTGTTACGCTCTTTTTGACTATGGGTACATGCAGGAAAATTCAACGTGGAAGAGCTCTACTATTTTTTTCAGCTGGTGAGTAATTATACCATAATACATTTACGAGAAAAATAAATCTTAATGAACTTCAATTAATCTGTGCTTCTTATGCTAAAAAGATATATACCCCATGTTATACGTAGTCAACTTTTTTTATTTACATCATGTATTCTAGTCAATATTCAAATTGATAGCTCAATTGGAAAGGTGCATTAAATGTGTCATTGTTTGCTTGTTAAAATAAATTATAATGTTGTTAAATCTCATCCCGAAGCACTGTTCTCCTACAATGATAATGATGAATTATATCTCAATAATTTTGAAGTTTTCATATTCATGAAGTCTTATGGTGTACTTAACCATTTTTATTTATTATTTTACATTTGTATAGCCTTTTTTTTTTTAAATTCAAGCCCATATGCCTTTATTGAGCCAATTTTTGTTTACTGTTTGACAAGAAGTGTTTTATTGTGCAGGGGGAGATATTTGTTCAAACTGATGAGAGAATGAACAATATATCAGCTAAGGAGAATGTTGGTTTCTGACACTTAAAGGGATAACTCTTCGTATGAGATCGTGCATGCTGTATTCATTTGTTAATAGTAATCTTCCTTTTTGGGGTTGGGGAAGATTACGTATCATCTTACCCTAGTACATTGTTTTCTTTCGTAGGAGCCCTGAGAATGCTACAATTAAACAGAAGATGTTGTATACAGCCAGTGTCAAAGACTTTCTTGCAAAGTTGGAAGGAATTGGCAAGAGCATTCAAGCCAACTCAATGGATGATGTGGCCGAATCTACAGTAAAAGCCAAGTGTTTGAAGTCATCACGTGCTACCTAAAGGCAGACTGATATGAAGACAACCTTTTTGAAGAAAGAAGAACAAATAACGATTTTATAATGAAAAGAAGAATAATGGTTTTTACATTTACCAGGATAGATTAAAATCAGTAGAGACCATGTGCAGTTCTTTTTCTTTATATGCTTCATTAATTTATTTCATTCTTATTAACTGAAATGTACAGTTGAATGTCTTGACCTGCCTTAGAATAATGTGGTGTTACCAATTTCTTAATCTAGAACAAATGTGACTATGTCTAAGAGACACCATAATTTGTCTGGTAAAAAAGTAATTTTTTATATTTTATTGTATTTATTTTATTATTATTTTTTTTATTTACCTGCATCATAATATTTATTCAGTTTTTTCAAGGCCTCCGGCCCATAGTACATAATAATAATAATAATAATAATAATAATAATAATAATAATAATATTAAGGTCCATTAGAAGTATTAAGGATTTTATTCATTTTTTTCAATGATCCAAACTTTCTTTTCTTAATATAAAAGCATTAAATATATAAGCAGCTTGACTATTGATAAAATTTTTTTGTTGTTTAGTAGGCTATTCACTTGCAGATATTTTTCTCTTAATTCTGTATATGCTACACATGTCATTAGAAAATGGTATTCGTCTTCAACATAATAAATATTGTTTTTATTATTCTTATTTATATATTTATTATCATTATTATTTATTTATTTATTTTTGATAATAAAAGATGGCTTTTTATGAAGTAAGAGGTCTCTAGCTTTAATGGTTCCAGAATTCCGAGTTTTCATTTTCAGCATCCAGTGGCTGCTTCCCCCGTGAAAATGCACCTTTTTACCCAAAACTCGAGATGATGACAGGTGACCCCAAGTCTGACTTCTCACCATATATAACATCAAAGCAAATCGGCACAAACAAATATTTTTCCACAGAAACTTAAATATAATTATTTTTTTTGCAATATTTTTGCCAAAGAGCAAATCTGAGGTCATACAATGTATTTGAAATCTCAACTTTGTACCGCAAGCCTGTGTCAGACGCTGTTAGAACTACACCCAGGGGCGGATCCAGGATTATTTGAAGGCGGGTCCGTGGATGCGAAGCCGACCCTTCTCCCCCGTTGGCGTGGGGTCCGCTGAAGGGCCCCGAGAAATTTTGGTATATTTGAGGTCGAACGGTGCAATTTGGTACGGTTTAGAACTAAAATTCAGCGTCTTAATCCACCCCCTTTAAATCCGCCACTGAGTAGGAACAAGAGTTGTCAAGTTTAAAGCCTGATATTGTTCATCATTAAGGAAAGCCAAATATTATGAAAATATGTTTTGACAGTTTACATTGTATTGACTGCATAAATGCAATGGAAGTTCTTTTAAACAGTTTGTAGCACTTACAGTATTGGGTAGCATTAATTTAGTTTTTAAAGTTGGAAAATTTGTAAGATTGTTGTTACAATAAATTGTGATTGTGTAATGGAGTCATTACATATCAACTTATCTAGCAAGGGTACACTCTGTCAAGAAAATTACTGATTTTCACATATTTTATAGATATTATGGAGGCTTTAAAAAAATGAAATTTTTAGATTGATATCTCACTTTGTGTCAGAGTTATGACCTGACCTAGTTTAAACCCAAAACAAAAGTGCTAAGTATCCCATGGTTTTGCAACTTTCATGCATTTATATTTTGATGGTGGGGAATTCAACCAACACGTTAACACTACTGTCGCATATATTCAAAATCCCATTTTATTTTTGCTTTGATATATTGGTCATTTTTTTTCCAGAATGGGGGACACCTTACCTTTTTAATCATATTTCTCTCATTGCTACTTTGTCATTTAAAAGAACTATAAAGCCAGTGTTAAATACATTTGCACCGATGGGATGACAGTGAACGATCTATTTAAAATGATCCACTTGTGAGCATATGCTTATAAATAATTTAATAAAAGATTTTTATCATAAAATAAAAATATGGTAAAGGGACCAAAACAATGGGGCATTATTCTCTGTATAATGAAACTTTCCTCTAATATTTTTATGCTTAATTCATTCCAGATTAATATCTGCATTAATTCAATTAGGACAAACATGTACTTGGAAGTTTATCTTAGTTGTACATATATGGAAAAGTGAATATATTACAAGTACTGGGAGTTCCATTCATATTTTAATCTCACTGTAGTCTCAGCAAAATATCTTATTCTAATCATCATACATGGTGATGTCGATTTCTGTTAGTTAAATTCAGGATTGTCTCTTGTAATCGCAAAGGCTTTCTTTTCATCAATGACCGTCTCCCTTGGCTTGGAAGTGACACATTTAACTTCTCTTTGAACCATCATGCCATAGAATTATGGGAAATTTCGGCCCCAGTGAGAGTTCCTTAAAGTCAATATTGTCCCATAAATCCTCTGACGAAACCTGCTGTCATATCATTGGAGGATATAGCACGTAGGGTCAGGCAATACTGGTCTCTAGGCCTACAGTGGTTAAAGTATATGATACTGCATGACCAAACTTATTCAATAATTTGAGCAGTTGGGAAGACCCAGTCAAGTGTCTTTTTGAACAAGTGACTTTGGGGTACTTTTCCTCCCTTTAGATGCTAAATGTACAATATCCTGACAAATTGACAGCAGCCTGGTGTGAACTTCTTCTGGCAAAGAGAGATTATCTAATGTTGGCTCTTCAGAAGCAGAAATGGCCCAAGAAAGGAGATTATATAGCTCATTAGGAATGAATTCTTTGGCTGCTGCATTGGTACACTCACAAGAGAAGGAATGCCATGGTGTCGTCATATCTGGGGTGTCTTTCAAGCAAGACTTGAGTATCATACCAGCTTGGAATAAGCTGACCAGTTTTCCACCATTCCTTTCTGCTGTTCTTCTCTGTGGGGTTGATATAGCTTCCCCCTTAGATTTTGACCCTGATGTACCAGAACTACCTTTCTGGTGCTTCAGATGGTCTGTTGGCTGTAGTTCCTTCACAAACACAGACTCGCTTCTATTTCCCTGAATTTTACGGAAAATCAGCTGTGGAAAATCTCTCATCAGCCATCTCTTGAGTTTATCATTCCTGAATAACAAAAAGAGAAATAATACGATGTAGAACAACATCAGTAATAACGAATCAATATCCAGACTTCACTCTCTGAGTGATTATTTGAAACAATTTAATGTGTGATGATATCCTAACTGAACTAGACAACTGTACTTTTATTACCCTTTTTTAATTAAAAAATTCCCAGTCCGTCCCTCACCTAATATCAGATGTATCACCATCTGCATGTTTTTCAATTTCAGCCTTGAACAGTGAGGTCAGTTGGCTCATTTGCAGAAGCTCCATCCTGCGTATCAGTCTTTTTTTTACAACAAAGTTACAAAATGCTTTGTAGCTATTTTGATATTTCACGGGTTTAGCTGGCCTATAAGGAGAAAAGCAAAAGAGATAAAAACATGTTAAATAAATTTAAATAAAATGAAGGACCACTCATCCTTTACGAGAAGTAATTTTAGCTCTTTAACAAAATAATAGAAAGGAAATGACCTTGATTCAATGATCTGGCCTAGTTGATACGGTTACATGCCTATACGTCCCCGCACCGATACTCCCCCCACAATTACAGATATACTGAGGGGGAGTATCGGTGCGGGGGAGTAACGGTGTGGGGATGTACCGGTGCAGGGATCTATCGGTGTGGGGTCATATGCGCATAAAACCAAAAAATTACCAAGGGGGAGTATCGGTGCGGGGGAGTAATGGTGCGGGGGAGTATCGACATGACCCCGTTGATACATACATCTTTTTGTCTCCTGCATGTCTGGTATAGGTATTGAAGCACTTCCTGTGATATTTCAATTTAATCGCTATGCAATCTTTGCCCCTTATGTGCACAAGGACAGACTCATCATTTTTTAATTCTGCTGACTTGGTCAAGTTGCCTATGAGTAGAAGAACAGAAATGAAACATAACTGCAAGAATATTGGGCAGACTTTGGATTAAAAGTTCATGTCATATGCAATAAGTAAATTTTATTATTTATCATACTATTTGTACAACATTTCTCTAATCACCCAATAAAATATTTCGAGAGCTAATATAACTACTTGTTTCAAAAATGTAAACTGAATTATCACTGAGACACATGAGATTTTCACATAAAAATGTTGTCAAAGTGAAATATCAGAACCCAATTTGATATTTGCTATTACGATGAAAATATTTTTTCCATAACTCACCAAGTCACCAAAATAACTAAGCATCATGTAATAACATCAAGACCATATATAATGCACATGCAAGTTATGGTTTCATTTAACTCAGTCATACACACACCTGCAGTTACAGTTTCTGCTTGCATCAGCCTGTCTCTTTCCCTATTATTTCTCACTGTTATCCACTTTTCCTTTTTCTTGCATATAACACAAATATCTGGCCAAAGATGTCCTGAACCAGTAAAAGCTGGAGATGAAGAGCGTAGTTTTTTAGTGGGAGGTTCTGTTGCTTTCTCCACAAGGACTGCCCCCTGAAAGATGTGACCAATGATTAGGTACATAAACAGCAATACAAAGTATATTCTTTTGATGTTTTCTGCTGGATTACACTTTGTTTATGTTGCAACCTGACTGTGTAAAATTAAATCTGTAACAAGGATTTTTGAGTCACATGCCGGGGTATGCACATACACAAACAGGCATACACTCGTAAATTATGCTGTAAACCATCGCACGTAGTGGTTAGGAAGCCTTGTATGAGAAAAAGAAAACTTACCCTTTCTTTCTGTATTTTCGCTTGCTTCATCTTGATGTGATCTATGATGTGTCCGTAGTAAAACGTGAGACCTACAGATACTGGATTGGGTAAAATTGGGTCAAGTTTTCTCGACTTTACCCAATTACTTTAAGTTAAAGGACTTGCTGCACACGTCCGAAATCTCAGGAATATGACCTAATACACGATGCTGCACTGGCCAAGTTCTGTCAACCTTTGTCCTGTCCTTTTTCTTTTAAAACGAGTGTGCACTGACGTCAGATTATGCGAGAATCCGTCGCACCAATAACATCGAGAGAATGTTTCAAGTGCGGCGCACTTATGTTTATAAATGGCGACCTAGCAGAACACATTTCGAATATTGAAAAGAAGCGATTTCAAATATTTTTTTATTCTTTAGTGGTATTCACTCTTACTTTGTTTAATGTTAAGAGATCAAAGATGACAGACGGATTTGGTTCTATTACATGGTGGGGATTTAGCCCTGTGCTAGATTTGCAGGACAAAGGTAAGTCTGCTAGATTCAGTAATTTTCTTACCAAGAAGGCACATTTATTTATGCTACAATTAAAACTATGTGTAGATCGCTTTATCTTAATGCTATGTTTTATTGTTTACAATATTTATGATACATTTATTTATTCTTTTCAGATTTATGCTCTCATCTACAAAATGTACAACTTGGAGATGGAGAGTTGCCTGGTATGATCATAAAACTGAACCCATTTACCCATTTGATAGTACATGTAGCTACCAGCAGTTTAATTTTCTAAGTCTTTTCCTTCAAACAATAAGATTAAGGTATTTATTTTTAAATAATTAAAAAAAATAATGTAGCACATGACTCCACTCCACTGTTAAGTCCAGTACAATCAGATTGTGTTGTTTTATCTTTCAGAGCTCAACATTTTGATGGTCGGGGCTGGAGACTGTCGTCATATTCTTAAAACATTGGCACATACATACAGATGGCCAAGACAGAAAATAAATGTGAGAATGACTTAGAAACTATCACAGTGTACAACTAATCCATATTGAGAAGGCTTTACTTTTTATGGAACTTATACACACAGTATATGGTATATTATTTGCAAGTAAAATAATACAAACTTGACAATTTCATCGTGAGTTGTTTTCATGTTGTTATTTGATAATTTTTTGCAATTAAAATTTCATTTTTAGTTCTACATTTTGGAGGCCAACATGGAGTGTTATGCAAGGCATCTTTTGTTACTTACTATTGCCTTGGAATCCCAAAACAGAATGGGACTGCAAGGTACTAGAAAATAAAGGCACTTTCTGCCTGTGGGTTTTTATTTTCTTTGCATAGGTTACTATCTAACTTTGAATAATGATAATTCTTTTTTTAAATCCATTAAAAAAAACCAAATTGTTCCTTACTTAAAATTGTAATACTTTTATTTCAGAGAAAACAGAACTATTCATGGAACTCTTTGGGAATACACTCGTCAGACAACAGACCTGTGAATATTTGGAATCCATGTCAAATGAATTTATCAAGTAATGTTAACTTACTTTGGGGGTGGGGGTGGGGGTTAAAGATTCATTAATTGGTAGTTTTCTAAAATAGTTCATTCATAAAGATTTGACTAGAAATACTTTTAAGATGATATTTCTCTTCTCAGTTGATAAACATAGTTTTCTTCAGATTCATGTGAATAACTTGAAGGCTGTTATTTTTTAGTAGCAAACCATTTACTTTTATTTTATCTTTTAAATACCAGAGCAATTGACATAAATATGAGAATAACAATAAAACACACCAATAGTATTAAAGCTTTTGAAAACTTGTCTTTTTTATCTTGAATCAGTATCATTATTATAATTTTCAGGATGGTGACAGATTTTGATCATTTAGAGAAAAAGATGCCAATTATAGACATGTCCAGTTTAAAGGTAATATATGACACATCCAATTCAAACACAGAGTCTTCTATCTGCAACCAATATATTGAAAAATTATACTTCAAAAAATTTGAAATGACAAATAGAAATTGTAGAAATAGAATTATTATGACTGAAGCTGATATTTCTTTTTTTATATAACTTTTCAGTTTAAGGAAAGAGATTTCCTAGAAGGAATATTTAAATTTTGGAGGAATAAAGATCACCAGATATTTGATGTTTCAAAGTGTTGGTAAGTTAATATTTATTATAGTGCTTAAATATGTTATTGTTTTAATCAAGTTTTGAATGATTTAAATCATAGGAACACAGTGCTTATTAGCAGACCAATATATGGGAAACAATTCAATACTTTGACCTTTATGTGCCAGTTTGGCATAAGTGATATCTGTCACCTGTTGTTTCCATTATTTTGTAATGTAGATATCTAATATCAAATCTACTTTTAGGGATCTGAGACTCAGGCAGTATCTTGGGACCAGATATGATGCTAGGAATGGTGTTTTTGATTGGGATTACAACATGAAATTGGTTGAAAGGGGAGTAAGTATACGAACTGTATAAAATAATCTGTAGAATTTCCATTCTATCAGTAAGTTTACTTTAATGTGTGAAACAATCTTTTGATTAGTCAAGGTTATTCAGAATATGTCTTGAAAAATACTAGTGTTACATATAAAATTTCAGATCACATAATGTGCTTTCCTTTACTTTATGTTCAACTTAACAGCACTTGTGATGATTAATACAGTGTGGTGTGTTTTGTGTTGTACCACATGCAATAGGACCATCACAATACTGTCAAAAAGTGTTATGCTACGGCAAGTCATTGATTGTTTTTTGCTACATCATAGGAATTAAAATATTTCAATCAAATTTACATTTTCACAAACAATGAACACAATGTAACAGAGTGGTGCGAGAAGAAATGATGCAAGGCTCCTACGCTGTGACATTATGGGGGTTACTGATGTGGCATTGTTATGATTGTTGTCAACATGCCTAATCATTTTATTGATTTACACAATTTTGAAATAATACAGAATTGTTGAGTTTCATATGCAAATTCTTTATTTTTTTAGGCAAAAATAATTCACAAAAGTGAATACAACAGATGGAGGAATACAGGAGTGGCATTTGAAATCAGAGAAGGAAACTATGAATTTCCAAACAAGACACTTGCGTCTGGACTTCTTCTCAAAACTCAAGTATGATGTCATATTAATGTGTTGTCCACAGTTTACTGGTTTATGGATTTATTCTCATATTGTGAGTGCTGTTGCCCAGATAAAGTGACATAGTTATTAAAGTAAGATTGGATAACCTGCACTATGTTTAAGAATATTAAATCAGTGTCAGATCTGAAATATGTAAGCTGATTTTTAAATTTTTTTTCAAGGATGGTGACAAAGTAGCGAGGAGAGGGTACTGGGGAGATGTGTTAGTTGGACCTTTCATTGCGTTTGGGTTGGAAAGTGAAGAAAAGAGCTTTTTCAAGACATACAATGGCCTCCACACCAAGGTAATTTAGTGAGTTAAGATATGGTACACTTTTGAAGTAGCCTTTTTTTTTAATGCGGTGATGGTATATAGAAAACAAGTGCATGGAGTCGGTTGATTGAGAGTACACAAACTGAGAAGTATGGATATATATTATGACAGGGCACTGGACAATATTTTTAATTTAAATAATTGCATGTTGTAGTTGCTGTGTTACCTTATGCATGATGTCTTCCTATTATTATTATTATTATTATTTTATTTTATTTTTTTTTATTATTTATTTTTTTTTTTTTGACATTTTTCATCTTCTCTGTGACATATTTTGTAGATGGCTGGAGATGTTACAGAATTCAATATAACATCCATGCTTCATGAAATATTGAATAAGACAAAATATGAATTACCACAGATGGAGGACACCAAAGAAGAGGAGGAACAAAAGGGACCAAAGTTGCAAGGTTCGAAATGAAAATTATTCCAAGAAAAATTAAGTATCAGTTTTGAATTCTTTGTTCTACATCGGCATATTGTTCCTTTCAACTTGTCTTATGTCTATTTTATCTCTTTGAAATTACAGTCTATGATCAGAAGAATAATTTGTTATCTCTAAATAAATATCTTTACACAGAGATCAGAGAGGAGGATGAGTTGGAAGAAGAAGAAGAAGAGGACCAAAATAACGTGAAACAGCCAGAGCCAGAACCACCAGCAGCAGATGCTGAAACAGAGCAAACACCACTGGAAAAAGAATTTGGTAAAAAAAGTTTGCAGTTTCGACACTAAATCTTGGTTTGAGAATTATGCTTATTGTGTTTATTTAGTCTGTTATTGAAGTTATTTTAATGGTGACTCTGTAAACTTTGTAGAAATCCACCCCAACTGCATCATCATATTTCTTATTTCAAAGCAGTATAGTAAAATTGAACCTTTTTTTTTCTAGTCTCTGTCCCAGTCGAAAACTTCAAAGTCCACTTTTTACCCTTAAACTGTGCTCAAGACTTGTCAAAGAAAAGCAAATACCAAAAGTTGTTCAACATTGCCTATTTCTCAAACAGGTGAGTTCAGCGAAGAATTTAATTTTGTGGAGACATGAGTGATAAAGCTGGGAAATCTCTTTGTTGTGAAACAGCTGACTAAAATGTTGATTACAGCAGCTGAAAGTGAGATGTTAAATAAAACAACCCAAACTATATTGTGTCCATTTTCTTAACATATGAGGTAATGGAGTTAAAATGCTCAGAATATTGGAAGTTCATCAATTCCTGTATTAATGTAATAACACATAATCAATATTTATTATGAACATACTCAATATTATAAATCTTTATTTGTTTGTTTGAATTGTTCCAGCATGGTGCACCATTTAACACCAGAGCTGGCTGCTACTCTTGCTGACAAGGCATCTGTGATTTTAGAATTAACACTGTAAGTGTTTGCTATTACATGTATGTTTGAGCTTTATTATGGCCTGCTACAAGTTAAAGCAGTTCTGTCATGACAATTAATTAATGTGACAGCTACATGTATCACGATAACAAATACTACATCATCATTACACCATCCAACATTCTTTGATGACGGTCTCTTATTATTTTTACTTATAATTGTAATATGTTATCATTTTAATTTCTATTAGGTACATGCTGGAGCTCCGTCCAGAGAATATCAAGTTGTTTTCTGAAAAAGTGACCAATATGGCTAAAGCTGCTGGTTGTGAGGTATGTAGCAATGAATATGGACATGTGAGGGCACATTTATAAATTTTTGTGATACCTTTTTCATCAATGTAGTTGACGTGTGCTGTTTTCCTGTCTCAGATCGTGTACTTTTGCAGTTCGATAGATATATATTTTTTTTTTTTACAAACCCTCAAAATAACTTTGTATTGTTTTTTACATAGTGCTGTCTTGTACTATTCTGTTATAATACCAGTCTACAAGAAAAGGAACGACAAATGTGAGAATCAAATTGTTACTATGTGATCTATTTTTGTTTCAGGTCGCTGCTCCCTGTAATCCAGAAAAAGACAATTTTGCCAGGTTTACATTTAGTCGGTGATAAAAAATAATACTGCCTCTGCCACTTTAAAGTTCTGTAAAAGAAGCATTTCTTATATGGAACGCAAGTCTTTCTGGAATTATTTTGATAACATTTTCAGATGATTTTTAACAAAATAAACGTCCAGTTAAATTGAATAAGTAATGTCAGTAAAAGAACACAGCTGTAACTAACTGTTTACCTTAAAATCAACTGCGGTACAGTTATACATGTATTAATTGCCAGAATTTCAGGACATTTGCGGTTTTCCTTATGAACGGAATAACTTTTTTCTACAGGAGATTTTTGAGGACATCTTTATGGTCATTATCAATAACATTGTTCACGGTTCCAAGGAATTATATTTTACTTCTAATTCTAGTGATAATGATCACTTATTTTGGAATCTTAAGTGAAACGGCTCTGTAGTAATTGGCAGAATGACCTTGTTATAGATTCCGCAAACTACTACCCCGAGTGGGAGTCATTCACAGGTCTACCAACACCCAACGACTTGTGGGCGCTCAGCCTGATGATGCTCTCAAGACAAAAATAAAATAAAATAAAATATCATTAGAATAATTAGTAGAAATCTTTATTGACGTGTTAAAAATGATAATAATGTGGGTTTATCAACATAACGATGCAACTCCTCAACCAAGGTCCAACAGAGGACCAATGTAGATTATGGACCAATGTAGAAAAAACATTCGTACAAAAGATATTACATGATAATAAAGTTTATTATATAAGTTTAAAACTTACATCAATTGTTACAAAATAAGATTATGATGTAAACTGCTTCATTCGAGATACTTCGTGAAATGCAAATAAATGTCATATTTAATCATGTTTAAAAAAAGGAAAAAATATTTCACGTCTGCGTCCACAATCTACAAGTACATGATTTGTGTAGCTGCTCTTTAGAATACGCATGGTGTCCAGATATTCACTGTTGTTGTGAAATACGAATTTTGTGCAGATATTCATATTGTTAGAAAGTACGCTTGTTGTTCAGATATTCACAGTTGTTGGAAAATACGCATGTTGTACAGATATTCACATTATTAGAAAATACGCATTTTTGTCCAGATATTCATATCATTGGAAAATACGAATTTTGCCCAGATATTCATTTTATTGGAAAATATGTATGTTGTCCAGATATTCACAGTTGTTGGCCCAGTGGCGAGAAAGAAGCGTCTTCGTCACTGCTGCTATTGCTTGTGTAGCAGTATTTCTGAGAACTGTCTGAATTGCCATTCGCAAGATCGCTGGTGCTTGTTGTGATGCCTTGGTAAAGCCGTGAACGCATTGGCCATTTCTGAAATATAGAAAACATTTTTTATGCCATGTTGTTGAAGAGGATCTTAAAGCTCTTTATTTCTAACCAACGGTTTCTACCCACTGAACCATTGGTTCAGTCCAATACAAAAAAAAGCAATTACCAGAGGACATCAAAACATTTTTTTTATGCCATGTTGTTGAAGAGGATCTTAAAGCTCTTTATTTCTAACCAACGGTTTCTACCCACTGAACCATTGGTTCAGTCCAATACAAAAAAAGCAATTACCAGAGGACATCGATTCTTTTTCAGTGGCTTAACAAAAAAAGGCCATTGTGCATTTTTAATGACATATACACCTTCACAGGCATGCAGGCGTTGGATAAAAAAGAAACCACTCTTTTCATAGGCACGCACTAATGACTTTAATCATAAATGGTCAATTCCGCAAAGCGTAAATTCTTAATTTCACATATTTCTACCTTTATCAGATGTTGGAAATAGAATCATATGAAAACAAACCGCGGTTGGGAACATGGTGAATCCATTCGTTGCCTACATATTAACCGTTTAACAATATTGACTTAGAAAATAAACCACGCTATTCTGGACTAATTGCAGTTGATCCACGCTTTAAATTAACAAAATGAAGAGACAAGCCGCCGCTGTGAAGGCGCGGGTCGCGTGGCAAAAACAAGAAAAAATCGCCAAACTTTTCTGGGTTAATGATTTTTAAGTCACACGATTATGCCTTTACAGAACAAATATTTAACTTCATGGAAATATCTACACTTTTCTTCAATCAAAAAGGTACATCATATCTCAACAAACAGTTGAAAAAAGTATGATCTATAACCTTGTATTTAAGACCTTATTTCTATTTTTTGAGCCACTATCGTAACGGAGATACAGATTATATGTCATATTAAGGTCTAACGCACTCTTAACATCTTTAAAATCCATGTATATGATTGGTAGGCCTTCGTTTGGAGGGTACCGTTGACGGCAACTTCAGAACTCCCTTTTGTTTTGTTTACGTTTTTGAGAGATGGCCAAAGTGCAATGTATACATACTATTTTTATCTCAAGAAAAAAATTATGTCAGAAATGTATTTTGATCACCTTACTGACCTATTCAAATTATAGTGTCTATTTGTATACATTAAGCATAAGACAGCTACGCCTGCATATAAGAATATATAATCTATGTTGGTCGACGTTGACCAAGGATTCACACCCATGCATGTTTAGCTTACCTTGACTGGGTGTAGATACGTTTTCATTAGCGGTATCTGAGTCTCAGCGCATGTTTTATTGGTTGAATCCATACCAGGATTGTCGGTGTCTAAAGTCTTCATTAGATGAGCTATATACGTTGTGGCCAATACTAAGATATCTAATTTGGACAACTTGGTATCTGGCGGCACCGACGGTAACGTCTTCTGGAGGTCCAGGAACGCTCCACGTAACGTCTGCACCCGGGAACGCTCTCTTGCAGCGTTGGCTCCGCAAGGTCTGCCTCTGCGGCGTCTGGTAGGAACATTTTCCGTGGAAATAAAGCCGGTGGTTTTGAAGTTACCGTTGTGATCACGCTCTGCCTTCATTGTCAGTGAGAGTTGCTGGCTGGCACTTTTAAAACCCGGATTGGATGAATTGTTTGACTATTAGCCAGCAGACTTATATTCAGTTCATTAAAAGCAATCTTGTCTTGGCTGAAATACTTGAGGGATTTTATGCCCAACGGCTATCTCTGTCAGGTACGCTTCTTACTTTTATATACTATCTTTGATAAAAAGTCACCATCAGGTTTATCTTCTTACCATCAAATCCTTGAGGTGTCCCATAATTTTAATCAGTTCCGCGTTTTGTTGATAGAAGGACTTGTCCTATTCTATGGCACGTTTCTGTGCAGTGAAAACCACTTGTTGATCGAAAGATCGGTCGTAATTGAAATAATCGACTATTATTCCAGCAATTTATAGAAGATCGGGTTTGGGATAGTGGTTTCCTTAACAATTGCCAAGACCTGCAGACTTTGTACAAGTGCCATTGGCGTCGCTGTGCAGCGGGAGTCGGAGCTACTTCAACAAGGTGGTTTCATGTTTGGCGGGGACGCGGGGTGAAGCCGCTTACCCGATACACGAGGGAGACGCTGATTCACTTTGACACATCTTGAATTCATGTCGCATGATTTCGTTCAGTGGTAACAGCGGTTAAAATGCTGATTAAGAGGTGGGGCGCTGCTGTGATGTATTCGTACCTCTGCCCAAACCACCTGTAGTTGGAACAGTCCACACTGAGGGATTCTGCCACCGTCGTGTGCTGCCCTTATCAGATCACATACTATTCTTGCCTCTGTTTTGTTTGCGCTTTTTCTCTTTTTTTTTTCGGGTTTCTTCAAAGTGTGCTCTAACGTGATTAAATCTACCGAAGAAAAACGTAAGTTGATATAAGATTTATTTTCATTTCATAGACAATAGATTTATTTTTCATTCTGTTCTAATTGCTGACTTTTGCTGATTGTTATTTGAGAGTCTGGTCGTGTTCAATCTCTGATAGCCTCAAGCACAGCGTCTGCATCTTCGTGGTTTGATGGCCGCATTGATTACGTCCTGTGACAACAATAAACAAACCGTGTTGATTTTGTGTTTTAATTCGGAGAATGTGGACCTATCAATTACACAGGATTACTTTTGGCAAGTTAGGGTCAGGGAGAGGTTCCTAGATAACCAATCAAAAAATAAACGACACCTTAATCCAAACAAAATTGATCCTTCCCTGCTAACTTTATCGGTGCTGCCAGCTTGTCAGTGTTACGGGGAAATAACCGTATCTTTTAGTTCCTGGATGTTTGATCTTCGACTTTTGAAATTAATTGGGTTTGTGTATGTTGAAGTATCTAATCGAAATACTTTTGTGTTCATTTTCGTGCATAAGATCGTGCGCGTGAGTTTGCATGTGCGTGTGTCAGACTGTGCATGCGCCGGCAATCGTGCGCATGTGTGTGTGTATGAGAGAGAGAGAGAACTCAGATGTTAGCATTTAACAAGCGTCCAAATACCTTGCCTGTTCCCTTCACTTTACTGGAATATTTAAAAACTCAAGACCCATAACAAAAACAATAAAATCGTATTATTTACTGTATATTGAACTGAAAATACACGTGCCTCGTAGCAAGATGTTTTTTCTTGAACATGGCATAAAATGAACTGATATACTAAAATAAATAGAAAACCAAACATTGTATAAGTATTATTAATAAATATATAAATTAAACATTAGTACTTGCATATCAGAAAACCATTTTATGAAATCAGACAAGCAGAACTGATCTAAAAAAAAACCCAAAGCATCAATTTCACGTTTTTTTCATCAGCTTCAACAAAATCAGCCGTCACCGCTGACACAATCCACAAATTGAAGAGCTATTCAACATCCAGACCAGAATCCAGGCACTACCAGAGACAAAACAAGATTGGCAGAAGTTTTCATTCAATTGACGCAAAAAATGTCATAAAATATCAATTCAGCTAGCTATATTCTTACAGCAGTAATTCACCGATACTTCAAACGGCTGCGTTTCCTTAAATTTCAACTGGTTTGATAAAGCGTGAAATTTGGTATGATTGCTTATTATATATCTTAAGAAAACTTACGGACTAAAAGATATAATTGATTTCAATGGACTCCGTTAAAACATAAATAACTTCATTTCTCTCATAAATAAGTTATATCCCAGCTAACATTAAATAATTCCTACTGTTGGCAGTCTCTATTAAAACCCTGAAACGGTGCAGTTCCTATAAAATCGACTAAGTGTGTTCCTAAACAAGTAGATATGTCTTGTAATCACCCGTTCGGGTTTGACGCGTGAATTCAAGGCAGATCTCGGTTTACCCCTGTACTAATGACAGCAAAACTCTTCAGCCCACGTGTTGCAAGCGTTCTAGCCCATCCACATAGCAGAGGGGTTGATTTCTATTCAGGTCATTTGGGTTCTGGTATCCATCTTACCACAGCTTTACTTATACTGGCAAATTAGACTGCGGCATAGCGTTCTGATATGAAGGGATTCGCTTGTGTCCGAACAACAAGGAAATAGTTTACCTTCATTTTCCAGCCCAGTGAGTTTCTATTCAACAATCGTGAAGCTGGCTTTGTAACATGGATCGTGTTATGAAAATGATGAACACCAGACAGTCTGCAGGAGTAGCAGTGCATAATTTCATGTACTAACGGCGGCTCATCAATGTCAAACACGACACGTTTTCTTCCCCACGTACTCCGCACATGTACCCTCCAGGTCACCAGCCTGGCACCCCCGCGTGGAGAACCTCACAGCGTGGACCGACCTGGCGTCCATGCTGCTTGCCAACCGACTGTTAAAGCTGAAAGGCCATGTCTGGAATATGCCAAAAAAAATGTTCAGTCTATATAATTCTTCAACTTTGTGTTGATTTGACAGTATAATTATGGTATAAACACCAGATTCATCTGGTGCCAATGTACATCATAAATATAAATTCTGTTAACTATACAATTATTAAGTAATAATAAAGTAATACCAGAATGTACTATTTAATACTAAATCTAATAAATACCACATCAGTGCATCCAAATAGAATAATTAGTATAAATTATTGTTTGAGTTGAATGCAACACAGTTTATCAATTCCATTTAGATAAGCCCAGAAACGCCAAAGCATTTCAAAACAAAATGAGTGTTAACTTAAGATGAAGACGAGATGCCTTGTTCACCACTCGGGGGCAAGGTTAAAACATAGAATATAAAGCGTTTAAAAGAAAGAAAACAATACTTTATGGGTTATTTTGACCCCCCCCCCCCAAAAAAAAAAAAAATTAATAACATCATCACTTACGTTTGCTCGCAAGTAATAGTATGCGTGTAATTTTTGGTAGTTTTGAAGCATATTGCAAGGTATTGTACGGAAGTATACGCATTGGTTTATTCGTGCTTGCAAGGGTGTGTTTTGAGACACTGTTTTGGGTTCCCATGCCTAACTCCACTTACCGCTAAAGAACATAATGATAATTTGAGCTGAACATTCTATGTAACAGCAATGCCTCTTTTCAATTTCTTTTGGCATTGTATAACTTTAACATGTAATGCGCTTAAAAAGCGCTATTACTTGTAGGAGGTTTTCATTGTCTCGATTGGGTCTATTTGAAACTATTTGGAACCCAAAGCCTGAGCTACAAAAACTGCTCAATAAGGGGAAAGAATCGACGAAAATGGCTTTTTGTCATCATATAAACCCCTCTTTATCTCTAAAGAAAACATTTCTTGATAGCCGTGAGAATTTCCAAGAACAAGCTCTCATTTCTCATTTATATGTTGTAACATTAATGATTACTTATTTTTCTCCAATTTTCTCCTATTTCTATGGATTTGAAAATTACTACTCGATGAAGTTTTACACAAAAATAACCTAGAACGGATTTAGTTATAAACTCTTCTAAAAACATTAAAACAAAAAAAAAAAAAAAATACCCATTCATATATGAATTAATTAAGAACCCATCTCCTCGATATTGTTAGACCCGTTATGCTCGACAATTAATTGGTTGTCTCCAACAAAATGTGCCACACTTTGATACATACAATGGTTTCTTGTACTGAATAACAGAACCAAGATTTCTCACGAAGAAGGCTATACAATCAGCAAAGAAAGGGAGGAAAAAAAACACATACACACATCTGCACAATTTTAGGATCAGCTCACGTTCGATTTGCTCCCGGTTGGAAGAACGTTATCAAATTTTACAGTGAATTACTCGAGGTAATGATATTTCAATTTAAGAACACGACCTGACCGCGATCTGCGGCAGAAAATATGCAGAAGGAATTGCAAAATCTAATTAGCGGAAGAGGTTCGGTTGAAGTTGGTTGCGATTTCTTACAGCCAGACAGCGAAGTTCTTATAGGTGGACTACACAGAGAAAAAAAAACATAGCCATGGTACATATATAAACCGTAAATAATCTATGGGTTTAATTATATATTTTTTATTCTTCCTATCATAGACACACAAAGTTATAAGTCAACTATACATTATAGTTATTCAAAAGACCTGACAAATATCCAAACTGCACAATTAGCCAGAACCTGCCCCCCCCCCGACACACCAACCCCTCGAAGGCCATGTGTAAGGTAAGTGTATACACTTCACATATTTTATCCTCCTTAAATACAGTTAATTATTATTATTATTATTATTATTATTATTATTATTATTCCCATGTTCGAAGCCGGAAAACACCGAGACCACTGAACATGTCTAGTTGAAACAGGGGTCCACGAAACAAATATACTTAAATCTCCGCGCATTTAAAACCAGTGATTCATTGTCTTAAAATATTGCAAATTAGTATTCTCATACAGAACTAAATGCTTCTATCTCACTCTACCCGATAAATGTTGTCAAACAAAAAGAAGATATATTACATTTTTACAACAGGAAAAAGTAAACAAGATAAGAAAACGCTACACTGTACGGCACAATAAATGTCGTTGTAAATCACTCCTAGCATTTTGATGAGTGAGAAGGGAGCACTTAACAAAAGTTTATTTTGATTAAAACTGATCAAAAGTGTTTATTTGACAAATATTTCTAAGAAGAATTTGATATTTCTATTTGTTACCATTGCGACTTAGAATGCTGGACAACGGCGGCACATGACGGCTATTCTCAGAAAAATTTAAAAAGATCGACAAAAATCGATGTTGGTAAAAAGTGTGAATTAATACCACTATTCCCAAGACTTTATAAAATCACCAACTCCTCTCACGCAATATTTGTTAAATATTTTACAAGTGCGTCAGATGAAAATTAAGTTTTGAAAAATGACCAAAGTCTATACATTAACACATAATCTCTTTTCTTTTGAAAGAAAAACACTCCACTATTGAATTTGCCTTTGAGAATTTAGTTAAGGAATATAAACTTCTGGTTATGTAAATAAATACCTAGTCCCATAAGGTGTAGGCGGAGTCAATTAATGTGAATAAATAAGAAGTCATTCAATAAGTTTACGTGTAAAAATGTTGTTTGATGTAAAATATTATGCACTTTTGTTAGTATATATTGCAAAGTGATTTTTCTTTTGCCCCAAACTTTCATTTTTTCCCTGTCCTTAGACCTACTGGGGATAGCACCGAAGTAGACTTCTTCACGACAAACTGCCATGTAAACACACTGGTGTATAAACTATATATATATGTATATTGTATACATATGTAAGTATCAATGTATTGACGTAATTTACTTAATTTATTACTAGCGTTAGTTCTTATTTTGATGATAAATTTTGAACTGTTTAATCATTGAGGACTTAAACGTTTCGTTAAAACCTTATTTCCGTGGTTTTAGTATTATATTTGTTGATAGGCACATTACGCGATGGCTGATTAAAATCAAAGTGGCAAAATCCGCAAGTATGAGCTAACCCTTCTCTCTCTCTCTCTCTCTCTCTCTCTCTGTGCGTGTGTGTGTGTGTGTGTGTGTGTGTGTGTTCACTTACCAGATTTATTGGGTGTATTGCTCCGTCCTTTACTGGACTCTCCGGTATGTCATCCTCCTCTAAAATTTTGCTCAAGTGGGCAATATAACTAGCAGCAAGTCTGAGAGTGTCTAGTTTAGACAGTTTTGTATCTGGTGGCACCCAAGGTAGGGTGGTTTTTAACTTGGAAAACGCTCGACTAAGTACTCTCATTCTTGCGCGTTCTCTTGCATTAGCAGCGTTCCTTTGAATGGGCTTTACATCTTTTTCTCGAAACTCACTGTAGTTTTCCTCCTCTTTTCTTGATGATTCCTTTCGGCGGCGGCCCATATTGTGTCTACCTTCTTTGTAGAATATTTGATATCTTTCTTCCTAAATTCAAAGGGAAATTCTTGTTAAACGGCTTAAATAATCAAGAACAACGTTGCGATTTCTTGAAACTGCGGCGACTTCCCGATTTGTGTACTTTAACAAAGTTTAAGCACAGTCCATCAGTTAAAAAATATTCCGTATGAAAAACGGCTAGAGCTGAGATTACGCTGCCACATTTCTGTTTCCATCAGAAGTTGAACTTGTTCATTTTAACAGGAACAGACTTCGAGTCGTACCCCCGAGCCTCAGAGCAAAGAACGCTTACGCTGATTACCGAATTCTTTAATGTTGGTTTAGTTTCACTTTGTAGTTCTCTTGCCACTTAGCCTCAAATTTCTCCAGTTTCTCAAATGACTAAACTTCCCAAGCTTTAGATAATTTGCCTAATGGCTGGTAATTACTAAAGAAATCAGGTAGAAACTCCCTGTATTCTCCTAATGAAAAATACATAAACGTTATTTAAAAGTTCACGTAAGAAAATCCAGCAGGACGAGAGAATTGATGATTTTGACTACTGACGGTGCGTTATGTAACATTACCTCATAATAAATATTTCACAAATTCTCACAGAACAAAATGGTTGATGATTTTACTTACGGGATGATTTGTTGTTGGATGGTATATGCCAGGCCTCTGTTTCCAAATTACCACATATATCAGGGACGGTTTGCATGGTATCAAATATCACAATGACTTAATTCCCCCTCGACTGTCCCTACAGCTAAAACTTAGCAAACGAAGCAAAGTATTTAACAGAAAATGTTTATAAAAAATCACCTTGTACTGCCTAGTGTCAGTGAGTGCCTTTAGCGTCAAGGCGTCGACATAACAGACAATAACTAATTAGTGGGAAGATTTTTACGGGCCTGGGAAGGGTTCAGGGACTCAACTCGTCAATCAGCAATCCTCAGTTGCCTTTTTCTGACGAGATAATGTAAGGCGAAAATTTTGAAGAGTGGCAGATAATAGAAATGCCATCAACTTACTGTATCTCCATCGAACTTTACTTGTCATGAGTCGTTTGTAAATTTATGAAAGCGTCATATCTGAAAGAAATGCCAAGAAATAATTGTAGTTCGCTTGAACCTTCTTCTGTAACTGTCAGCACGACCGGCTTTGATTACTTCTAAAACTGTGTGCTTTAACTGTTTGTGTGACCGTCAGCACGTGGCTCACGGTTTTAATGGACATTCTGTCACCTGAGTCATTCGTATAACATTCCAAAAATTGTTGGTTTTTAGTTTTGATTGCAGCAACGTTCACTTTGTTTTGATTTAAAATCGTTCTATTCGCCTGGGAAATGTCCACATATTATATTGGTCCAGTTATTCAGGTCATTCAGAAGGTGGGGGGGGGGCAACTGGGGAACTCCCTTTCAATGCTCCAACCCCTAGGATAAACATCCTCCAGCAGTATCTTCCCAAGTACTTCAGACATGTAAATTAAGAGAATAGATACGTTTGACATTTGTACCTACTTTGAAATAACTGTTTACTTATGAAATATTTCTTTCGTCCTACTTTTGAATACCATCAGTGCGTTTCAAGCACAGCTATTCTAATTTTGTAGCCGAGTCTAGGTAAACATTGTGCATAGAATAGTGTTAACATTAAAACTGTTTCATAAAACTGGATGTAACTGCACAATATAGTTAATTTATAATTCTAATAATCATGCTTTGAAGAACTTTACCCCAGTTAATGTACGGTTAAAACTGACACAGCACATGAGAGTACTTCAGCGTCATTTTTAATATACGCAATGTTCCATAGGTAAAGATAATATTATTTAGATATAAAAGGTGTGTCCATCGAAAAATTCCTTACGTAGTTTCTATTTTTTCTGTGATTAATTTTTTTATTTTACTATTAATTTTTCTCAATTAATGGATGTTCATGGCAAGGCAATCTTTAAAAAATGTGAAGTTCGCAAATCGTGAAAAAGCGATGTCTAAGATTTATTTTGTGAATCCTTTATAATAAGGAGATAAAAAATTTAAGAGACGCAGTCAAACATCTCAAGATTTGGCTATCATTTTCCAGATTTTCAACGCAGGAAGCGAACACCAAATAGATGGATTCAAATCCCTGTTGACAGACGTGGAGTCACTTTGAAGACGCAGACGACATTTTGACACAATATAGATGCTACTTCTCTCGTGTGTAAAAATATAGGTGTCAAACGACCACACACGTGCGAATCCGATAAACTTTATCCAAGTAGCTTATCTTTGCAAAGAAATTAAAAGCAGATTTGAGACTTTAGAAAAATAAGCTTTTCTGTGGTAGAGCATTTTAAACAACGCTCGGTCACCAGTCTCTGCTTTTAAGGAGCTCACGCTTTTCCAGGAGCGTTTTACTGAGTATTGTATGGTACAACCGATAGCTTGTAAAAGTTTTAAGTAATTGAAAGTTATAATTTGCTTGCTTTTCTGGTTTCACTTTATCTTTCTTTCACTGCATTACACACCTACTGGAGCGATCGCAATCTTGACTCGGCCATCTTTATTTAAAATCTTACATTTTGCTGCGGGCAATCTGATCTGAACGCAGCTGTGCCGGTGATTTCGCGCTCGATTAGATTCTCGGTTGATGCCAAAAGTTGCTTTATTTTAAAAATTCTCCCTAAGATTTCATAAATATTTAGGAAAGCTAACGCTCATTCGTGTGGCTATGATTATGTCTTTATCGACACTCCTCCCACAGCGGGTGGCCTAATGTATCTGTTCACAGACTAGGCAAGTTGAAGATTCCTTTATTACTTTTTTGTTTATAACACAGCGAACTGGAGTATCGGGTTAGTGGGGTGACTGATTGGATACATTTTCTTGACGGAGTTGTTTGAATCATGATCAGAAATTGATAATCAAATAGATATAATTTAAGCCAGATTGATTAAGTGCAGTCCCTATCGAAATAACTTCTTGTAAAGACTTCTATTAAGATGAAATTAATAATTGGGTAACACTAAATAATCAAGAACGAGTGGCAAGTATTTAGAATCAATTAGTGGTTTAATCATACCATTTGCTATTTTCTGCTTACAATTCAAAATTGATGAGAAAAAGGGGGATGCTTCAACAGAGCATCTGCAGTTTTCAGTTATTTACCACTTGCGTCCATATAGGTCATACATTGCAACTGATCTGCCAACTCTTCTTTTTTCATAAACTAAACGCCTCAGTAAAAATCAACCTGTTGATTGTCCTTCATAAATTTTAGGACTAGTGCATTTAACTATAACCGTTTTTAACTTACCTTCGCTTTTCCAGTCTGTCCCCTTTAAAGTTTGCAACGCATCTATTTGAAGTAACGTTTTCTAAACTTCTAGAGTTGGGAGAAAAGGATCTTCTGCACGTGTTTCAGAGTTAATTTCGTTCTGCATCGAGTTGCACAACAGTAACAATGGTAAGCGGTACTGAGTGAATCTCATCGCTCAGAATGACCTTTCACAGTGAAGCCAGGGAGAAAAGTTTGATACAAATGGAACGCAGGCTTAGATCTTAAAGGGATAACAACTCTTCATTCTGGCGGGAAAAGTGCCATAAAACGGATTTTTCTGAGAAACGATAATTTTCACATAATTTCCAATGGTTGATGAATCATTTTCGACATTCAAGGTTAATTGATTGTTGTTGTTGTTTTTTTTTTCTTTTTTTTTTTTTTTTTTGAAGGGTGATTTTTGTACTAATCTCTTAAGATAATTATTACGGAGGGTAGCCATCTATGAAGGTCCCATGGCAAGCACAGGTTTAAGAATAATTGCGATAACAGTCGTTTTGGTGGTAAAATGGAATTTATTATATTTCTATGAGTTGTTTACCATTGTGTAATTTTGAATCACATATGAAGAGTTGCTATCCTTTTAAGCAATGAGGTACGGGATGATGTTTAAGCGAGGGACACATACGATTCCTTTGACGAGAAATATGTAGAATGTGCATAGATTATTATTATTTATAATGTGAGCTTGTGGAATTACAGGGAAATCAACCTTGTGCTGTCTTTAGCATCTTGTATTTCAATGATATCTCTAAATATCAACATATTAAAGATGGCAACCAAAATCGGGCACTTTGCACATCGCTTCCCACACATAAATTGACGGGAACTCTGCTGGTAAAGGGATTATCACCGAGCTATTTAATCCCAACAGCTTACGAGAGCACTTTGCGCTACATACATGTACTGCCATACGCTGTTACCCGGGCTTTATTTCAAGGTGAAACCGAACAGATAGTTTTGCCTCTACCAGGTTTGATAAGGACAGGTGTATACCTTCAGTGTCTCTGAAGACATCTCTATCTCTGTCATTCACCGATTTACATGTATTTACATGTATTATAAGTTTTAATCCGCACGACTGAACGTCTTTATTGAAGCGTAAATAATTTCCAATTGTTTATCATTTTAATTCGATAAATAAGCATCTCAACTGTTGTAAATAGCTTACAGTATAACTCTCAGATTACATTTCTTTCCTTCTTTTTTCCCTTTTTAATTTTTGACTGTTGATTTTATTCAGTTCTATATGTCAGTCAATGCATTATCCCTCTTCAATAAACGAGTCTATTCCAGAGTCGGAAGAAGAAAAATTGAAAGAATTATTATCTTCACATAGCGAAGTAGAAATATTTGCGTGGTAATGATTAAGCAACTCAAGTGACGCATCATGTTCGGAGCCTAAACTGTTATCATCTGAAATCCCGTGATTTTTATGCCTTGAATGACTAGGTGACAAATACTTCAAAGTGAAATCCTTCATGTCTATTTTATCCCCGTCACAATTTAATTCTAAACCCTCGTTTGGATCTCCCCCTAGGTCAGATTGTGTTGAACCTAACACTGTCTCAACTGTCGCATTGTCCCTGCATTGCCTCACAGGACTGGGTTCCTGGGCGACATCCGGGGTGCTCGTGTTTCCTGGCAGCTGTTTCTCAAGATTGCGTCTTCGGTGGACGCTGGCAAGGTCTTTGCACACTTCCGAAAGTTTGTCACATCTGATTATAAGGTCGATGTCACTGATTGATAGTACATCCTAAAATGGAGTTCATAGCTTTAAAGCAAATAAATTTCAACAAAATTGTAAACTGCGCTGAAATGTACATGTACTTGTGTATAATATGTGCAGTATATAAGAACCGAACTTAATTTACTTTATATAAAAATCCTTTGTCGTTGAATTAGTTTTGTTACAGTTATAAAGGATATTCTTGCATTTTATGATAACGACAAAATATTTGCAAATCTTTGTCTCAAATATTGCAGAAAAGCTATAGTACTTAAACACAAGTTGTGTTGGCTCTATGTACAGCTGACAGGGATCCATATTAAAATGATCATATGAAACTGTTTTTACTTCTTAATGCACGGATGGCGAGATAATCAGGATGTGTGTCCTAGTCTCGTGCGACCGCATTCTACAGCAGAATCAAATCACAATGTTGTATAGCTTACTCACCAACTGAGACTTTGCCGCGGAATAATCTAGCTCTGCTTTAGTGTCATCCTCCATCTCGACTCTAAAAACACATATAATTATTCAATATCATAAACTGAACATGAATTAAAGGTGTGATACTCCACAGTTATGCATCCTACCACTAACAGATAATAGATTTAAGTTTTGTCTCATGTTAAAATACGAAAAAAAGAAACCTAGAACCCTGTTACTGTTTCTTGGTACTCCATTGAATGATTCACAAAAACAATCCAGTCCTTCACTACTGAAAAACAATTCTGGTTTATAACCGTGTCCCAAAACCCATTAATACTTTAATGCAACCGATACCTGTCTAAAGAGACAAAAGGATTAACTCCATCCCATATCCGCCACTGCGGTGCACTTAATCATGAGCTCGACATACACGGGAAATGGTGATTGGGATATACATACGAGGCATTGGTTATACTCTCATTATACCCAGGATAGCAAAATTAGATGTGGTTACTTGGAGCAGCTGTAATAACCATGTATTATAATATTCTGCCGTTGCTCTGCATAAATAAACGCTACTCATGTCACAGTAGTGTCGATCTGAACTAAAATGATCTAAAATGCCTGAACAGTACACGAGAGAGAGAGAGAGACAGACAGAGAGAGAGAGAGAGAGAGAGCTTAGAGTCCTTACCTACTTTTTTCACAGGACGCTACGTACATTGTTTTTAAACACTTTGCCGTATTTAAAAGACCATCGTTTCCTATTTGCCCAACTCGTCGTATAAAGGCTATCCAAATATTTGCGAAATAAATCTTATATTAATTCCATGATCTGACCCAGTAAGATAAGAATTCGAAGACGCCTGTAACCACGTAGTTTTGCTTTATACGCTTCCTGTTCACTTCTATGTCTTTTTATCACCAAGGGAACGAGTAAACAAAAAAGGACAGGTGAATCAGAGCGTCCATCTCACGGCATACGTAAATATCTTTATACCTGTTCATTGAACAGGTAGCTTCAAATATTGCGTGAAGGCAGTGGACTTGTATCGTTTTTCATTAAAGGTATGCGCTTTGATGGTTCCTAGTGCATTTATGTTACCTGTGTATTGGACAGTAAAGTAACCGATACAGTTTCCCGTGTAAACTGCCGCTTACAAATTTCGTGCATGTTTAGAAGAATATTGCATACCAGACGGGAAATATGAAACGCTGTCCTTTGGTATTTCACTAAACTCATATATCATTTGAAACTATATAATGGGCGGGTGAGGTTTTGTGACAAAATTTTGACTTTAGATGCATCCTTAAACTATCCTTATGCAGAGCAGCACGAGGTCACATAGCGGATTAATTTTACCTGTACTTTTATTTATTTTCACCTTTTGCGTTACTCTGGAAATTGGACGTCTAAGTAATGCGTATGACGTCATACTACATGTACTTTTAAATCATGCGCACAGTGGTGTTGATAAACGAAGAAGTTTATCATTTCATCTCATTTTAACAAGCATTTCCGCCACAAAGCGTCAATGTTCTTTAACCTTAATATATAGATATATTTTAAATAATTAGGAAAAATCACCAGTGTGTTCAAAACGTATCTTCTCTTCTTCAAATACCGCAAAATAAGGCCTACATTTTTTTCTTGATGACAAATGAATCAAAGACCCTATCATGAATATTTCTCTGTGCTATTTCTTTGGAGAAACATACATACATATGAACTAAGGCCCATGAGATAAGAAGGACTGAAACTTCTGAAATATATGGGTTGATTTTTCGTATAATTCGCTAGTACATGTAAACAATTCGACGATAATTGCATAATCTCGTCAAACATTATAGGCCCATTTCCCAATCATCGACGTTATTTAAATATCCAATGCAACTTTGCAATTTCCGTTGGTTAATGTTTGGCGTAAATAGAGGGATCTAAAGTACTTTGTTAGATAACCAGTGACCGTGCATCTGAATAGGCCTAAAGCCCCCCCCCCCCTTTCCCCAATTCACGGAATCGAAATAAAAGACCAACAAAACACTCATTTCGTTTCGTTGTGCTAGCTATTTGGCACAGCTGTAGCAATGAGCCCTGGGACCTGGCCAGATTACCACGCCTTGTTGATACAGTCTGAATATGATGTTCTTCGATGGGCGAGAAGACCTACATGTATCTGTAGATTTTCACTGGCGATTTACTGTTGTGCTGCAAAAGTGGATGTTTGTAAATAGCATAGGGCCTATGTCAATCGAGTGGATAGTTACCTCCTTGAATGGTGAGATCCAGTTTACTTACTAATAAGCGTTTAACTTTTTTATCGAACACAATCTTCTTAGTTAACATGGGTGTTCGCAATGCCGTTTTGACTGCTTTCAAAGATCTTTTTCTCCACTTGTCATAAAGCGTCATGGTGACATATGTTACGTCACTGCATTATGACCTATGAACACAGCTTTACTATGGCAAATGTTGAATACAGATATACAGGTCTAGTCTATGATACTTTTGCGTTTGGGTTATTTCATATTTCAAACTGGGAGCAGCTCAGCCTACATTCACTGCCTTTTAGTTTTATGAATAATAAATCTTGAAGTGTTAGCTTACTGGGGATCGAAGAGTTCTCTGTTTCGTTGCTAAAACATTTAAGAAATAAAAAGATAAATGAATAAACGAAATCAAAAGAAATTGTGATTGTAGAAAATAAAATTATTCTTTTCTGGAAAAGTGTGTTTACCATGTTATCAAAATCTTATAACATAAGAATCGCTTGAAGGTTTATACATTTGTTTTCAGTTACAATTAAAAATAATAGATCCTTTGTAATAACAGCAACTTGTTTTTCATCCCAATTAAAGTTACAAGTTTTTTATAGAATTTATTTCATACCGGTTATCACAAGAAGATGTCAGGAAAAGCATCATAATATCATTAAAGGGATAATATCTCTTCGTATGAGGTCTATATTTCACAATAAAGACATTGTTAATAACTCATAGAAATATAATATAATCTGTTTTACGACAAAAACAACAGTTATAGCTATTATTCTGACATCTAAGCTTGTCTTCAGACCACGTGACCTCCATTGATGGCTATACTCTTAAGAGATTTTAACAAAAAACCAAACTTTTTAGAAAAAAACAGGGACTAACTTTGAATATAAAAATGGATTCATTAACCATTGGTAAGTATGGGAAAATTGTTGTTTACTCCAGGAAAATTCATTTTAAGGCCAAAACGAATAGTTATTATCCCTTTAAGTATTTTAACATAAGTGTGTTATGTGGTGAGTATAAGTGCTCAATGTAAGCTGAATGAAATAGGACGAAATGTCTCAGTCAAAATAAATAAAGCTGATGAAAATGTGACATTAAATAGCACGCACTTTCACTTCCATTTTGTAAAAAAAAAAAAGGTCAAGGAGGAAACCTAGGTGAACCCACGTTAAGACCTCGCCCTCGTCCATGCAAAAATAAATAAGCATTTCATCAGAACGGTTTGTTCTCCATCCGTGTGATTTAATGCAGTGAATTGTTGGCATACTTCTAGTCGTTTGCCAAACAGACAGTATCTGGTTAATAATTTTCATGTTCGACAAAAATTCAGACAAACTCAGATTAAAATGCATATTTAACACTTTTGGACATTAACACATTTCAGTCGATAAATCGTAACTAAGCCCACTTTCGAAAACTGTCTTATATCTTTCCGGACGGCAGTGTGTACTTACCTTGCTCCTGAAAATTATGTCACTATTCTTTTTGTTTTGCAACGGTATTACCTAGCGCCAAGGCGACACGTGTGACGTAGCGTGGCGCTTGTGACGTAAAGTGAGTGGTACGAGATATTCTCCTACGAGTAATGGATAAATAGATAATTACATAGATTTACATGTAATTTAATTTTTTTAATAATTGCCGTTTTTATCTTCAACATGTTGAAACAAAGTGAAACATGTCTTTTTTTAATAAAATAATGTAAATTGTAATATCTGAACTGTAGGCCTATTCAAAACATGACCATAATGCTGTGAGTGTGATGTACAATAGATGTCAGCAGTAGCGCTGTCTATTGGCGTAGGCGAGCTAATCTAATATTCTTTTTGAATCACACATAAGTAAAACCATTGTTCACTTCCTCCTTGTATTGTGGGTGGGTGGAAGCTGTAAAATTGTTGCCATGGATACTGTCATGTGACACCCCAGATTTCTCCGGAAATTTCCATATCGGACCTTGCAGGTGTGTATGTTGGCGAGGATGCTATTTATATGCGATTCCGCGTGGAAGAATGTTTATTTATGTTGAAAATTTCCGACAGAGGAACTCGTGTATTTATCATCTATCTAGACTATCCAGGATCAGACTAGATCAGCACAAAGTTGATAGTTAACCTCTAAGGACTTAGTCTAAAGGTAAGAAGTATTTCATCTCGTTCATAATTACATTATGTACAGGGTCTCGGTTTCTTTTCTTTTTTTTTTTTTTTATAGTTTTGTAGTTTGTTTGTTTCAACATAAACTACATTTAGCTCACGTGTGTGTGTGTGTGTGTGTGTGTAAACTGATGGACCGGTAGTCCTGTATCTAATTATTTGCCAAACTCGGTTGTTGCAAAAATCTGTTTTTTTATTGATACCTTAAATTAAACCCATTGGATTATTGTCAAATCCCAAACTTTGGATAATAAGCAAGTATAGGCATACTTGGTTCTCGGCCGCCAGGTAGCTAGATAGGAAATGTTGTATGGAAGCCAAATTCCAGCAAAACAAATAAATTAGTTTCTTGCAGCCTAGCTAGATTGCTCATCTTTCTGCTAAATAATGTGACAGGTACATTTCTCAGGCTGTTTGTATTACATTGTATTTCTGCTCTCTTAATGCACGGGTAAAGTAGAAGTTCTCAGTTCTAATTTTATTTCCAATTCCATAACATTTACAATGACAAGTCACGTATGTTTTTGCGTTGAAGGATTTTAGTTCTCGCATAAACGTCGCTCCCGTGGTATACACATTACACGCACTCTCCACTTACATATCCGAATTCTGTGTCAAGATATTATGTCAGCCATACATACATTCATGAATGATAAAGGTTTATGAAGGAAGACGGTTCTTTCATCAGGCCAGAACGTTGTAACATATTCCCGATATTGCATACCTGTAACACGTACAAATTATCGAGGTGGTGAAATGCGGATTAGATATCTACTAATACACTGATGTACCCGGAAAATAGACGCAGACAAATTCAAGGAAATGGCCAGACAGCGTAGGAGAGAACAGATCGTTCTTAATCTGCGGGGCGACAGAGGGGTGAGAGGGGGCTTCACACGTGGCACAGTGCCAATAGATTCACTCTAAATAACGCAACTTCTGGCTTCGTCTGAAACGATTTTCACAAACTATTTTAGTTTTGAATTCAAGGATTTCAGAGTAGGTGGTAATTTATTGTCTGCTTCCTAAAAAAGTTAAATCGGTTGCCCAAACACATTTTACAGCAGCCTATGGATCTTTAGATTTCATTAGAATTAGACTATTAAATTAGAGTTAGACATTTTCCGTCTCAAACACAAAATTCAGTCAATTAGAAATGCCTGTCAGGAGCATACGTCACGTATATCGAGGTAATATAAACGCACCCAGAACACATATTTCTGTGGCGGCTCAGCATGCACAGCAAAAAGCTCTTCAAAAAATAGGCATCCGCACTGCTGGAAACACAGGCATATTTGCTCCACTTCTGTGCTCCTCTTACCAGCCCAGCAACGCCAAACTCGTGTACGGTGGTAAAAAATGGGACTTAATGCTTGTACTCTTTCTCTAATGTTTAGTCCTCAAAAGAAAATTTATAGATACTTTATACAGCACGAGTAAACCTGTTGAATCTGGACTTTGTTTGAAGGAAAGTTTTGGTTTTATTAGTTTATATATATATCCCAGTAATCATTTGATATCTCCCCTCCCTCCATACGCACTTCAGTTTGGGGATTTTGTCGTTTCTTCAGTAAAGCATTTTGGATTCAAACAGCTCTTTGACACTACAAGATTAAGGAAATATAATTTGTAACTTTGTAAGATTGAGGTTAAGTACAAAAGCATCGTGGCAAGTTTACTTTGAAATGTCATCCATGACTTTTATTATAGTATCAGGAATAGGTTTTCTTTGAAATTTTCAGCCAGTTGCATATATGCATTGGGGAAACAATAATTTAATTACAAGCATAACATTATCATCCAACAGAAGTAAAATAATAGCGTGCAACGCCGTGTGTGACTTCTTTGAAAATATTCAAGGTACGGTGGTATTGCAAAGATTTTACATTATATCAATTTACACCATAGGTCTAAGTGTATTTATGTGCAATTGAAATGTTTCCTGACGCAAACATTATTTAACCGGAGCATTAAAGCATAGACAGCAGGAAAACCTTGAATTCAAAACCACTCAAACTCCCAGGTGCTTCTTTGTCTGTTGTGGCAGCTCTGAAGGATTCCTGCAGTTCAACGGGAAGATCACGCGCACAGGATGCTAGCAAACACACCGGGTTGCCTACACAAACGCTAAATTGGCTCGCTGTAATTATCTACTGCTTCCTTCATGTTGTTTGACAGCAGTTTCATCAGTTCTAGGAGCAGTGCCAGTGTAAAGAATCCTGGTCTGTTTCCTTATCATAAACCTTCGATCAGAAACAACCGTAATTGCTGTAATAGTAAACAAAATACTTCGTTAACATACTGTACACGGTTATGTAAACAGATATAAACGTCGTTAAGGGATTCTCTCCGCCAGGGTCAAAGAGACTGCAGAAAGAATCTCTCACCAGATATACTCAGATATCTGTCGGGCTATTCGTTTGCATATTTCTGTCTACATTTCTGTTGCAAGGATTTTTGCACAAAAATGTCATCACCCGGCTTTATTTTGGTGGAAAGTAGTTGGAGGATGGGTATCGTTTCGTTCAGGTCTCCCACCTATTTACCGTGCCAAAAGAAGCAACTTTCATCGTTGTAATTGTCTACGGGCCAGAGGAGGCATTCATAATCACCTGGGTTTTTTGTAACCCACGACGTGAGTAGATTATGTTTATGATGTATAGCCTCAATCACGTGTCAGTGACGTGGGAGAAATCAACTGTTAACTCTGCAGAAAGACGTTGCGTCAACAGGAAAGGCCATTGGAGAAATTAGATAATAAGAAAGTCAATGAACTCAGTTTAATTATCAAGGTCAATTAAGCCGACTACAAAAAGAAATTCTCATTTTGACGAACCACACATAAAACTCAAAGCCCTTATTTTATTTATATGAATGAAATATATATTAACGATAATCCTTCAAAATAATCAAGACTCTTTTTATTGCTGTTCGCTTTTCTAACGACTCCCCATTAAATTGAAGTGGAAATTGTTTTTAAGAAATAAGATTTATAAAATTAAATAGAGTGAATACAAGAAAAACATTTTTTCGCAAACACAAATGCGACCAATCCCCCATTTCAGTACACCTTCCCATGTCTTTTTAAATTATCTTCTTTCATCTTCGTCAAAACAACTCCAGGGAGGGTTCTCACCTGTCTTCCTAGGTGTGTGCACTGACATTAATAGACTAAGAAGAGTAATAAAACTTAGCTGTTTTTTTAAATAATAGATACACCTGGAAAAAATTACGCCTCTACAAATGTTAGAAATAGGTGCGTTTAGGTGAGATCTTGTCATGACACTAATCAATTCAATTTCTAACGTTGGCTATTTGTTACAAATTTAGTTTGAAACGAAGTGTTTCAATAAATAGTTTGATGAATAGTATTGAGAAGCTTCCCCTATTACCTCCATTACCTCAACACGTTTCATGTAAAATGATAATAATATATAAACATTTTTAATTGCTAAAATATCTATCAGTTGCAGTTGTACCTTCACTTTGATATATTTCTTTATAAATAAATCAAAACATAAATTTAGTTTAGTAAAAGAAGTGAAAATGGAAAACGGGCTTTACAAACATCAGTTTATTAGAAGCTAAGTATCTTGTCTGAAAAAAAAAAACAGTTGCATAATTCTGAACGGTCATGTTCGTACGTTGATTTGTTTGTGCAGGTGGCATCTGTTTGTGAACGTGAACTTCCTTGAACTCCAAGAACCGTCAACAGTGCACTCTCTGAGATATATATACATGTATTTTGTAAACATACGCCCTTGTTTCTTTCATATGGTAGAGAAATGTATGTTTTAGTATCCATTTCCATTCACTTTATTTTCTTCACCACTCAATACATCTTGTGAAATGAAAGTTCTTGTAGGGTTCGAAATATTGAGTTTCTTATTCAGATATAATGTGCATTGTATTTGGGGATCCCTATAAGTCAATTAGATGGAAAATGCATAACGTTTGTAGCGAATGTTGTGGTTTTGTATAATTTCACACAAAAAAGACGACGTCGTCTAATTTTGATACTTTGTGTACCGAAAAGCACTTCCGTTTTTACAATAATTCCATCAAGTTAAAAAAAGCGTGTGGTCTGCAGATTCTATTTACATCTTCCTTATAAACAATATGCTTGCTGAATTATGTCTGGTATGTCGACTTTACATCGAAAACAAAGACTCCTACCGATGTGTGTATTTGGAGTAGGTCCTTTACTAGGCCAATGTAGCGCCGCCCAGGACCAAATGATCGGGTGGTAGATTGGTTCCTGATTTGCGAACATACGGCATGCCCTAAGGAAGATCTGTACCAAATAAACGCCGACGCTGGCTAATATTTCTTGATGTTTTACTAAGCCTCAGGACGTGACCTGAATTTTGAGGCGAATCTTGAAATTCAAACCAATGGTGCCCACTGACATTGTTTACTCCAAGTACATGTTTTTATGTTTTTATCGCTTTTTAAGGAATTTTTGCCAGGTATGTTATTTAGATCCAGGGTTGATACTTTAATGCTGATTGGGATTTTTTTAACAAGATCAAGCCTTTTATAATATCTGAAACCACTGTTGCACGTACATACAGGGCAGACCTCGTGTTACGCCATACAAACATTACGTAAAACCACATTTTTGACAAAAGACAAAAATAGTCTCAAATGTTTCTATGAAAAATGAAACATTAGTCTTATTATCTAGAGATATCAAGACGGGAACATCTTTCTTACCTAAGACTTCATTTTTACCAATAAATGTTCTGTGATATAGTATGTCTTGATACTCTCTTTGTGCGCATGTGTAAATACACGTATGTTCGCCTATTGTTATGTGGACTGTACATTTTATTGTCCTTGGTTGATATTTTTGTTGTTTTATTTTTGTAATAGATACTTATGTAACGCAGTAGTCTACATGAATGTGTGTTTATAAGATTGCGTGGGAGCGCGAGTGCGTGTTTTTTTATTAAGCATGTTTCCGTTTGTGTGCATACGTGTGTATTTGTAGTCGGACATGGAGGTACTTTATTTCCCCCCATACTCCCAGCACTGAGCCTTCTCCACAACACCTGTGGGTGATTTACAGGATTTACCTTACTGAAGATAATATAAATAGCTTCGTCGGTCTGACCCTTGCTTCCAGATTTTGTTACATCGCCAGACGGAACAGGCGTTGTCCGTGAAACCACTGCCGGCATTACGATCAGATCAGCAATTCAGGACTTCTAGGGAGATTGCACCTTGTTCTTCGCATAAATGAATGCTAAGGTAAGTTGAATACAAAAGTTTTAATGTTAAAATTGTCTGAAGATATCTATATGTAGGTATGGCATTCAGAAACATTTATGGCCTTTTCAGAAACAGACATGGACTTGGCACAAGGTACTGCTTGTTTCTTAATTGTACAGATTTTTTATCTTTTCGTTTGTGATGCTTATCATCAAATAATCAACAGTGCGAACACGCCAGGAAAAGGCAAAATGATGCCAGCATATGCTTATTACAAACAACTATAACTGGTATTTGTTTTGTAGTTTTTGTATCAAAATTAGTTCCTAACGTCACATCCTGATTTTAGACGCCTGGCGGCGTAAGAGTAACTCTCCTAAATCTAAACTTGTACGTTGTAAAAATCTTGTTGAAGGCTGTTCATGTAGGTGTTTAATTTAGAGTAAAACATTTTTATCAAATAATTTTGTGTTGTGCTTCCCCTATATCTCTTTTTTTCTACATGATAAAATATGGAGATGTTCTTTCTGTCAAGTACATAAAGAGCAAAATGGAAACACATGATTTGGATATCCACTTCTTGTAATGACTTCCGACGACCTATGTGTTACTAGTGAACTCGCTGGAAATGACTAACCCTTAAAATGAGCCGAGACGCTCCTTATTTCCGCATAATAAGTGCAATCTATTAGAGAGCACATACAGAACCGACTGTTTGGTAATGTTCACAGGCGTAGCTCTGATCCAGTAACCCCGATGATATGTATGCTATTTGCCATTTGTATAATAGTTTTGACAGGTGCTGAATGACAATGAGATTCACATTTGTTTAGGTGGAAATAATAAGTAGACAGCAGTATTGGTATTATTACATTATATACAGTAATTTAAGTAGTTTCAGCATGCGGATATATTTTTGTTCTTCAATTAGTCTAACATTTAAATATTAGGAAAATACTGACTTATCCAGCCGACTTATTGTCTAATTGGGAATGTAATTGCATTTACAATCAGCTCCAGTCTGATAAATCCGCGTAGCTTTTGAAAATAACATAGCACACGGCATAACCTTTGCCATCAAATTATCCAGATGTTAAACAAGCAGTGGCAGGTTAGACGACCTTTCAGGCTAGGTGCTTTTATTTGCCAGAAGACGCCTTCTTTCTACAATATCGTACCTGTGTGTATAATTCTTTGTGTGCGAGAGTGAGACCTGGTAGACTTGTGTCTGGCATTTCAGATACGTTCCATGTTTTATGAATAGATTGAAATGATCAGTTTTGGGTTTAGGCAATTCCATTGTGGTGTTTACCAAGATGGTTCTGGAGGTAATTTCAGTGCGGCAACCAAGAATATCTCACGTATCACTTTAAAAGATATATAAAAGATACTAATGCTTTTTAAATGTGACCTAACAGTGCAAAACAACATGAACATGTCCCTGTATGTCGATCTGGTAAAGAAGCATTCTACGAATGTAGATACGCTTCGACATACCCGTGTTCTAACAGATACAGGAAATCAATTCCCCGCTTGCAGCCTCGAGCAAGATAACAGCGTCCGTGGTCGTTCAGGTAACCCCTTGGTTGGTGTTTATAATTTTTCCATACAGGTGTTACGTTCAGTACACCTCCCCAGTCTCGGTGAATTACTGCCAGTTAGATCAGATAAATCAAAGGAATACGCGATTTTGCTTCAAGGTGAGTCCATACAGCAGGTGAAACTGGGCAATGTGGAAACAGGTCTTCGGTTTGCTGGATATGTGATGTTCATAAAACATGCAAATGGGGTGTTATATTGTACAAAATATAACTCATATTGAGGTAAAACCAACATATATTAAAAGAAACGTGTTTGAAATGTTTAAAAGAAACGTGTTTGATATATTTAAATACACACTACTTATATTCTTTAATTTGTAAATGTTACGAGAGAAATGTAGATTATTTCATTTTTTGTTTGATGCGATCCTTTGGTCTGTCTTCAGATAAAAACATGAATCTTTGAAACAATTTAGGTTTTAAAATAATGGATTTTTTCATACTTTTCCCTGAATGCCCAATTCGTTTTACCATTTCTAATCATTTTTACACTGTTCATAAACGTGCTTTTTTGGACATTTTTATGTCCGTACATGTACAAAACTCGATGCCCGAAGTCTATGAGTTCCCATACATAAATCCACACCAAGGTCCCTTCTTTGTTAACATATTTTACAGTATAAATATTGCAAACACGGTATACTCCTAAAAGACGCTAGTTTTACACTTAATGTGGCGGCTAATTAATCCACCATTACCCCAATACGGAATTCATTACAGAATTTCTTTTACTCGTTATGCATTGAGAGTTTTCTTGTTATTTGACCCATTACCAATTGAAGTTCAGGTATCATTTCCTTGCGGCACTTGTTTTCATCTTTGTAAGAGTCCTGTTGCCCTTTGCTCCAGTAGAGGGCTGTGTAAATAGAAAAATGCCGTTCCTGGAGAAACTAGCTGCTATTAGTTTTTCTACATTGTGAGAAAAATCTGTGCCAAATTTGCACCTGGGTGCACTTGCTTCAGAAACTTCGCAGATTATTTTAGTTGTACAGCGTGTTTTCTTTACTAGTCTATGTTGACACGAACTGCGCTTGTTTTAACAAGTGTAGCAAAAAAAAAAACCTTAATCTTCACCATCCATTTATTAAAAAATTATGCAATACAATACATTAATATTTGACAAGCTGATATACCTAAAAATGCAACTCAGATTCAGAGTCTTTTTTGCGCTTTACCTTTTTTGTGTAAATTTAAGTATCTGCAAAATATGAATAAATGTTTAAATCTATTGTAATTAATTGACATGTTAAGTGCTAATGGAAATTCTCTAAATTGTCTTATCAAACTTTTTCTTATTATTCTATAGCGCAAAATAAACTTAAAATCTATATTTATTCTTCTCGTAACACGCACCTGTAGATAGAAGAATTTAATTTTACATACGTCACGTCTGGAGCGTGCTTCGTGTATCTGCTGAGAGTTGTTTACATCGGATAAATTGTAGAAGGATCTCGTAAACAAACATTAGAGTGCCCCCAACTAAGATAATAAGCTATCTTTTCAGAGGCAATTTTATAACAGTCAGTCTGAAAAGTATCTAACAGCATATTTTAATAAATCTTGTTTCCGGAATAAGGAGCGAGCTAGGTGAGTAACCCCCAGTGGAATGTTTTTTTTTTTTTTTTTTTTTTTTTTTTTTTTTTTTTAGAATTAAACAAGAAGTACTACATGAAAATGTGAGTGGAGGTTAGGTGAGACCATGCAATTCCGAATTTATTGTTGTCTAAATATTACACACCCAAACAGTCAATTCTGTGGCATCATCAATATGGCAAACACTACTTCTCAAACCACATATGATAAAGTTCCACATATAAGAGTATAGTGGTTACTTGAACTTCTTATCAAGTTTCACTGCATTTTCAATCCGATTAATTTCAGCATCTTGTAAAACAGGTACGTGTTGTAAGCTTGCAACAATTTACTTGATTTTCTGAATTTGTCCCATCTATCTGATATCCATCAGGGTTTCCACCTGTCTGGAAAACGTGTGTAGGGTTAAAACTGATGGAAGTATCCAGAACTTCATCGTCTCCAGAATGCGGTCAAATAGTGACATTTAACTGGTAAAACCAATCAACCCAGATACTTTTATCAATTTGGATCCTTTGGGCATCTGAGATAATAAAGACATAGCCTTTTGCGTTCCTATGTTAGGAATGCTCTCAGATAAACAGGTTTCCCGAGCTCGTAATTCTTTGTTGACGTAATAAACTAGATTGTAGAATACGGAGGAGTCCACCTTCTTTTTGTACCAATTTAGCTAAGTAGGATAACTCATCTTCAAAGTATCTCGTCCTGTACATTACAGCAGGTCCTACCATCGTCACAAATTTAAACATGGTGAAGATGGAGTAGTAACTGGAAGAAATGCATTCTTTTTGTTTGGTTTTTCAGAGGCAGAAGTCATCAAAATGAGTATACCAGCTATTAACGTACAACGCACAGAGAGCGGTAATATAATCAAAGTAGATGAGAGCGAACCTGATAACGGTAAGTACAGTAATAGTACTGATAGCCGTTTTGTTCAATTTTTTCACAGTAGCAAGATTGGGTATACAGACTAGGTATTCTAAGGCTCAAAGCTTATCGAAAATTCTCCCCTATAACCGGCATTCTCAGTCACCCGTGACAATTGAGACTACATCTCTCTAATCTTTTGCAAGCTCACCACCACATCCTAACTTGTTATGGCGCGAGAGGTCCATTCATTGTCGTACTTGATGTATGCAAACGAAAGACACCATATATATAGTCATGTCATGGCAATAGTATTCTTGACTGATATCTAATTAAGTACTAGAAAGCCATTCAAGAATTTTTGATCACGAGTTTATTATATAATAACCAAATTATTTCTAAATTCCAGTCGACGCTCTTCCATTCCGTGTCCGGGATGTAATAATAAAACACCATGACGTCACAGAGGAATACAAGCTACTTGAATATCTTGGACGGTAAGACAAAACACTATAGAGCGCATCAGTTATTTTGTTTGAAATATATATATATATATATATATATATATATATATATATGGCCTTTAATTGTAGGCCGTGTATACATCTGTGAAATAATGTATATAAACGTAATGGATATTTGTACGTTATTCAAACTAGAGATACGACTTTTGGCAATCACTTCCATCCTATGGTATGATGATACAATTAGCAGTGTGTATCATTTGGTCATTTGGCTCATTATTAAGTTAATGAATATACGTAATTGGAAATGTAATGATAACACATCTTAACGATTACTGATACGCGATAAAAAGTTACTTTGTAAATGTCTTACAAGATTATCGTTTCCACCAGAGGGCGATTTGGCGAAGTGAACAGATGCGAGAATAAAGCAACTGGCGAGATCTTCGCGTGCAAGAAGATCAACACAGAGCGTCCGTCCGATAAGAAAGAGGTGATGCTCGAGATCGAGGTAATGAAGCAGCTGCAGCACCCCATGTTACTACAGCTAGTGGACGCTTTCGAGATAGAAAAGCACATGCTCCTCGTCACAGAATAGTAGGTCTACCAGATAGTGACTTTTAATATCAATGTTATGACCCATTAGTCAATTGTTTTTTTTTTCTTTTTGGACAAACACTTTTTGCTCACAGAAAATAAAGGTAATCTTAAGCTTCTGTTACACAAATTTTGGCCCACTATCACAATTTGCGCTTTCCAAGTGGTCGCAAGGCCAGTGTAACAGGACTTAAACAAAGCTAAATAAACTTTGTATTACCACCCTTTACTTTTTATTTCATTTTGTGTGTAGCTTATGTAGCTTTTCTAAACTTCAAGAGAACGTGTTTCAAGATTACTGAATTTATTTTTGATATTTAAAGTTAAATGTGTCTTCAGCATGGTGTTATTTGTAGTATTGCAGGAGGTGAACTCTTCGATCGTGTCATTGAGGACGAGTTTGTTTTGACAGAAAAAGCGTGTGTGATGTTTCTGAGACAGATTTGTGAAGGAGTCGGCTTTATGCACTCTAAGAATGTCGTTCATCTTGACTTAAAGGTGCGTTTAATGGCAGGTATTTCTATTGGGACTGTTAAAAACATAAGATGTTTTTTTGTGAATTGTGAAATTCATAGGTTGAACATTTGCGTATACATAATAATATTTAAAAAGACAGCCTGTGTTCATCTTGGATTTATTTGACCTCATTTTTTATTGTTTGTTTGTTTGTTTGTTAAAATCAAATTGTTTGTTTTCTTTTTAGCCAGAAAATATCCTTTGCCTCACGAGAACAGGAAACAGAATAAAGATCATCGACTTTGGCTTAGCGCGCCATTATAAGCCAGGCCAGCAACTGCATGTAAGTTTTGGTAGTATAATGACATAGATAAACGGATAATACGATCGCTAAGTCTTATCTTTATTCGCTTATGCCTCGATACTTTGATAAATAAATAAATAAATAAATAAGTCGATAAATAAATGCGTTATTGAATAGAGCTCGTAAATGTTTTCAGGTATTATTTGGCACTCCCGAGTTCATGGCACCGGAAGTTGTGAATTATGAACCAATCAGCGTTCAAGCTGACATGTGGAGTGTGGGCGTGATTACATATATTCTGTAAGATATTTTTAAATTAATATCTCGTCTATTGAATAAGATAAGAATTGACATGAAGAACATATTCTTTATTCGATTTTCATCCACTCTCCAAAATTAAAGGAGAAGTTGATTAACCTGTATTCTTGATTTTTTTTTTCAATCTTTTCATCACATGTTGCCAGGGTTTAGCATACACTTACTACACACAGGCACTAAGTGTGTTGATCCAATACTTCTCGTTGTCTTTGAAGGAAGTCGGCTTTTGTGCCAAAGTCTTATTTTCTTCTTTCTTGCAGTATCTCTGGTTTATCGCCTTTTATGGGCAACATAGATTCCGAGACGTTAGCCAACGTCAGTAGAGGGACGTACTCATTTGACTATGAGGACTTTGCTGAAACTTCCAACGAATGCAAAGATTTCATAGCGAAGCTTCTGATCAAAGATCCCAAGTATATTTTCTTCTTTTTTTTATTTTGTCTTGTGGTATTTTACTTACCTTAAATATTACTTTAATAACTTTTCTTGTTTGAATTAATGATGAAATAGGCAGTGAATAGTTTGTGAGATTGTGTGGCAATATTCATATTAATAATTGTTCGAATTAATAGTGGAATAGGCAATGAATAGTTTGTGTGACAATATTCATGTTAGTGATTGCTTTTCAGCAATTGTTTGAAATTTATTACATATTTACAACTGATTTCCATCGATGTAAAGAAAAAAAAGATGGTACGATCTACTAATTTACATTGTTTTTAAAAGATTGTTTTCGATGGCGCTTTATATTCATGCTCTTTTATAGATATCGCCTTTTTTTCAACATCTGTAAATCTTTTATTTTTCAGAAAACGTTTGACAGCGGCACAGTGCTTAGACCACACATGGCTCAAGGTAAAGACTTTTCTTAATACTTCACATACAAAAACAAGATTAACGTTCACAATTTTTCTTTCAAAATGATTGATTTTGCAATTATCATTTAAAAACTTATCTTATGCCCAACCCTAATTACTATATGTGTTTGTGTTTTTGCCAGAAATCGAGAAAGAAGATGTTATCTATGAAGAGAATGAAAACGACCAGACTGAAGCTGTTTGTGTACAGAAGAAAGTGGCAGGTACGTGTGCTTACTAACTTATACGACCTACTTAGGAGGTGTGGATTCAATGAAGTAACATTTTACTATCCTGAACATCGTCAGTATCAAAGGGTGGTTTTCTTCATCATTTGTGAAATAATCATATGTGCGACTTCTTTTTGAATATTTTGGCGTGTTAAAGGTCGCCTCTATTTTGAAGAAATAGGTTTTAATAGAAATAGAAATAGATTTGATGATGAAATGAAACCAAGACATTAAACATTGAATAAAGGATTATAGAAAATGTGACAAATGCGTGTTATGCGGTTTCCGTGTTATTTCAGAAACTGGTGAACACTATCGTTGCCCTTAAAAGAATGGGATTTATTATGAATAAGAACAATGGCAACATAAAGCCTGTCCTCGGTCTTCACGATGATAAACCACCTGCATCAAAGGCTAGCTCCGAGGTTAAGCCCGAGACACCTGGCAGAGGATCCTCACCTTCAACGCCAATTAGTACGACGGTTAATGACGTAAAGAAAGAGCCATCGCGCCGAAGATCAAATCTTGATCACAGTACTGATAAAACTGCTGAAACGCCCAAAAAGTCAAGTAATTCTAGAATATCTGAAGTGAAAAACACGGACACACACGAAAGGGCCTCTCGGGTATCTCCGGGTAGCGCCGAGAAAAAATCTGAAGCAAAACTTGAGGAGAAAACAACACGTGCGAGCGAAAGGCAACGCTCTTCTCCTGGTAGAAACGAGAAACAATCTGAAATTAAATCTGAGGACCTTGGAACAAAAAGATCGCAAAGATCTTCACCGCTCAGATCTGAAATTAAATCTAATGAAAAAGTAGATAAATCATCAGATCGCCTGCAAAAAACAAGAGGAGTTTCTCCAGAAATATCTAAACCTACAAAGCCAGAGACGAAAGTAGATGACATCCCTGTGCGCACTAGTAGAGTTAATCGCTTGTCTCCGATAAAAACGGAAAAAAAGTCCGACGAGTTGCCAAAGCGACCAATCCCTGAGGAACCTTTGAGCAAACCGAGAAATCGTGTAGATGAGGATTCACCGGATATAGGAATCAGGCCGCGGCGCCAGTCACCGGCCCCGGTAGTTACTACACCTAATTCCGCGTCTAGGTTGTCGCCATTGCGCTCCTCCCCCGCTCGGCAGTCCGAAGAACCACTTCGCTCAATAGGCAGAGATAGACGATCGCCTCCAGCTCGCCAGTATGAGGAACCACTACACGCAATCGGCAGAGATAGAAAATCGCCTCCAGCTCGTAATTATGAAGAGCCACTACGTGGAGATAAACGATCATCGCCAGTTCGACATCAGCAGGAACATCTTGATTCTCCAAAGCGCGTGTCACCGGTGCGTCGCCTTGACGACGACAGTCACTTAGGAATAGGGCCAAGGTCAGGCAGGAACGGGCACCAGTTGTACCATGAGCCAGAGATGAAGCAGGATGCCCCGCCCACTACAGGACGAATCAACATGAATTTACTGGTCCCCGAAACAAATAAAAGCTACGGTGGCCAAGAAGGGCCGTGCAGCCTTCCCCGTGTCTTTGTCGAGAGACTTGCACCCCCAGACAATGCTGCGGCACAGGCCCCCAAGGAAGGCAAGAAAAAACAGCGAATGTACAAACCGAAATCTAAGAATTAAATGCCTAGTGACTTGTAGAATTTTACGAAAAATTAACACGTCTGTATTGAGATTTATCAACGTAAGTACACGTAATGCGGTTTTCATCAATCGGAGAAAACGCCATCTGTGACAGGCAGTATTAAATGACAGTTTTTGGGACACAGTATTTGGTAAATTTCTAATTGAGGAAAAATTATTTTCATACTTTCAAAGTGGAAAATAGCGTAGTTAAAAAAGTAAATTTTTGTTCTGAGAAGGGCAAAAATTAAGCTGCAAATGTGCAAATGTGTGTCAGTGTGTAGGGCTTCTGGACCATAATTACGTCACAGCTGTAATTTTTAGCATAACATTTAAATAGTGGAAAAAGAAAAGATTATGAAGTAATTTACACGAGAAAGTGTAGTTCCATGTTCCATGTATGGATTTTAAAATCCGGTCACTGACTCAATCGGTTTGTTTAACCCTTAGTTCGTTATATTAGCTCTCTTATTAATGCCATAAAATCTTGAGATGTTTTTATCAGGTTACTCTTTATTTAGCAAATGTAGATACAATTTTTTGTTTTATAGACCAACCCTTATATGTTTACCTGTGCAGATATGCAAGTTGTCAACAATACTAAAACCCCATTTTGTACGAGACGTGAGTTATATTGTTTGCCCCCAAGTTTTTATGGAAAAATAAAATAATACCCAAAACCTAGTTTATTGTTACGAAATTTACATCAAAATTGAATCTATCTCTCTAACATTTATTTCTATTATATTATGTTCACGATTATTTCAACAAGCGACGATATAAAATTTGGCATGCGCTTAATATGATAATAACAATAGCTTGATATGTCCTCTTTTAAATAAATATCGTATAGTCAGTGACAAATTTTCATTCACGAATAAAGTCATTTTGGTCACAATTTCGGACGGTCATCTTCACAGTAAGTCCATCACAACAGTGGCGCCGTTTGGAGCAAGCTGAGTACGACAAGAAGTGGGGCCCAGATGGAAGCTACTGAAAAGTAAAATAATGTACATATGTATTACAAGTGAAACTATGAATATAACAGAACCTGAACAACTATAAAAAGACATTGAAGAATATTCTACAAAATTGACATTCATTCTTCAATATATACCATTTTATTAATTAAGCATTAGCTTCACCTTTTCTCGCGTCACTGGATGTCTGCTTGTTAGAAGCAGTGGCAGGTGTGGTGTTCTGTGCGGACGATGCTGTGGACGAAGCAGATTTAACACTGGTCTTTGGTGTTTTAGGACTAGAGTTTACAAGTGTAGGCGGAACACAGTAGGTATTATGCAAAGTTTTCTGTGAATTCAAAACTCCGTCAAATCTCTGAGTGACGACTTGAGGACAGCTTTGGTTAACTTGGAGAAACAGATTCTCTTGACATTGTTGGACAATGGGGTACTGCCTAGAAAAAAACGGAGAAATGCAAACATGGATGAACTTTAATAATGAATATTTCGAAGATGACCTACCTGAACTACAAGTAGGCCTATATATCCAGTATGTATGCTCAGAGGATGCTTATGATCTCTTAACAAAATGAGTATTTGGACAAAAAGAAATCAATAAAAATTACGACTAAAAATTGCTCCATATAAAACAGATTAACAAAACCGTCGACATTTGCAGAAAGCCAATACTTAAACAAGGCTTTGGACATTGTTTATCCTATTAGTATTACCCTCTGTAGCAGTCGATTTTAGATCCTCCACACCGGTCACACAGAAGTTTATCTTCTGACTTGAAATATACGGATACTTATTGGTCAAAACCGAGTAATTTTGTATCTGATATCACATTATGTCATATTAAACTTAATATCTCTGAAAGAGGCATGTTTACACAGACCACACATCTCCTATTTACCTGCACAGTTCAGGAACCACGTTAGGGTTCTGGGACAGATCTATTCCCGAGTATGGGGCTAGTGGCGCGAGACACTGGAAAAACCACTCCGTCAACCTCACACATTCTGGAACATAACAAACAAATGAAACTAAACAGAAAAAGTAAAAAATTAAATCTGGGATTCGTTAAAATCATTTACCGTTTACGTGACATATTCCCATTGGGTCCATCAATGAATGACGAAATAAAATTTGAAAAACACGAGAAATGCTGTTTACGATGTTCAGTTACGGTTTACCGAATGATACTACACGTACAGACAAATGTCACAACAAAACGTCACATTTTTAATTGAAACAGAAACTATACTGAAAACACTGAGCATATACGGTAAGAGGGTGTCACCTTCGGCATGCCCTTGAGCTTTGACATCTTGTGTACAGTAGGGTTCAACTGGTGAAAAGGATGTTAGAATTTGGTTGTGATATTGAGTCTTAAGATCATGGCAGAGGGAGCCGTTGGTGACGAATTCACCGCAGTTCTTGGCGTTTGCTAGTGCGCTTAAAATGTAAATCGTATTGACTGTAGTAATACGTGGATATGTTTTTTTTTCAATTTAAAAGACGATAAAATCTATGTATATTTCGTGTTTTTGCAGAAAAAAATGATATTTAAACAAAATACATAATACCAATACATTACTATTGCTTTTTCTGTAGACTAGCCATTGAATCAAAGAATTTTTATCATTCCATCATTTTAAAAGTTCTGTTCAAAGTCTTCAATATATTGATTGGAATCATATTTTTCAAAATGCTGTTTAAAAAAGCTACCAATTATATGATATCTGAAATGCATTACGTGCAAAGTGTGACGCGAACATCAGCAGTGACGTTGTCGAGACGAATAGCATTGAAGATCCTTGACACGTCACTAAAACACTCGTACACGCTCTGAATCTCTTGGTTGAAATTTTCGCAGCCAGGTGGAGCTGAAATAGGAGAATTTCATGTTAACAATTCCCAAGGTTTCTAAGTCATTTTTCTAGTGCACGTGCTCTTCGCTTTGCTAAGAAATGTTGGTTAAGTCCATGGCTTCATGTTTAATGATACACGATAAATTAATTGACCTAAAAGTAAATAATAATAATAATAATAATAATTTGTAATAGAGCAAAACGTTTATCAGTTAAAACGTTTTTCGCATTTTATCTTCAAGAAAACATAGCTATAACATTTTGCGTAGCTCTGATTTTTCATACTGAATTGCCTAAAGTCATTTTCCCCACTCGGAAATTCGTTACATTACTTACACCAAATCAGGTCCACATGAAATATTTATATCATGTCTATCATGTAGGCCTATATTTCATCATGTCTGAGACACCCTCCTGTCAGAAAACATGTTTCCCAACGAGATATGCGACATAAATGAAGAGTTGGCCTACCTACAACTTGTTCCTGTGTACAGAACTGTTCTACCTGCACCAAGGAGACAGCAATTTGGCTGTAATACTGAGACTGCAGCTGTTCACACCGGGAGGAATTCACAATGACTTGGCCACAGTGCTTTGCCTCTCCTAGAGTTCTGAAAGACATGTATTCAAGGTTAGTATGTTCAGTCTGCATTCTCGTGAATTCTACAGAATACGTTTCCCTCATTTCGGTTGTGTAAGCAGAAAAATAGATGTAATCACAGGCGTTCACTTATATTTTATTCGAAAGTAAACGTGAGCGTCTAATTTTAGTAAACGACTATTAGATGAAAAGGGATTGAATCTAAACATAGATATGATCGAGATGTTATTTATACTTAAGTTAGGCGTCTCACCTGCAAAGATACGTGCGATCGGCAGCAGTGACGTTGTCAAGGCGAATACCACTGAGGACAAATGTCACATTATTAAAACAGCCATGTACATTTCTTATTTCTTGGGTGAATTGTTCACACCCAGGTAGCGCTGAAAAAAATTGTTGATGAATGTATTAACAAAATAAGAAAAAAACACTTTCATTTTCATGAGGAGGAAATTGCCTATCTAATAGTGCGTTAACACCAAATAATTCGGAATCATGCCAACTCAATGTTTTATTTTTCTTTTGCACATAACTACTTGTATGGCATAGATAACAACACTTCAAGATCTAAAACTGGAGCTATTTGACAAACACCTTTTTCAGTAAAAACTTAAGCTTATTTAAGATAGCACTTTTAACTATCTACTATATAGCAACTAAAAATAACGAATAAAGATTAAATATAAGATTTTCACCCAAAAAAAGAAAAGGAAAATTGCATATTTCGGGGTTCTAGGAAAATACGCACTTCTTGTTTACCAGTAAAAATAAAAGAAAGGAAGAAAAAAAGACAAGAATGGAAGAGCAAAAGTACCTTCAATGTCTCCTTCGATGCAGAATTGTTGAACTTGTTGAAAAGGTGGTAAAATTTGATTTTGATATCGGGCGTGAACTGCTTCACAGCGGGAGGTATTGGCAATGGCGTTGCCACAGGTAACGGCTTCTGACAGTGTGCTGAAAATTGAGTCTCTTGGTTTAAGAACCGATTTTTTTCATTTTATCTATGTATTAGGTAATCCATAAGATATAAATGAATTCAAATTTGCTTTAAGCCTGCATATCCATGCTCTTTACACTATGTTGTCCATGTTTCGGTTAAAACAGTGCCTGCTGTAACCATGGGCATTAACATCTCTTTTTTTTTCAAAATGGTTTAAGATGGACATAAGTGTCAAATTAAAGTGCAAGACAATAATATGGAATCAGAATGCATCTGTGAAAGTGGTCTTTTATTATAACCGGTTCTCACCTGCAAATATAGGTACGATCTGCAGTTGTGACATTGTCAAGGCGAGTACCTCTGAGGACGTTGGCCAAGTTATTAAAACAGCCGTGTACATCTCTTGATACCTGCCTGTAATTTTCACACCCAGGTAGCGCTGCAAAATTTTTGATTTATATATTAACAAGAATAAAACAAAACGATAATTGTATTTTCGTGCACTTGAATGGTTTTTAACATAACATAATTCGGTTTTGCGCCAACTCAGCTCAGGTTTGTGTGTGTGACTTTAAACACCTACGGTCTTTATTTCATCTTTAGAAGCAATTTAACCACTCATAAAACTCATTTAAGAAATCACTCTTAGATGTTTACTGTATAACAGCAAAACCTCAATGCATAGATATAAATAATGACGTAATATTTTACTCAAAAAAAGGAAAAAGAAAAAACCAACTGTTTGGATATTTGGGGGTTTCTAGGCAAATACGCAGTTCCTGTTATTAAAAGGGAAACGAAATGAGGAACAAACGTACCTTCAATGTTTTCTTCAATGCACAATTGTTGAACTTGTTGAAAAGATGGTAATATTTGATTTTGATATCGTGCGTGAACTGCTTCACAGCGGGAGGTATTGGCAATGGCGTTGCCACAGGTAACGGCTTCTGACAGTGTACTGAAAATTGAGCCTCTTAGTTTAGAACCGATCCTGCAAACTCATGAACTTAAGGTTATTGTAACCCTTTATTATCACCCAGATGCCGAAAATGGGTTTTAAATCAGCGTTGAAACGGTGATCGTGGGTACTCAGGTAAAATAGAAATTTGAAAAAACGATTTTTCAGTTTTTACCCCAAATCGCAATTATGACGTCACCCGTAGGATGAGATATGTGTAAATGTTACTTGATTTAGTCACTGAACACTGAAGATTTTTTTATTACCCAAAAGAATGTATTAAGGCAGTTAATAAGGTGTTTTGGGCGAAGGTTGACAATATCCTTAACAACATGCTTTCCGTGTTTCGGCTATATCAGCAGATAAATACATGTAACCATAGACAGGAACTTCTTTTCATTCCGAAATGGACGTAAATGTCAAATTAAAATAAAAGACAATAACATGGAATCGGGGTGAACTTGGACATAGAAACTGTTGAAGGGATCTAAAAACCTAACCAAAATGGTACGTTAAATTTCTCACCTGCAAATATAGGTACGATCTGCAGCTGTGACATTGTCAAGGCGAATACCTCTGAGGACGCTGGACAAGTTATTAAAACAGCCGTGTACATCTCTTGTTACCAGCCTGTAATTTCCACACCCAGGTAGCGCTGCAAAATTGTTGATTATGCATAAGAAACAATAAAACTAAAGTGCTTTACTTTCTTGCATTTGAAAATGTCTAATAGTGTTTTTAACTTGAAATAATAATGAGGAATTTACCCCCCTCTCTCTAAAAAAGGAAACAGAGAGAGAGAGAGAGAATTTACTTCAGGGTTCTAGAAAAATACACACTTCCCGTACACTTTCAAAAAAAAGAGAAATCAATAAAGGAGCAAATTGACATACCTTCAATGTCTCCTTCGATGCACAATTGTTGAACTTGTTGAAAAGATGGTAATATTTGATTTTGATATCGTGCGTGAACTGCTTCACAGCGGGTGGTATTGGCAATGGCGTTGCCACAGGTAACGGCTTCCGACAGTATACTGAAAATTGAGCCTCTTGGTTTAAAAACTCAATTTGTATAAATGATATTTGACGATTTTTTTTGACAAAGAAGTTTTTGTTTTATCGACAAGTAGGTCGTATATTATCTTTATATTAAGTTACATTATAACATAATTTTGCATTTTGAATTTCTTCCATACTGTTTGTAACACCTGAAAAATCTTTCTCGCTAATTACGCTTATCAGTCTAATAATATGACTCTGTTGATGGTTTCTCAGTGTGAAGTCTCACTAATGTGAATTGAAAAAAAAAGTTACACTACAGAGCTGTGAACACATGCTTTCTACAATATCAGCAATAAATAAGGGGATTACGTGCAGAGCTGTGTGCGAGTGGAAGCTGTCACATTGTCAAGACGGAGCCCAGAGGACAGGGAAGATATGGTACTGAAACAGGCTTGAATGCTCGTGACGTCTTGGGTAAAATTTTCACAACCAGCAGTGCCTACAGAATAAATAAGCAAGCAAACAAACAAACATATAAATAAATAAATAAATAAATAAATAAATAAATAAATAAATAAATAAATAAATAAGATCACATGTAAAAAGTTTACAATTTGAACATTTAGTTGTAAGATATCTGACTGTTTTGGTATTCTTAAAACTTCTGAACCTCAAGCATTTAAAATAGGCACAACAATAATCTTCATTTTCAGTATGAGAATCGTTCTTTCCAGAAATGTTACTACATGTATACTAGGGTAATTGTACGCTTGCATGCTAGGATAATAACTCCAATTAAGGGGATTAAAGGACGTCGTTTGTCATTTTTTAAATAGAGTCACTCTGTTGATCTCTGGTAGTTCCACCAAACCATCATGACACATAGGAAAATACCGGTACATACTGTTGTTGACAGGTACGCTGGCAGGGGACTGGTTTCCTTGGCAGAGGGACCTAATTTGTACAGATATCTGTGCCAGCTGGTTCACCGTGGTCAGTTTCTCCACTACCCAGCCATTTTCTGTCTGAACCTTTTCAAAGGCCGCGGAATCACAGTTGGCTAGCGCCTCTCGCAGACAGACATCGGCTTCGAGTACCACTGTTGCTTCCCTGAATTAATTTGGGTTATTCTTACATCAATAAATAAAGTTATACACTACGTACTTTCTTTTCTTTGTAGGAACCATGGAAAAAATCGACATGAGAAGGCAAATAGAACAGAAAGTCGAAAGACTGATACATTTAAGCTGATCGAGTTGTCCAGTTTAGCCCTTTTTTAACACTAGGCGTTTGATCACTTAAAAGCTCACGTACAATTACATTGGTTAAGATCTAACAGGCACCACACAACACTATTTAAGAAAGGAAAGCTAAATAATTTACCGGCCACAAGTAGGCCTACTAAAAGAAGTTAAGTACTTGTGTGTGTGTGTGTTTGTATTCAAACAGTGATGTCTGTTGAGTCAGGGTGGATTGTGGATCATCACTTGAGAGAAGATAAACGGTCAACTCAAGGGACGTACGCTGTTTTCTTTTTTCTTTTCGTTCTTTTTTTTTTACGGCTGGTAGTGTCCACAAATCCATTATCATTCTTACAAAACAGAAAATGTTCTCACGCATTAGAAGTCTGAGATAAAAAAAAAGAAGTGAATGATGAAGAAACAACTTTTCCTCCTCAAATTCCTTTACCCGATAACATCTTTAATCTAATGGCGCAGTTGTTGAGTCAAGAATGCGTCATTCTGTGGGACTATCATAATCAACTTACCTGCAAATGACATCGGCTGCGACCCCGTTACCATTAGCCATACTCAGAATGAGATCGGCGTTAAATCTTGGAGTTCCAATGTCAGCCGGCGGCCAGTAATCCAACATACACTGGACAGCTATTGTGGTGTTACAACAGATCGCCACTTGAATGCCTATACAGGCAAACACCACTGAAATTGGTGCGACAACAAGGCTATAATTATAACAATTAGAGTGATAAAATGAAAAATTTGGTCAGCCTGGAAATACTGAAAAAGAAATTAAGACACGAAAACAAATGGACTTTAAAAATGCAAAATTCAGTGGAATATTTTATACTGTATTGCATGTTAAGCTAACTGATCCGTCATTTTACCTCGTTCATTTGTTCAAACGCAAAAACAGGCTTCTGGGAAGAAATCAAAGTGTGATTTACATACACCTTTTACCTCAGCACAAGGTAAAATAACTACATAAATAACGACTTTCTAGTATCTAATGCCGTATAAAAAGGTATCTTATTTTTAAAATCTGTTGCCAGCCTTTTGGCCGCCACGTATATTTCCCATCCCCAAGTGGCAGCCAACCGTGAGAAAACAGATTCATCCATTGATTTTCATCACAACCGAATTTCGTCGGTGCTCATATTTTTTGTTAGAAAGCAAATGCAGCAATTTAGTAAAAGTTGCTTGAATAAATAATTTTCATCAAACTCACCTGTTGAAATCAAAAGAGAAGCAGTTGCCATTTTTGCCTGAAATACAAACCAGTCTACAGAGAGAGCTAAATCCACTTCTTCTCGCAGCGGCAGGTAAATATGTATTAAAAAGATAAAGGATTGTTCTTTTTTTTGGAAAATATTCCTTTCATCACGACACTGAACATTAGGCGGAAACTGTTGCATGCGTATTATAACTACATGATTTTGCACTCTTTAAGATAGGGCAATAAAACTTAATAGGTGGACTAGACAGTTAAATTAAGTGATGACCGTTGAAGAAAGGGTGGACAGGAACGGTCCAGGACACGGGTCAACACACTCACTCTGTTAAACCATGGAAGTACGTTGTGATAGGAAGAAGTTTTCAACGCTATGAGGGTGAATTGGTAGGCAGCCCTGTGAACGTCAATGTTTGACCTCGTTAGTATACAGAACGTCTAATGAGTCCACGTCACGTAATAGCGAACACTAACTGCGTTGTTCTATGGTTTGATAATGAGTAAAACTAGAATTCGTGAATATTTTGTCAAAACACAGTGGTGTTCTCTGCTAAGATTAACTGAATGTTTGAAAAAATATCCAGCCTGCTATAACTGCCTTAAATATCATTTAAGGCTGTCATACCGGCGGGTCATCAGGTGTGTGTGTGTGTGGAGTGTGTATTATGATAATTCGCCTTTACAGGCTCAACCCAGTGAATCAATACAATTAACATAACCAGGAATTCCTTATCATTCAGTTAGTCTGACATTTTCTGGATTAAAAAGGCCTACGCGGGATTGCACGCGAACCACCGGCAGAAATAGTACGCATTCAGAAATCAACAAAGTGTCCGTTTGGGTGATATGAATAGTAGCGTCTTCAATAGTTTTACATGTAATTTTGGATATCCAGTCAATCGTTCTATTCTGATTAAATCAAGGCTTTAATTTTTTTGCATGCTGCCTGTCATTAGTCGGCTAACACTTGACAATATGGATAACAGGGTCGGTGAAAGTGAGTCACACAAAATCAGTGCCCTTTATAATAATATTTAGAACGCGCTCTACTTCTGCTTTCTGTGAAAACTGAATCTAACAGCTCAGATTCATCATAACATTTCAATGTGTAACACGTTTATAAAACTTGTCTTTCCCAAATGATTGCTTTTCTCAAGTAAATATAAAATATTGGGTGAGCAAGTTCCAAATATCTAAATTTGCCTCGTAATGCACATACCACAAAAAGCTATCGGGTGGGGTGTAAACTTGTTTGGGATGTACAAAGGAAATGTGCAGAAATGATTCTTATCAATTATGTTGGTTGCGACAGTTGTGCTAAGGTACAATGTGTGGGCAAAATTAGGCTGAAACAGCCTTGAGTAAATTAGAGTGAAAAAAAAAACTCAATAAATGTACATCCTTTGAGGCTAACTCTCTGGTAGGTTTGTGAGGCAAAATATATGTAAGAAAACACATTGTTTTATAAAAGACATGTGAATATTTATTAATGAAAAGTGTAATGTTACTTTATGAAAATGCAATGGTAATACATTCTTGATAATATATACTTGAGAGCATGCAGACCATGGAATCCAGTCAAAGAAGGAATTAAGAATCCAATGAAGTTATGAACAGGAAGGTTGTATATGACCTGGACACATTTCAAATGGACATGACCTCTTTGGTTGTTTTTGTGATGCTCCCTCTACAGATTTCAATGTGTCTGCAAAATTTCACAAAACACTGTCTTTACAGCCAGACCTCCAAAACCATGTGAAATCCCTCTCTGGAAACTGCATGATGAACCATTTTAATCCAATGACCACTCCTCTCATACAGCTTATGAAGCTGCTTCCATGTGTAATCCACGTAACACAGTCTGTAGTAAGGTCTTATACAGGTTACTTCTCAAGTGGAGCATAGTTCAATAGTTTTTCAATCAGATCAACATGAGACAACAACATCCTACGACAGCAATATCTCTTCAGACCCAGTGCATCAAGAGCATCCCTAAGAAATAAATAAATGAAAATAAGAACAACACAGTTGACACATCAATGACAGTATTTTTTTAAAAATACTGCATGTCCACCTTCTCCAGTTGAAAAAGAAGTATTATATAATCATTTCCCATTTTCTTGTGCCAATGTATGTGCCAAGAGGGTACATTTATTATCATTATTATTATTATTATTACTGTTAAATCTTGCAACCCAAAAAAGAGTTGGATAGATGTAAAGACATAATGGCAAAGCCAGATTAAATTACTACATGAAAAAAATAAGCACATTCTTATATATTAAAACCATGCTAAATGCCCATGATATTATAAATTAAAACGGATTACTGAAATAAGAGTTTTAAAAGTTTTATTTCAAAGGTCCCATTGCCATTTCTTTACAAATAAAATAGTTACCCTTCAGTGTATTCAGCCTGCAATAGGCCGAGGTAGGCTTCCCACTTGTTGCCAATTACTTTCCCACAAGTGAAACACCGGATTGGAATAATCATCTTTACTTTTTACCTGAAAAGCCAAACAAGACAAGCATCATTTCTAGCACCAACTAATCAATTTTTTCCATGGTCATGTTATTTGTTAAACAAGTGAATTTAGTTAAAGAAACAATGATGCAGGAACTGTTAGAAATAGATTCTAGAAACCATTATTAACCACGACGTTCACAAGTCCAGTAATACAACCACCACCTCTTCTATTTCCCTCGTGCCAAAGTCACACTTGGCTATCGATTTGATGGACTGGTTAATTTACAAACCACATAAAACGACCCTAACAGTTCCACACTATTGCCGTACGTTATACCAAAGCAAAACCATCTTTTCCTTCACTGACTTCAGTTTATCTTACGACGCAATTTGGAGAACAACTTTTGCAATGATTTTCGCAAGTGAAACACTACATATCCTTTACCTACGTTCAGCAATTTCAAATGACCAATTTTCAACAAACCTGAGCAACAATTTTGCGTTAAAACATAGCATAAAATGATCAAATTTAAACCAAAATGCAGGGATACGTTCCAACGTTTTCTCACATGCGGTAACAAGCAGTTTTTAACGTGTAGGCGGCGCCACATTTGGCAAAATGTTTTCTAGTGTTATTCTCGTTTGAAGGGCTGTCTTTCAGTGAGCGCCACCTAACGTAAAAATTACGCTTTAGTGCATGTGAACCATAACAAAAGAGGGTTAAAAGAAAATCCACCGGTATATGCAATACTATTTAACGTTATAGTTAAAATCCCTCTGCCCAGGTAAGCCAGATCAAGGAGATATCCGTACCTGTATTGTTTTGGGCTACAATTGTCTTATTTCTTTCGTATTGTGGGGGCAAATTAGGTACAATAAACCTCGCATAGGGCAATAGCCTTTAACGTTATTCGTTAATCAAGTTAGATGACTTGATATCGATTTCAGCAGAAGCTAGTCATAGGAATGAGAAAGCAAGTGAGTAATTCATTTCTGTTTTATTCAGTCTATGCTTCCAACTTTTAGCATTTTGTTTGCGGTTAGAACTATTCAATAAATTTATTTTATAAAAGACTTTCTAACCTAAGTGGTAACACACTGACAGTTACCGTTACTTGTGGCAAGTTAAACTCGATAGATATATTTTCAAAGCAAAAGTGAGAAACATGCCAAGGAGTAGGGAAGGTAGGTTTATGGTGTCTGTAGTTATTTATCATGATTGTCATGGTATTTTTATAGCGCACATTTAGATGTTTTAGTGTGTGGTTTATTTTATAGTTTGAAGCCCAAGGCTAGTATAGTTTATGAGAATATATCTGCTATACAGATCCCATTTGTTAGTGTTACTGTAGACTAAACATCTATAAACCTTCCTCTGTTAGATTGCATATATTCTTAGTTTTGCTTTACAAAAGCTGATCATAGAGAAATAATGGAGAGAGTCCAGGAAGGCTTTAGTAGCCTGTGTGGTGAGCTTTGTTTAAGTTCTGTCACCCATTAACTTTTTGTAGTCAACATTGTCATATTTTGACTCTCAGCTAGTGATAATGTACTTTATTTGAGTGAAGAGTTCAGGTTTATATGATGAATTTGCCTACTGAAAAGCCATAAGCTTGGGTTGGCGTTTAGAATTTAAAGGCTATTGATGTCATGGTAAATATTAAAAAAAAATAATTAAACCATGGACTTATATTTTTCAGGTTCTTGCAATATGGGCTCTGGGTTTCTGGTCATCAAATATGTATTTTATGGATTTAATTGCCTCTTTTGGGTAAGTTTTGTATTTTTGACAGGCTTACAAACATATAATGATTTAGAATTTGTTAAACAGATAGTTTTCAGTTGAATTTGAACCATGAACATATAAGTTCACCTGTTCTTATCCACTATGCACCTCTGGCAGTCATATGCAACACTTACAAAAATGCCTTTATATATGTATAGTGTTTTCTTTTTAACCTGGTCTTTAAAGAGATCATGTTGTGAATAAGTTAGAAAAGTCAACGGGTACGAAACAGACAGATAAGAAAGTAACTTTTTTGTGTTTTCAGCTTTTAGGCTGTGCTAGTCTTGGAGTGGGTGTATGGCTTCATCAGAACAAGGGTGAATATGGGGCAATAGCCCAGAGTTACAGCTTCCTCAGTGCCCCGGCCTTACTCATAGCTGCTGGGGTGGTCATCCTGGTGGTGGGGTTCTTTGGCTGTTGTGGAGCCCTGGCAGAGAACCAGTGCATGCTACTCACTGTGAGTATATATAGCTTACTTACTTAGGGTGTATTCAGATTCACACATTGTACTAGCAGGGTCGGTCCAACTGTGCAAGAGATTCTTGATAAAATGCAATCAGTGCAATGGGCTTACTCTGATAGATAGTTAATTAACCCTTAGCTTTTGGGAAGGCATGTCAAACATTTAAGCTGATTCCACTGATTGCACTTAAATGAGAATCACTTGCAGAGTTGGACCAACCCAGCTAGTACAATGTGTGAATCTGAATGTAGTCTTAATTCTTATCATGAATGGGTTTCACATAAGACAGACACAAGGGGCCTCCAGCTCTCTCTCTCCTGACCTGCTGTGCCTATGGTGATCCAGGCTAGCCCTGTTGTCTTCATTCCTGCCTTGATGGTTCCCTCCATGCTCCCTTGGGCCTGCCACGGTTTCTCTTTCTAGGTTGTGTCCATTTTACAGCCCATCTTATAATTGCATTGTCTTTATGAAATAAGCCAGCACAGACATGTTAGTTGTATTTCCCAGTTAAAAGATACAGAGGGTTATTGATGGGAAACTATTTTTGAAGCTAAGCTTAAAAAGAGAGGTAGCTTTGTGATTATTTTTATTGCCCAAATGTAAAACGCTACTGTGCTTGAAGCATGGTTACATGTAAGCAGGTTATGTAGTTTTAATAGTGATGAGTAAACCATTGTCTGCAAATAATATAAAATTATATAAAATGATTTAAATATATGGCCTCATATTTTTATAGACTTGTACTGAGAACTGAAGATGTTGGCTGTCTTTTTATTGATGGGATGTTGGCGTTATTTTTAACATTTATAATGATATTTTTATTTCAGTATTTTGTACTGGTTGTCCTAATATTTGTCCTACAGATTGTAGCAGCTATTCTTGCCTTTGTACACCAAGATGAGGTAAGTGAACACTGTACATTTTTGTCATATATATTTTTAAAATCTTTTCATTAGTAAGAAGAGTAAAGAATTGTATATTAGTTCAAGTAATAATTGTAAAGTTACAAATTATGTCAGAAGTTGTGGATATTATTATTATATTGGGTCTGATGTTTTGAGTCATTTCCAATTATTTTAGATCAATCATGTATTAGAAAATGAACTCCTTGTGGGTATAAAAGACAAGTATCCTGGTGATCCAAGGAGACTAGAAATGAAAGATGCCTGGGATTTAGTTCAGATTGAAGTGAGTACAAGTGATTTAACCACTAAGCAAGTTTTTTACAGCATTTTTATAATTAACTTTTTATATCTTCAGAAAAATAACAGCTTTTATTACTGAAAGCTGTCGTTTTGTTAAATAGTTTCATTTTGTCAAAAAGTCCTATCTGAATGTATGGATATTTAACAACAAATTATAGTAAATAATGATAAATAAGACTGTTAAGCTCTTAGAGGTCTAGAATGCCAAAAAGATGAGGAGGGCTATGGGACAATCCCATGTATATTTGCCCCAATTCTTTTTAATGTAATAATGTTTTAACAGTTAGTTATGCTTTAACATAACAATTTAACTATCAGAAAACAATTGTGTATCTTTTTTTCAGCTGGGTTGTTGGGGGGTGTATAACTACTCAGACTGGTTTAAGTCACATGCTTGTTTGAACAGTTTTAGTAATGCTTTAATGTATCAGATATCAGATATCATATTTTAAAACTTGATTTTTTTTTCAGCTGGGTTGTTGTGGGGTGTATAACTACTCAGACTGGTTTAAGTCACATGCTTGTTTGAACAGTTTTAGTAATGCTTTAATGTATCTGATATCAGATATCATATTTTAAAACTTGATTTTTTTTCAGCTGGGTTGTTGTGGGGTGTATAACTACTCAGACTGGTTTAAGTCCCATGCCTGGCCAGACAAGGACTGGGTGCCAGACTCCTGTTGTAGAGCCTCACAGCATTCAACCCTCTGTGGGAGAACTGGAAACCCTGCCATGTGGCAGAGCCATGTAGGTGTTATATGCATCTATAGTTGTATGTGAATTTTCTCCAGTTCATCATTATTTGTATTGATATTTTGATATGATATGATATGATATGATATGATATGATATGATATGAAATGCAGATTTCTTTTCAATAAGTTTTAAAAAATAAGGCCATAATATTTTGGTTGTGAACTTTTAATTAAAAATAAAGAAAAATGTGAACAGTTATCTTTTATGAAAGATATACAGGTGACTCAAGCAATATAATTTTTCTGAGGTCTGCAAACATTGTCTGAAATAAACAAACAACAAAACATTGTTTTATTATATGATTTAATACTTGAATGTCAATATCTTCCAAGATAACAACTTGAAACATTGCTATCATTTGACATTGTTGTCATCTGATTTATAATATATGTCATTTACTCTGATTGGTAAAAAAAATTCAACCATTACATCATTACCATTAAATATTATGTTTGGTGATGAGATCATTGGTTAAATATTCAACATTCAGCTTTATCAGACCTCAAAGTCTTTGTATATTAGATCCTATTCGATGCTAATTATAATAACATGATTTATTTCCGATTGGTTTCAATTACAGGGGTGTTTTAATGAGCTGAAGTATTGGTTGACCCAGCATTTATACATACTAGGTGTAGTGGCAATTACCGTAGGAGTGATACAGGTATGGAATAGTTTCCCTTTGAATGGTGAAGACATTGGGAATAGTCTTGTGATGATTCTTTTGTTTGTAGCAACTTATATTTGACACCTATCACAACCTCATTCCCTGATGAAGTCTGGGAATGACTTATTGGCTGGTAAGACCAGGCGAATATAAGTAGCTATAGCCACAGAATCTTCACAAGTCTATCACAATAACATAGCTTATGAAACTGTACTACACTATTGGTAAGAGTGTTTTAAATATATATATTGTCTTTTACAATAAAAGATCGACAGAATTAAAGGTGTCCCAAAGTCATATTTTTGGTGTAAGTGCCTTGCAAAATTACTTATTTGTTCCAATTTAAACCTTTTAAAAATAATAAAATCTCTAAAATAAAAGTACCTGATGTCGGTATTTTCTTTGAAATACCAGGAAGTTAATGGTAGTTGCAATTATCATGATTTAATTAGAACTATGTTATTTAATCAGAAATGGTACAAAACATCAAATCCAAATGTAGGGACAGGTTGAGAAATGATTTGTGAATAGCATCATGCCTTCCCAACTACCAGACTCGGTACCGAACGACCCTGAATTCACTGGTAGATCGGACCACACTACCATTTTCAAGGTGTGCGTCAGTACGCTCTTCGAGGTATCAGACACGACACCGCTCTTGCCTAGTATGCGATGTGATAGCAATTATTCTGAGCAGGGTTGGAAAGTAGTGCATCTCATCTCAAAATTTGTTCCGAGGTATGATACTGTGAAATGCGTACTGACACACACCTTGAAAATGGGCAGTGTGGTCTGATCTACCAGTAAATTCGGGATCATTCAGTGCTGAGTCTGGTAGTTGAGCATGAAATTGCTTTTTTTCTTGGGGAAGATTAGATTAGGTAAGAAAATCCCATATGGTATACCTATTACGTTTTCAGTTTTGTTTCTGATTCTCTTTTACTATTTTTAGATTTTGGGAATGGTTGCAGCCATGGTGCTTTACTGCTGCTTGAGAAACAACAAATACTACAGATAACCCTTGGCAAACCCTGATCAGACCACGCCCTTGCTTATCTGGAAGAATCTGAGGTGTTTCAGGTTGGAATCCAGTCTGGTTACCCTGAAGTCAGTTGCTGTCTTGTTACCTATAAACCAAGCAGTGGCATTTTATAGGGTTCATGTTAGTGAAAAGATTTGAGGGGGATTTACTTAGGTCAGAAACTAAATTACTGTTTCTGTACCTTCCAAACAAGCAGTGGGATGAAATGTAGATTAATCCAATAGTAGTATATTGAGACTACTGCTTTGTTTTACAAGAACATTCCCACATGAACAAAAAGTTATGAAAAGAGGATCAAACAGTGTATTGCATTTATCTTTGAAGCATAAGCATTTGCCTTCTAGTCGAAGATTTATGATTATAATAATATGCAGCAAGTGGTGGAACCAGAGTTGCCCTTTCTGATATGATGTCAAAACCATAGTGAGAAAGAAAAACTGGATGTATTAGGACATTTTGAAGATTTCATTTATTTGCTGTACAGTAGTTGGAATCACAATAGCTGGCACATTGTATAACAAATATTAAGTATAATACTATAAATAATACTCATGTAAATAACTTTTATAGTTTAATATTTAGCATATATATTTTTAAAAACTGAGCATTTAAGCTGTCATATCCATTAATGAAACACTCCTCTTAAAATGTTCATATCAGTATATTTCATTTTAAAAGGCACTGGTTTTGAGCTGACTGATAGCTATTTATTTTAATTGAAATTTGTGTTTTACCTCGTAACTGAAGGAAATTAGGACTGAATTATGTGTAAAAGATCTGACTGCTGGAGAGTGATAGGACAGCTACTTGTTTGAGATGAAGTGCGCTTTAGGTTCATTTTAGATATTTGTTTGGCGTTGTCTTTGCTGTTAGTTTTTATTTGGGTATTCATTTCCTTTCATATGTAAAATTTAGAACCAACTCTGTTCCTAAGACTCTTGTCAATGTGCCATTTTTGCATTGTATGATTTGAATTAACTTGTATACAAATGTAGAACATACCATTTTGTTCAATGAAATGGTATCCTTATCATTTCATTTGAAACACATGCTGATAGGCCTATGTGTAAAACTACTTATTAATAATAAATTTATAATGTATTTTTATGATTTGTAATATTTTACAATATTATCAAAGTAAATACCTTGAAAGAAGTTTTTCTTCTTAATTGATGACAATCCTGAAATTTTGTCACACAATCTAATTTAGTAGATTGGAAAGATAGTGTTACTGTAACTTCCCACACTTAGTTTATTCATCCCTTTTTGACTCAATTGAAATTTATATTCTCTCATTATATAGCTTTAGAAGTAATTAGTACCAGAAATTAATCATCAAATTAGTTTTTTATTAACGTGCAAGTGGAAGCTAGATACACCCTGTGTTATTCATTTATAGAAGTATAGAACATGAAGCACTTATAACATAAAGCACACTCACTCATCCATGATGTCATGTTGTCACTTTTGTTATGGAATCAATACATGGTACACTGGCAGATGGAGAGTTAAAAACCTATTTGTAAACAAGTGTTAGACAGTCATGCCCCCCCCCTCCCCTTTCTGTTTTAATTTGGAGCATGGCACTCGGGTGCTAAAATGAATCATTAAGAAAAAAATAAAACAATTTCAGGGTTTGTCAGGGTGTCTGATAAACCTAAGAGACAGTTAAATGTTATTTACCAGTCATGACTGTATACCCTATATACCATTTCCTTCATAAGGCGTACTTATGTTAATATAATTTTAATCATGAAAGAATAAATTGAAAATTTTTCCAGATAGTTTTTTTACTTTTCCTTAGTCTTCAATTATTATTCTGACACCAGACATGTAATGGTGTAATCAAATGAAGAGAAATAGTCTTTATAACTTTTTAAAGCTCGTTTAGTTCCGTCATGAAGAATCCCCATTCTGATGATAGGAAACTAGTTGCCAGACACATCCTGTATCAATTTTCATACATTAGGGAAGGGGTGGGGGGGATTGTTTCTATTCAAAAAGTTTCAAATTCCCAAAAATTGTGAAAATGTCAGTTGTGAAGAAAAATATATATGAACAAACAACATGTCAAATGTTTGATAAGATTAATAAAACTGCATCTTTCACAAGATATTTTGATTACCACTTGGTGTACATATTTAAGTGTCATATTTTAAAACTCCATTTTGCATCTGATCATGATCAGGAATTGAAGCTCTTTAAAGAAGACATCACACATATGTGCATTTGTATGTAATGTGTGGAGAAAAATCTTGATGCAAACAAAATGACAGGAGAACACGAGCTTTAAAGAAGATAAGCATTTCATCCTGAAGATGCATGTCAAGCGACATACTTCCTATGGATCCCAGTTTCCTATCCTCAGCAAAATGTGTTCTACTGCAAAATTGGGTAAAATAAGGTTAAATGAAGTAATTCAAGTATTCAATTAAAAAAAAAAACAAAAAAACTTGATGCTATGTAATTTAATTTTCTGGTTTTGACTATCAATTCTACCAATTCTTGAAAACAAGGTAGTGCATGTTTACTATGTGGGGCACTGAATAAGTGGATGGGGCTCTGAATTCAACTTTAAAAAAAAATCATACTTATTTTACATCTGGTCTTCATTTCAAAGGTTTTTTCGAAATAAATACCATGCTGACTGGCAATTAATTCACCCAAACTGTTACCTTGCTTAAAACTTTATCTTCCTCAATCCTTCAAATACTATCTGCAACACCTCATTGCACAATGCATCCCTGGATATCCCCCTCCCCTCCCCC